CGGCTCTCTATTGTTCCTGTTCACCTCTGTTCCTTTTCCTCTGCCTTTCTGCCTTTATGTACACACAAATCAGAGGGCCCATCGCCAGCCCACTGAAGGGCAACACTATAACATGTATCTATAAGGCTTCATCTACCTTTACCGTCAAAGAGCAGTACTACGTTTCCACGAGAGTCACCTTTAAGCACCCCCCAGTCTTTCGAGACACTGGATCCCACTCTCCTCATGGCTTCTGCTGCTGTCGTGGAGGACAAGCTGAAAACTTCCGAGATCAATAGCAGATCATATTCTCATTACTATTTTTCATTCGATGCACTCAATGTGGATCTGCTTCTTCACTGTGTTTAGCCAGGATCACTAATGCTAACACGAAGAACAAATACAAACCGCACCTCCTCAAATGCAATAGTAGCCCCGGCATAACGGAATAGATATTGTTAATGTAGTTTGATCAGAGCCAAAAAATTCAAGAAAGATGGGTGAGAATCCATTGACTCTGCTCAGTGATAGTTTGAATTGATCAGTCGTCCCATATGCAGACACAGAGGGAAACAGGTGGAGTGCGTGGGGAAAGCGAATATGTTTAAGCATTGATTTATAGTTAGAAGTGACAAAAAGTGAGAGTTTGTATCAGCTGTTTCTTCCTCTTCATAAAATGTTTACACTAAGAAGAAAATGAAGAAGAATGAACCAATGGCCAAAGGCATTTGAGCCGTGAAAGATTCTTAATGGGGCAGAATTTACTGAAGGTGCTGAAGTGGGCAGATAAAACCTGCTTGTGGTAAATAAGCAACAGGCCTCTCGCTACAGCTGTCGTGTGTACAGTCTTACCCAGCTCTAACTCCATCTATAAGAAGCTATAATAATCATGCCACTATACGCTGACACAGATGTCAAAACAAAAAGCTATTTTCTGAAGTTATTTAGATCATTAATTATGAAACGTGCTCAACACATAACGGTTGAGCTGTGTTTTGGAGGCTGCCGAAAGGGCTACATTTAGAACATTTTGTGTTGGGTGGTTGAATCTATACACAAGAATAAGCCGGACTGAGGCAGCAAGTTAAACTCTAGATCAATGAGTGAGAAACCAAAAATGCAGGGATAGACAAAGCTAAATTACTTTAATAATGTCAACAAGGCAATTCACCTTTAAAGAAACTCCTCAAGCGGTAGATTATGTACGCACCAATGTGAGCACAAGTGTGAAGAATGAAGTGTAGGCAGACGGACATATTTCAGAGGCTCCAGGACTGAACAGCCAATGCTGAGCTTATGGGGAGTTGGGACTCCTGTTGGGGGTATCTCCCATCACATCTATAAATAATGTGCTCCATAGCCTTGGCTTTTATAAACACATGTCGTCACAGCCACGGCCTGTGCCATACAAGGTTAACCTAAGGGATTCCCATACCACATACATCTTCCGCATGCGCTAAGGCAATGGATTTTCCATCCTCGTTGTACCACATAATTTACAATTAGACAAAAAGATGTAGAAGATTGACTTGATTATTGACCGCCTATTCAAACCCTTGGCTTGAATTAGTTTTTTTCTAACAAAATTTAAACGTAACACAATCACTGGTTTCCGTCTATAACATGAGTCTTTCTGAGAGACCAGCTGGGCCTTCACCCTGATGGAGTGGCCACATATCATGCTTGTAGAATTTCGCTGGTCATTTCAGCTCTTCCTTTGTAGGACATCAATAATAAATGGCCGGTATATTTTCGCCCTTAGTACCTATCAATCACTGTACTCTCAAACTCTACTTTTCCTGTCCATCGCAGCCCCTATTACAGTAGATCAGAGCAGCAGGCCAATGCCTCAGACGTGACAAATACCTCTGCACATTACAGTAGTGAGGGGAGTAGTGCGTCAGGCCTGTTAGTATGAATTACAAAGACAACTAAACAGACAGCAGCATGTGATGGCTAAATGTGGCACAGAATATGGTGCAAATGAGCCAAGGGCAAAGGTGAAGAAAAGACAGCACAACAAAGAGAACCGCCTGTGTGTTTCGACTGGCCAATGGGAACAGTAGAGGAAATTGTTTTCATGTTTTAAGTTAATAGACACTGCTTTTTAACAAGAATAAAATTTAATAAAACAATAAAACCAAATAAGTCAATACAGCAATCATTATAATTAATTGTGAGATTTATCAAAACATTTATCAATACTAACTTTGTGGCAACACACAATGTAATATTGGAGTAAATAACTGAGAATCATATCTTTTCCTATTTTTGATACAATGAAATAAACACACACACACACACACACACACACACACACACACACAAATCCAGTACTATTTCTGCCTCCAAAGACTGAATTCAAACCCAAAATCTACACGCTCATACACAGGGGAATGTCTGTGATCTAAATGAAACTATCTTTGACAATCATCATGAGCGTTTTAAGTAAGTACGTAAGTAAGTAATGTTTATTTATATAGCGCCTTTCACAGACAGAGTCACAAAGCGCTTTACAATTGAGAGCATTTGTCTCACTCCACACAGAGATCGGAGCGAGATCACCGAAACAGGAGGTGCGTGCCAGACCTACTGTTCATATTTTTAGTGGTAGGGGAGACCCTATGGACACCTACGCAGATACAGGGAGAAAATGCTAGATCCAACAGAAACGCCTGGAACAGGAATCAAACCCAGGACTTTTTTGCTATGAGACACAAGTGCTAACCACTGCGCCACCGTGGCATGTTACGAACCAACAAGCACAGGGCTAATGCAGAGAAAACTAAATTATCTGTGAACTAAATCAACTTTAGCACAGAGGATTTAAGCGGGTTGAGCTGGCGGTTCAGAGAGGGTCCTTAGCGTTAACAAAGAAGACAGAGAATGAATGAGGGGGGCATCAGAGGACAAGTGGCACTTAACATTTCAAATCCACAGTTTGAATTAGTGTCCCAGTAAAACCAACTCAGGTCTGATATTTGGAGAAAAAGCCCACACAAAATATTATTTGAACGTTTTTTCATACATGAAAAAACATCAGATACATAATGGGAATGTGGAAATGTATTTTTGCAATAAACAAGTGTGATATGTTGCTCTTTATGCTTGTTTATCATGTGTCTCCACAGTCTCAGATCCTCAGACCTTGTGGCTGAAGGTGGGAGAAGCAGCTTTCTCCCACTGCAATCCTTGTAATCGGAGCATAATGATATTAAATATGCTCTGACTTTTTTGCTCATCTAAGAGTAAGCTAAAGACTCACTTCTTTAGACTCTCATTCCTGGACATTAGTCTCTTCATTGTGTCATTGTGTTCTGCTGGATGCGTTGCGTTGCTGGCCTTTCAGTGGACTTTTGAATGTGTTCATGCTTTTATGTTGTTAAATTCATTGGGTTTCATGTATTTGTATGAAATGTGCTATACACACACTCTAAACGTGTGATTCTTATTGTACTGTGTCATGTTTTTCTTTGTTTCTTTTCTTTGTTTGTCTTTGTACTGGTTTGTGCCAGAACTAAAACACTGTATATATTAAGTGGGAAAAATGACCCAGTTTTGCATTAACCTGGTTTTAAAAGGTGACATTATGTTTATCATCTCTTAGTGCAAGGTTGCATCTTACTTTAACTGCAGCTGTTGGGTTGAAGGCGCACGGTGCCTCTGAGCTGGGACTAAAGTAAGGGTCTATGGAGAGAGATTAAAGTGGAGACGAGAGAGAGCACCTTAACTCCCTGGAATAACACAATAGACACACACACACACACACACACACACACAAAGACACACAGGTGTTTGCAAACAACAACCACATCTGTTCAACACAGTCACACCACTGCTCCGATTAAAGGATCATGGGGAGTTAGCGCTGCGTCTCTACAAAACAGTCATGAGGCTCAATTCAATTACAATAGATCAAATGTATCATAATTCAGCTTTGACGCATAATTCATATCCCGGACACATGGTAGAAATCTCTGTGTGGTAAGCATCTCTTGCACAATTAATCAAAAGGAAACACAGATGCAGGTAATGCTATGTCATGGGAATCTGGGTAGGGACAGAAATGTGCAGAAATGCAGTGTTTGCAACATACAAGCCTCTACTGAAGTGCACTCAACTGCTACCAAAATAACAACATACCGTATCATCATGTCACCCAGAATGTCACAGGCAAAGGCCAAAGACACCTAATGAGTAACAATAAATATATGATCCATGGTACATGACAACCACAACTCTTGTGGGAATATGAAAAGAAACAAAACAAACCTCAGTTGTGACGGATCTTTAGTTTATATATAGTTAGTACATAGCAAAGATATATAATGAGACCATGCATGGGGTTCCCTCTAAAAGAAGTGCATTACAGCAATGGCAGAGGGACAGCTGGACTTATCTAAACAAAAAAAGCACAGAATAAGGAGAAATTCTTCATGCAAGACAGGAATGCCTTTGGAGACAGACACACAGAAACTGCAAATGGACAACTTGTACACTTTACAAGACACTTCTAAAACTTTTGTGACAGGGCTAAAGTTATGTTCTGGCTCATTTCAGTGTGTACTGGGATATTTTACTGATGGGTCAAGCACCTCTAAGCATGACCTCATACTTCCCAGTGTTTACATTGTGAATACATCACAGCTTATATGGCACTAAGCTTTGAAAGCCTTGACAGACTGCACTTTTGTGTGAGAATCAATTGGTGTGCAGGACCGCTTTTGTTTAGACTCACTCAACCTATAAAATAAATACAGCCAATATAAAACTTATATAAATGTGTCAGGATTGAGAAATGAATTTCTTTATTCTTTTTTCCCCATTTATATAAATAGTTACACACTTTCGGTTGGGAAGAACCCTAACAAATTTGGGTAAAACAAAAAGTGAAAGTCATTTGTAAAATAAATAGCAGAGGTCCATACTATGACGTGTGATTCTGACGAAGCGATTTATGAAGTCATTTGCTTCTAATTGCTACAGTGGAAAAAGCCCTGATGAATAGTCTCAACACTCACATGAACGCGTGGTAGATGAAAGCCCATCCGCGCGGTCTTTCCAGCACATTGTACAGACAGTTCTGTAACTTTCTGTATCTCTTGCAGGAGGCGGAGGTGCTGCTCCGGGGTCCTGGGGGTCCAGGCAGCGGAGTCCCCAGCAGTCCTGTGCGGTGAGACGGTTGGCCTCGCTCCGGTGTGGACGGCTCGCTCCTCTCGGTGTGAACAGCCGTCAGCGCGACGAACTCCACCCGCCTCTCATCGTTTGGAGCCGGGGGAGCCAGCATCCTGTCGCCGCCGTTATTGGACGGACTTCCGAGCATCTCCTGCCTCAAACTGCGTAAGAACTTTGGAAGTAGTCATAGCTTGCTTAAGAGTGTAAGTCGAGCATCACGGTGCAGCTGAACTGATTGTTTAACATAATATGAGTTATCTGTAAATCAAGTCGCTAAAGTAGAGATGGGAAACACTCTGGAGGTTTGTATGTTGCCTTGCAGCGCGTCTTCTACCTGTCATTGTTCAACTAAACTTGATTCCAAACTACAACGAAATTGCATGGAGCGACTCCGAGATGACTGAGCTCTGAGCGAGCCGCTACTGACCTGGCTTTACTTCCGAAATGACCGCTCAAAGTGACCTCAAGTAAACTTGAGCGTGAAATCGGAGGCTGTGAAGTTACGCAGCGGGATGTTCGCGCTCCATCGCCTGAACACTGACAACGAGTTAATTTGCCAAAATGCTCAGCAGCCTCAGACCTATGCCTCACAGACTGGCCCCTTCCTCTGCGTCCTCCTCTCACTCCTCTGGTCCAGAGGCGAGCTGTGCGTGTGCAACCTACTGTACGTGCACGATGTGATGCTCAAACTGGAGACTTTACAAAGTAGTCCTAAACTCCTAAACTGCACCATGCATCCGCTGCTCAACACCATGTGCACCAGGGACGCACCGAGACGTGTCCGAGCAGGCTCCAGGACAACCCGAATAACTATTATTTATTATACTGACTTTTACATTTGAAGTTGAGGTTGCATTACACTGATCTCTCTGTCCTCAGCTACAAATGCCATTAGTGTTTGTTATGGGACTAATCAGTAAATTGTGACAGGTGCTGGGAAACTGTCCACATAATTCTCTTTTCATAGTGGACCTCGCTTTCTAATTCAATGACTGACAAACCACAGGCTTGTGGGTAAGACACAAATACATGAGACCTCCGACAAATGTACCCAACTATATATGTAGACGTACACGTGAGCGAATGACGTAGACCTTTTTAATTCTGTTGTTGTCACGTATACAATCCAAAACATAGAAGAAAAAGCTGAATATGCTGTCAGTGATTTCTGATAACTGATATGTTTTATATTGTTTATACTGTATCTATTCTTTTGATTGTAAGGAATATAAAAATACATATTTTTGATGTACAGGAAACGTTATTCATCCAATAAACTGTTCCACTTGGCTTATCTCCACGTTTCCCTCGACAGCTGAACATTTTAGCTCCAGTGTGTTAATACACAGTGGCGTTATTTGAAGGATAACGATAGTTTAAGGTCACATCTGTGACTTCTGTGATTATTACTATGGCCTGAATCGATTCAGTTTTGTATCATAATGGACTTCTTTGGAATATGCATAATGGCAGAGAGGCACTTCTTCTGACATTTTCCCAATGGAGTCCCCCAATGGCTAAGACAAATATGAATTCATGGAATTGTAAAATGGAATTCCAATGTGTTTTGTTATTCTACCATGCATCAGGACATCCCATATATCAGGGATGTCAAACTAATTTTGTTCAGGGGCCAAATTTAAACAGTATTAGCTGTTCAGGGGTCATAGTGAGTTTTAGTGTTTTCATATTGTGTATGTGAACAGCAGAGAGAGCCCACAAGGAAGTGCAGGGAGATATACAGGACTTGTGTTTATGACAAAGTCAGAGCAGAGTTTATGGACTTTGACTCCATCAAGTTTTAGTAGGAATGTTATTGTCAAAAAGGATGTGTTGGTGTGTTTGTTTATTTGGATGGGGCCGTGTTTTCATAAACTGTGCTGTAAGTGCACGCAATTGTAAACCGTGGGCTAACAGACACACACTCATTTATCCTAAATTATTTTACATGTTTTTAGTGGTCAGGGAAACCGGAGCACCCAGAGGAAACATATGAAGACATGGGGATACACACAGAAAAGACCCTGAACTCAGGACCTTCTGGCTGTGAACCACTGCGCCACCAGAGTTACAAGAGTGCTCTGATCCTCACGGGACCTCAATGCTTAAACAACCTCGTCATTAAATCATATGTGTCCAGTTAAAACAGTCGTCTATCAGCTTTGTTTAGCTCCATCAGCTGTTTGTTAAGTGTTGAAACATGAAAACAACATGAAAACTTGCAGCTTTTATTCATGTAGGGCTTAAATGTGCTCAATATGTATTTTCTCTTCAAATGTAGCTGGTAGAGTGTATATACAGGTGCGCTTAATAATCCTGCAAGTACTGTACTATCATTGCTGCAAGTTCATCATAATAAATGAAAAACACTTCTGGCACGCAGGCCTTGTACTTGACACATGTAAATAATAATAATTACTTAACAACAGTAATACATTTGTTGAATACTTGTAAGAAAAATAATAATTTGGGCTTAGAGCTGCTTGCCTTAATAGGGGGTGGTCCTCTCATTTTTACTTTTCTGTCTGAAAAAGCTGATCTAAAGATGTGACAGAGGCCGGAAACCTCTGCATTTGAAAACTAGTACATTATAAGATTGTAACTAAAAAAGGGCTTTGAAACATTTGAGTCGTGTGGATCTTGACCTGCTCTCAGTTTAAAGTGGGGGCAGTATCCAAACAGCAGCACAACACTGTCCTGTGTTAGAACAACCTGCTCTCTGTTCCTGACCAGGGGGCGGGACATAGTGGTGACGGACACGGCGGCTTTAGGACAACCTCAAGGGACTGACGTGAAAGTTCCTCGAGGCGAGAGTACAGACAGCTGCTCTCTCACGCTGTACAGACACTTTTGAAAACCACACACATTCATGTTTTTAAATTCTGGAGTGGTTCGTAAAGACGTGGTCAGCTAATCTGCTTTTTTTGTTACATAAAGTCTTTGTTGGCCAGCAAATAAAAATGGAGAAGGTAATATGTGAATGGAAATAGGTTAAAAAAAGGCACAAAATGGAAATGATGAACCAAGCCTCCACTATGTTAGAAAGTGCACACAATATCGTTCACCTCTTTTTGAGCATAAGATCTCAATAATTTACTCTGAAGTTTGATGCAGCAGTATTATCGTGTCTATTTCACATTCAAGTATTATTTGACAAATCTAGAAAAGGAGTTTGCAGCTGCTCAGGAAATGTAAAAATTCACAAAACAGCATCTGCACAAGACACAGAACTATCTAATGTTATTTTTCAATGCACACAGAAAGAGCAGAGAAGGCTCAACATTATGGACACAATTTCATATCTCGAATATTGATACTTTATAACTAGGATTTGATGAAAACCATTTCTCAGATAAATTTAACAAAAAAATGGTTTCTATATTAATATTAGTAACTTGAATGTTCATATCTCGATACAATAACAGTATATCTTTCAACCCAAAGCAATACTACTGTACTTTACCACAAAAAACTGAATATACAACAAATGGCTTTCATTTTAAAGCGTGTATTTATTTATAGATTAAAAAATACATGCTTTGATTGTGCTCATTCTGTCCCTCTTCTAATACTGTAAAGGGTCAAATATGATTTTACATTTATCATGTGTAGAAAATTCACAGCCATAATGTGTTTGAGAGAGAGACTGCATGGATTATTTTGAAATGATGAGATTAATGATGTGTTAAGATGTTACTTAGGATCATTACTTTCCTGACACCACGAATAACCATTTTCATATTATGCGCCAAGACACTTTTGTTAAAACACTTCTACCAGAACGCTTGATTGCAGTAATCTTTTCTCAGAACCAGAGAATTAGGATTGTGCTAAGTCTCGTCTGGTGGGTAACTGTGTCCCAGAGCCCACTGCAGCTGAGGCTCTATCACAAGGTCCAGGAGCAGACGGCTTAATTCTTCTGACCACAGTTGCATTGATCTGACCTGAAGCCAAAGAAAAATACGGCTTTGGTTCAAAAGTGCTCACAATCTATGTGGGACAAATGAGGCAGACACCTGTACTTATGCAGCAATTGTTTGGTGATTAGGTCCATTACAGAGTTTTAAAGCACTTTTCATATAGTTTGGGGACTTGCATGCCCTTCATCATCGTTCCCATCACAGATATGTTCAACTACAACAAGACTTTAGAAACAAACCATATATAGCTTGCCCTATTGTGCATGTAACCCAGGTGTCAAACTAAGGTTAATAACAACATTCATAATATATGTAAGCCACAAAGTAATGCTCAGTGGCAAAGTGATTTTTTAAAAATGTGTATAATGTGTGTCAACAAACAGCATTAAATGAAAGCCAAAGTCAAGTAAAAAACTCAGCAACAAACAAAACTTCTGAGTTAACTGTTCTTTGGTGCACGCGACCCCGCTCCTATTGTTTGGAAGAATCATTTATTTATTCTATTTTTAAGATAAAGTGTCCAAAATGTTTTCTTATTACTTAAATAATGTTTTCCCCTCTAGAAAGTGTATTGCAAACACACTGAGAAACTATAAATGACCAGAGTTTACAAGTTTGATAAGATGAGTGCTGCCCTCTAGTGAAACTAAGTGGGAGTACATGGTATAGGTACACATGGTCCTTACTGGGCGGGTCACTCTTTCCTCTCCCTGGCCCCTACACACTACACACTGTCCCTTCACCTCCACTTTCATCCCTGTGTATGGCACTTTTTCAGAAACATGACTTATTTCATGTACTTCATTGAGTAAGTGGCGGCGGGTACATGCTCATAATGCCATGTCAATTCATTCAGCTTCTAATTTGTTTATCTATTAAACAAACAAAAAACAATGTACATTCGAACATAAATGCATCCATTGGATTTGTTGTATGGGAGTTCATTGGTATATTGTGTTTTTGTTTCATTGCTTGGGACAGTATGCGTTACAGCAGTGCTGTAAATGAACTGTATTGTACCTTTGGGCCAATTTCCATCCTTTGTCCCAAAGTCGCACACACAAACACACACATTCACTCAAGTTAGCCCTCGGCTAATTTCCACCTGCCGTCTCTCTTGCAGAAAAAGAAACAGTGTTTTGCCCATATAACTAGAAGTGGACAAAACAACATACAAAAGTGGTTTGAAAACAAACACATAAAACACACTTTTCTGTTTTTAAGATCTGTTCTATCATGAAGATCCACATGTGAAATTTACATTAATTCCTAATTCAATTACCTTTTAAAACTAATTTACACTGTGAATGAAGTATTGAATGCACCCTACACTTTACAATCATAAAAGGACATCTAGTTTGTGATTATCTTTGATTATAATGGAAATACAGTACAGTGAAAGTTACTTTTTGCAGTTTTAAAATGTAACAAAATGATAATGTCAGCAACATCTGTGAGGTTTCAAAGCTCTGGAACCAAATTCACTCAAATCCATATCATGAGTTGCTACATGTTGGTGCAATATTCGGACATTTTGCAACAAGTGCAATACACAACAGTAAAACACATTTTAGATATTGGTTAAGTCACGCCGTTGCTAAAATCAGCTGTTCCTTCCCATGAGCCCCCTGTGCAGTTTATGGAGTCACACTGGGAAAGACATGTTCAGTGGGTTTTATTCTGCAAAGACACAGTGGGTACATGCTGAAGGTTATTCCATATGCGTTGATAAATATTGATGGGATTTGAAGAACAGACTTGGAATCACAAGGTGGTCAATATTCTTTGTGCAGATCTTATTTACAGCTCATATGTTGCATTCATGGCATTGTTTGTTTTATTTATTTTATTACATGTGAGTCATTTTGAACATTTTGATTATTTGTATTCAATATTAGTTTCAATATTCCCCTTTGGTAGGTATACTCTGAATTCAGTATCATCTTTCTGAGGAAAATGCCTTCATTTTGTGCCTGATCAGGTCTTAGGTTGGGTCTTAACAAGACGTTTCTCATTCTCAGTATGGACAGCCCATGCCACGTGACAAAACGTACACCTCCAGAATTCACTCACTGCTCAAAACCAAAGCAGCCGAGACTCACCATTCAGATTAGTAAGTAAGTAAGTAATCTTTATTTATATAGCGCCTTTCACAAACCAGAGTCACAAAGCGGTTTACAGTTGTTATTTTTGGGCACTTGTCCTCTCACTCCACACAGAGATGGGAGCGGGGTCGCCAGTACAGGAGGTACCGAACAGGAGACGCAGGCCAGACCTATTGTATTTTTAGTGGTAGGGGAAACCGGAGTACCCGGAGGAAACCTACGCAGACACGTGGAGAACATGCAAACTCCACTCAGAAAGGCCCTGGTCCGACCGGGATTCAAACCCAGGACCTTCTTGCTGAGAGGCGAGAGTGCTATCCACTCAGCCACCGTGCCGCCAGGGAAAGTTATTCAGATGAAATATAGACAAATCAATGTTTTTTGTGCTTTAGAAAAAATGACATTTTCTATTGGATTTGAAATTTGTGTTATCTCACGTTTACCTCATATCGAGAAAATACAAAAATATATGAAAGTGTGCATACTAGGGCTGCACAATATCGGACATTAGTGCGATATTCGATATGAATGTTTAGTCTTTCGATAACAATATCATTGCGTTATTTTTGTCCTTCACCTAAAATTGCAGTCTGCATTGAAACAAGAGAAATAACAAAAAATAAGTACATTAATGAAATTCAAATGCATATATTTTTATACTTTTTTGTTCTTGATGAGTGTTGATGTGTTTGTTTTGTCTTTAATAAAGGAAAAAACATTTTTTTTATTGATATTTTTGATATGGATATCGCAATAACAATATTTTTTGGATATATTGTGCAGCCCTAGTGCATACCCATCTTTATCCATGGGAAAAAAGGGGTTTTAACACAAGTCAATAGTATTCATGAGTGGAAATGTTACTATCCCTTGCACTTTCATGTTGTAGACGTCTACCTGGTTACTTGGTTCAGCAGTTTGAAGCATTGAGTCTTGCATTTCTCGCCCTTCTCCCTGTCTACTGGTCTATTATCTTTTATAATCCTGTGATAAAACAACAAATACAATTAGAAGCAATTATTGAACAAGTCCTTTTTATTCTTCACAAAGTTAGTTTACAAAAAGAAACATAAAAATAAAGATGTACACATCTTTCGCATTTCATGCTGGCCATTCGAACTACATGCACAACTAACAATAAGTTGACAGATGTTACTGTACAAAATGTGGGGCATACTACAGCAGAAATATAAACATTGAATTAAGTTTATGATTTATTTTTAACATTGAACAAAGTTGTGAGATCAAGCAACAAGAGTATCTTGTCTCACTCAAACATGATCTGGCAAAATGAACACCACTTAATAAGGTTTTTGCTTGGTTTGATTTTCTCGTCAATTGTGATGTCAGAAGTAAATAGTTTATTAACATGAGAAAAAACATGGTGGATAAAAGGATGGACAATTTAAACTGCCTCAAAAACGGATGTGTGACAACAATACAAACATACGTTTAGCAACGGTAATCCAAGTTTATGGTAAATGAGTTTTTCCACAAATGTTGGTCCACAGATGTATAAAACAGCATACATAAGGGATCCATTGGCTGCTGATGTGGCTTAAACTATCAATGTAAATTAAGGAACAGATTGGAGGTCCCATCAAAATAAGCCATATTTAAAAAAGGTCTTCTAGTGTTCTCTGTAGTTCCTCTCACTGGGGCTGGTGATGCATGAGTGTAGATCCAAGGCCCTCATTCAGTGCTAACCTGTGTCACCTGGGTTTCCCCCGCAGCATTGGTCGACTGGATAAACATAGGCTGGGTCAGCTCCTGTCCCGCGGGCATCGTCACCTGCTGAATCTGATAGAGCTGCTGTAAGACAAGAACACAACATGAATCAATTACTCATAAAAACAGAACTAGTTAATGAATGAATGTCAAGAATACCTGTCCGTCTGTAAACTGGTTAAATTGCTGCTGCCCTTGTACTTCTGACTGTGTAATCTAAAACAGATAAAAACGTGATAAAAGTACAAAATAAAACCAAAAAATAAAAATAAAAACATGTGTAACTATTTTTGGATGATACCTGCTGGGTATTGGCGAGAGTCTGAAGCTGTCCTTGAACCACCTGAGCTCCAGAAACGGGCTGAGCGAGACGGATGTATTGTAGTTGACCTGCATTTAGCTGCACCTACACTCCAGAGACACAAGAGGGAGACAAAATCTACTTCAACGTAAAGGTCACGGGAACCTTGGGTCATTTGTAGCAATGTGGGTTTTTTTCACCATTACAAAGCAATGCTAAATGTTACAGATTTAGTGCATAAATATTGTAAAGTACGGTCTAACAAATACACATTTCTAGAGTGGCTAAGTCGTACCGGAATTTGCTGGATCTCTCCTGTGTTGGTGATGATCTGCTGCATGACCTGCATCGTCTGCCCCTGGGCCTGAGCAGTCTGCGCCTGACCTTGGGCAGTCTGGACAATTTGTACTTGTTGGCCCTCACCCACTTGCATAGCAACTGGAGCACTCTAAAAAGCACAACCAAAATGTAATGCAATATAAGCAACAGGAACATTATCCCTTCATGGTCTATGTATTCTATGCTTTATTCTGAGCAGTATGAAGGTCATGTATTGTTAAAAAGACGGCAAGATGGAGGTGACCAGGCAGATTTCAGGCAGCTCACTCACTGACTGTCACAGTACCTAGAGAAGGCCACCTGATCACTGCTGCCTTTAGTCCCCAGTGTGACTTATCAAAGAGCCGACTGAAGCAGTAAGATGTTACATTTACCGTGATGGGTGTGCCTTGTGATTGCACCTGCATTTGCTGTAGTTGCTGCATTGTAGCACCTTGCAGCATCTGGTGGCCGCAAGTGTTGGAATGAGAAATGAGAAAGAGACACATGAGAGAGAAGTGAATGCAAGGACAACACACATGATGCAAGCACAAGTGGAGGGTATGCACATGTTAGCAAACAGTGATGCAAGCAGCGAATGATTTAGAATCTGCAGTGTGCCATTTAAGACATGATCTGAACATCATGAGAAAAGGAAATTACAGAGGGAGTGTGCATAAACTCCATTAATTTAATTGGGTGGTATAATGAAAAGCAAACAATCAAAAATGAAGTGAATTTGAGTATACATATTTGCATCAAAGCTTCACACCATAATGAGGTCTTCTTTAAATGCATATTAGTGTAACTGTGTGGGGAAGTGTGACCTCTACTCTCACAGAAGAACTGCAGCAGGTCTAAGTGAGGTTGACAGCTCAACTAAAAGGAAGTGTGCTGAAGCAGCATAGATAGTAGTGCACATGTTCTGTGCAGACTAAAGCCTGGTTCACATGAGACGATTTTAAAATTGTCGACCGATTTTTTTCTCTGTGTGAGACCCCACACACGGAGATAAAAAATCACGGGTCTAACCACTTTGGTCGTACAGTGTGTGGTGCGCAGCCACACGGCTGTTTTTTTTTTTTTTTTACGCTGTTTCCGCGCCGCCTCTTCTCGTCTTCTGATTGGCTACACGCCGCAGTCATGGCAACGCGCTCGTCTGTCCTCGGGGGACACCACACACGAAGAGAAATTGGGCCAAAACTATCCAACATGTTGGATATCCCCGATATTGAGATCGGAGCAGTCCCGAAGTCCTTCCGAGCGACGAGCACAGTCTTAACACACCACACGTTACGATATTCGGAGCGTTCTTACGATTGTCGTAGGGGTAAATCGGGTCCAAAATCGGCCCAATTATCCTTGCGTGTGAACCAGGCTTAAGAAGCAAAACAAGTAGAGCTTGAAAGAAAAAGACAACTGCTCCTAATTTTTTAATTGCCCAGCCATAATGTTGTGTCCCGTCTTTAAATTTAACATTTGCTTTTCAGTATCATGTATTCAAACCACACCTCCACAAGACCTGAGGCTCGCCAAAAAAAAAAATCAAATATTGTGTTAATATTATTTTTATTCAGTTGCTGATCTACCTGTCCTTGCTGTGGCTGTGCGATGATAATCTGGCCAGGCTGAATGGTGGTTGCCTGTGCCCCTGGCTGCTGCTGCTGTGCACTCTGCACCTGCACTCCTCCAGGCTGTTGAGCCAAGGTGAAGTAGTACTGAACCGGCTCGGCTGGGGCCACCGACTGACGGACATCGTCCTGTGGAAACACACAAAATCAGTCGGATACATCTCAATGAATTATTGTTGTTGGTGTAAGACTAGAGGACACTGGCTTAATAAATAACCCATGGACTTTGGCCGGAGAAGAGTAATGTAACCAGGGCGCAAGATCAATTAGAAGAATCAGACCAGTCAATTTTGCTCATGTCGAGGAACATGAACATAAGGCCATTGAACAATAAAAGGTAAGTTAAACCACTCCATTGGTCCAAATGGAGTGCGGGGCAATAACTGGTGTAACAAAATACTGATATATTTATAAAAAATGTGGCAACTCTGATGACGTGTGTCCATCACCAGAAGCGTAAACACCCCTCTCCCAGCTCAATGACAACACAGCTGAGAGTGTAGGATGTTTACATGCCTGGAGACAGTCTCCATTAACACCAAATATATCATTTGGAGCTCTAAATTTACAACTCCATCATTAAGAACTCTACACGACTCCCGATTTAGTGGAGGTTTTTGAGTTCAGTTCGGTAAGAGGCAATAAGATGCTGCAAACATCCGACTGAAAGCTATAACTGACCCGAAGCTTCCAGTCAAGGATGTTTACAGCGTCTCCAAACTGCCAAATGTAGAAAACACTGTAGGATTGAACACTGCTTTCAAACAAATTTAATAAAAGATAAACACGCTCATTCATAGTGGTGTCTGTACCTGTCGTTTGGCAGGTTTCAGATCATCCCGGGGCACAATGTCAATAAGGAAGTCAAATTGGTCAAACTTTGTTATCGCCATGGCAATGTCATTCCTCTGTAAAAAACAAACAAAACTAATTTGTCATTGAAAACCCTTAATTCTCAGTGCTCAATATGGAATTTTCCACAGGATATTGGCTATCAGGACCCCCCATTGCGGCCCTCTCTGCACTGGGACCTATTTATAGAAGCTTGATTAATATCTGGTCACACCGGGTCACATCTACACTTGTTCTATTGATGAGCGTTGCCATGGTGATCCCATTGGCGTGCCCCTGACAATGGCACACATAATCAGTCTGATCTGTACAAACATCTGATGTTTTGAGAAAATGCTGTACGTCTTCTGTATATGCTCAAGTTTTCTTCTAGTCTTCAGGAAGATTAAAAAAGCTTTTAATATAGGTTAATAATAAGGTTAATCTAAAACACATTCCAAAAAAATCTGAATATTGTGAAAACACTTGTAAGACACTAGATTCGTTGCAGAGTGAAATATTTCCTATTTCTTTGTATAGAATTATAGTTTCACTTTCATTTGAGATGTACTAGTGTGGTATATTCATTCTAGGGATTTCTTTCAAAGGAATGTGGGAAGCCCTTCAGTATATTTTAATCATATTTTAAGAGGTTGGCCCTCTGTGACTTCCAGGTGTAACTGCTAGTCTATATTTGCTTCATTTCCTCTCAGCATTCCCATGTTGCCTTCTTCCTCTTCCGCTCATTCAACTTCTGGACAGCAGAGGGAAAAGTGCCACAGGACAGAAAGTGGGTCACAAGCTCCCGCCTACACTTTCAAAGACAGAGAAACTAAACAGAAGGTCCGTCCTCAAGGGGACGCTGGTATGAGATCTCCATTTAGAAAGTCAATAAAAAAAACTACATAGACTATGGGAAGCATGTATGCAGCCCACCTAGAGAAATTTAAACAGCAACTCCTTCAGTTTGCACAGCCCACATATAAATAGACAATGTTTAGTGCGACTGTGACCTGCAGTGTGCGCCTCTTGTTGTCCTCAGTGTGGATCCAAGCTCGGAGAGTGAGCTCTGTGATGAAGATCTGAGCGGCTTTTGCAAATAGTACTGGGGCCTCAGCACTAATCATCTGTGCAGAATAAAAAAGCAAAATATTAGTAAGTACATCATTAAATAACAGCATATGTGCATTAGTATAAAGCAAGTACAGTTTAATGGTTGATTTATAATGCATGCATTTTAAAAGCTGCTGCGTCAGGGCTCACAGCAGGTCTGTCCTCACGCAGGTGATCTTCTGATCCCTTTACCGATTTAAGCTCCTGCTTATGTCACTAAGGGGATAGCAGTCCTAACACCACACATGACAGTGACTATGCTTACACCAAGGGCAATCCATGGGATTTTTATTTATTGAAAACTATGTGCCAAGTTTGTACAACAAATACCAATACTTTAAGGGGGTACCAATACCATCTCAGTCTGATACCACACATTGATAAATAATCTATTTAAAATGCATTTAAATAGATTGAAAAATATCTAGATATCAGTTTTAGCAATCTAGAACATTTGGATTGAAAGGTATTTCAAATCATAGAGGAATGTTTGTCTACATTCTTTTCACAGTGCAGTCATCCAGAGAGTGCAGCTCTTTACTCATCAGGGGTGTACACTACCTTGCATCACCGGGTATCACAATATACATCACAATACATCTCGAAGTAAGATCTCACAAGATGCTGATTTCTTATGGTTTCACTAGTGAAGACTAGTGGGACATTAAAAAACTCAATCGATATCTTTAACACCCCCATTACTTTTGCAAAGATGACATTTGTGTTAGTGCTGTGCTGCTGGACAATCAAGTCTCTAAGAAGAATTTGAAGTTGCATTTCCAAAGGCAAAAGGAAAGCATGATGGAGTCAAAAGATTTTTAAAAGTTTTAGACTGTAGCTTAACAGCAGCAGCTCTTATTGGTTCAGTGATTTTGAGTACAGACCTGCATCACTTGATTTGAGTACTCTCAGACCTAGATATTTGAAAAGCATTGCAGTATCATCCCTGTTATTCTCACCTTAACATCTTCATCCAGCTTCATAATCTTTTTGATTCGAGCTAGAGGCAACTCCTGCACACGAAAATCCTTCTGCAAGTAAAACAACCCATGTGGGACATGAGACAAAGCAACTGAAACTAAGCGTTTAATTTAGTTTGTGCGGCTGTACGCTGTACCATTGTCAGGTTCCTGATCTCGTCCATGACACGGGGCCAGAAGGACTGCAGGGTTTGCTGGGCATCGCTGCTCCCTCCGAAAGCATCTGCAGACATCCTCTCTTAGCCTGCAAGTTCAAAATGGGTTAATATGGTTTACACTTACTCATTTGCATTTGGTTAAAGCTAATATTGATCCTAGTGGTAAGAATTTCACATTCCTACACAAGCTCAATCTGCACAGCACACATTACATGGCAGTAGAATTTTCAACAATATGAAAGGGTCATGTGCGAGTCAGCTGCATTTGAGGTTAGCTTTGCTTTTGACCCCTCATCCCGGGGCAAGGGAAACCTGTTCATCGAAGTTTATTCTTTCAAGAGCAGTAGTTGAAACACACTTGGCAGAATAGTGCATTAATAGTCATCTAGGGAAATGTCCTGTCAAATGTAAAGCATACGTTTGAGCTTGCTCCTCTGCGGGGGTAAGTAGGTTTAAAAGAGGATCCAGCAGGTTACTATGGTATGCCAAGAATCTGCTGGGAATATTGTCCTGCCTGTCTGAGCATGCACAGCTCTGTGTCTGGATTGAAACCTTTTACTTTTACTCTGCAGAAAGGAACATTTGGCATGACGAAAGGGTTCTTCAAAGTTATTTCTCTGGATGAATTGCCTTGTCCAGTTGAGTATAATCTAGCATTAAGACAAAGTGCCGCGGGCTGCTTTGAGGAGGTAAGGGACAGACAGGAGTATATGGGTCAGGAAGAGACAACAGAGCAACAGTAAAAGTCTCCGTCGAAGAATTCCACCTCACCATTTGGTCAAAGCGGCACTGGTCGCCGCTTTATGAGTCTCGTTTACATTAGTTGAATCATTTCAAAATTACGTGTTGGATTTTAGACGGCCTATCTTATTCTAGATAGTTAGAGAACAAAACAAAGGGAAGCAGTTCGTTCTTTCATATTGCTCTAACCAGCAAAAATTAATGCGACAGAATGGTTTATTAACCCCCGACATTGCCAATCAGTTGGTTCAGAGCCACGGCACATGAGCCTGATGACTGACCTTCACAACGACTGTCTCCCATTTTCTTTTTACTTACCACAAAACAACATTAATTCTTTAGTGATTCAAAAACAATAGGTGATTTTGTACTGGCGAGACAATGTTATAAAAATCTCAAACAAGAAAGTTCTATAATCTATACTTGACATGTTGATTTAAATGTGCAATTTAAAAAAAATTGGTGTGTCAGGTGGATTGGAACAACAAAAGAACTACCAGGGCCTTGGTGTCCATGTACCAATTAACGATTATGGCATTTTAATGTCATAAATGACCTTTATGAATATTGATGGAAGTACAGCAACATTTTGAAGAAGGGAAGACACGATGACATCCAGTGTATGTATCCAATTAAGTTGTTAAGTAGGTTTTTCTGAACAAAATTGGTAATACTTCATTGCTAGGATTGACCAGAAAAATTACTAAAGGCCGAGATGTAGACAGGAAAATAATCAATTAGAGCATTTTGTGATCCTTGTTTAGAATTAAATAATGACGTAACGATCGTTTACCTGGGAAAACTAGCTTTAAAATTAGGAACACTATAACATGATTGCGTATAAGCCAGATGGGAAGAGGTTAAAGTGAAACTTGTATTTAAGCTTAATCTGTGCTTTTTATATAAAGCAAATTCCATACGTAAAACTGAGTGATAGTTTATATCATCAGTAAATTATTTGTGCCAAGGCCTCACTGTGGTGCGTCTCTCCACTGCAGTCGTGTCGTCCTTCATCAGGTCATAGACACAAAGTGATGTCGGTGTTGGGTTTCCCTGGAGTGTGTGTTGTGTGTGCGAGTCAATACAGTCCAATGCAGTATATTCTTGCTACAGAGCTGCTGCATTTCTTCTTCCTGTCATTTGTTTGTTTAATGTTTCTGCAATAGATTGAACAAGAGCAAATCACCAAGCATAAATAAGCCTTGGTCTTACTTAAGCTCAGAGTCAGACCAAACTTCCTACAGAAGAGCAAAGTAGCATCAGTTGAATCAGCACTAGGCCTGCAAGTTTATTCACAACTGTATTGCTATTTGAGACAGCAATTGTTTAAAGTTCCAGATATCCTCTCTTTGTAAGGAGCAGAGTTAACTGATCCATGTGTTAATGGAATCCAATAATCAAGCACACACAAAGCAAATTCCCTATTGCAAATGTGAAACTGACCACTCAAATCACTTTGTATTTGATACATTTTAAAGTTGAGGGATAAAGAGGCAGTTGTGTGTCTCCAAAAGAGTTTAAACATGTGTTTAACATTAAATCATATGTAGTCGCTCAAAAATGCCATTCAACACAGAAAATTAATACATTGATACATAATATTGCAAATCCAATTACCATTTCAATGTTCCTAGAATTTTTTTATTTTTTGCCAAAATCAGCATTAAATGTAATTCCCACTTTACTCTACAGCTCTGGCGTCTGCCTCGCTCGCTCTCCCTCTGACTGGATTAGAAGAACGTCACGTCAAGTGGGCACTTGCAGAAGCAGCAGCGGCTTTCTCAAACTCGCAGCATTCCACAGGAGCCTTCAATTCCTGTCAAAATACAACCGATAGCTCTACACACAGAGAGGCAGGGATGAGAAAACACCATGCTATTGTAAAGCCAAAGAAAGGCTCCTGGATGGCTATTGTAGACTCTCTGATTAGTTAACAGTAATTTAGCATTTAACTGATGTACAAATCTCATGAATTACTACTTAGCAAAGCAGTTCTTTAACTGTGCTACATGTACCACACGTGGTACGAGTTGACTTCATTCTTGGGTGAATTGAGTCTTCTACAGATCAATTATTGACAAGATTTTTTTTGCATTTTAATCCACAATGTTTTATTTTGAGTAGAACTAGAAATAGTGTAGACTCATTTAGCCCAAGAGAAGACTAGCAAATAATGTTAAAAAACCTGGTTTCGATATGATAGTCAACAAAAAGCTAAAAAATACTTCAGAGGTAAAATAGTTTTGTGGTATTAGTAACTGGGAAAAAATAATGAGGACCACTGGAATCATTAAATAAAAATGAAAATATATGTAAATGTTGACCTTGCTGATCTCTAAAAGCAAGCATTTCACAATGAAACAAATCATGTGTACAGGATGGAGTGTAAATGATCTACACTCCAAAAAAACAGTTCTCAGGGTGAATTACAGATTAACTCTTGTGAAAGGGCCACACATTTGTTTTTAAGACCAGGAGGGACCTAATGACTGACATGCACCTCTTGTGCATGGCTGGACTGTACCAATGATATGAGTAAACAGGCAAACTTTGCCCTTGGTTCTACTTCAAGCCAACTCCAGGAAGTGCTCGTCATTGATCTCCCAAGGTCATTCAACGGCAGCAAGAGGGAAACCAGAGAGGGGTAGGGGAAGAGATGGAGGACAGGTTTTTCAACTTTCCCTGCAGCACTTAAATGACCCGAGGTGGTGGACATTCTGAGATGCTCAATAAATAAAACGGCGCCTCAAACACCACACTATTAGTTTGTTCTCTTTGTCAGGTTCACTTCCTGCGTTCACATGCTTCGGTCTCATTGCTGACAGAGAACCAATCTCACACTCACATTCCCATGACCTTCATCCAATGCTAGGCCTCGTCTCCAGCGTCAGTAGGCAGGGCTAAAGCTACCTGCATAAAGCGCAGCAGACCACAGCCGACTCCCTGACTACCCACACTGCCTTTGGTGACAGTGTACACATGTTCAACTGTAAGGGGGGAGGGGGGTTAGGGGGGAATGGGGCAAGGGCAAAGCTGCCAGAACACACTGAGGTAGTGGTTACCTAGCGATAAGCTCAAAGTCTGATGACTTTAATAACTTTGTTCACTCTACCTTGCGAGAAGTTATAAGCACATATCTATATCAACCAATACAAATACACTACCATTAGAAAGCAAGGACTCCACAGTTATTTTTAACATCACTCTTTCACTCCCAATGGGACTCAGTTTTGTAAAAGCAGCAATGGAAACATTCAATTAGAAAGCCCAAGAGGAAAAACAATCTAACTGGAAGGAAGTTGGAGCTGAGAAATAAAGGAGGCGCCGCCGATGCAGATTCCTTCAGATGGGATCAGATCAAATCATCAAGCTGCTCTGCCCCTGGAGCTGACAGGCTGACAGTCCGTCCCATCTGGGAGTCTGTCCCTAACGGGTGGGGGAAAGGGGTCCTGGGGTCAATGCAACCAGCTGCACCAGTGTCCTGGGGGACCACGGACTTCCCAGACCATTAATCAAGACAGTAAGATACTGCAGGTTAATATGGGTGCCAGTGAGTCAGTGCCACTGTCTAAAGGGTCCACACTTACTAGCACCGTGTCCCTTTTGACAGCACAAAGGGAAAACAAATACTACAATCTACCCTAACCCAGGGCAAGACTGCAACATCCATAAACTTTTAAAATGGCTAAAAGTTTTTAAATGGCCAATGAAAAAGTGCTTCTTTTCAACAAAGAGGAAAAAAGTGAAGGGCATGCGCGCCATACACGCACAACTCCGCTCTCTCCAAAGACACAGCGACAGGACATCAGGAGCGGGAGGGGGAACAGGACGGCTGTAGAGGACAGACCGTCTCATCACTGCGGTGTCGACGGACAAGGTTAACTATTCATCACGTTTAGCAAACATTCAGTAACTGTAACATTTTATGGCCTAACTAACCGAAGGGTCTAATTTTCTGTGTGGTCAGTCCGGACTTACCCAGTGCCCTTCATGGTGCAGTTCTGTTGAAGAGCTTCGCATTTCCCTGTATCTCAGCCAAAGCAGGCGAGTAGGAAGACGGGAGGAACTCTTGACAATTCATCTAGTCCCCATGCAGATCTTATCAATAAACAAAGGGGTCCAGTTGACGACTTAAAAAACTCCGACCCGGACACAAGTGAAGAGCTATAGAAGCCCCCTCCCCCTGCGTTCTCATCTTTGCTCCGCTCGTCTTCTGTGGCTACAAACATCTTTACTCCTGGTCAAAACCCTCCGGACTCCCTCTCCACCTCAGCCAATGACGCTCTCGCAGCTGACCTCTCCTTGTCATTGTTTTGACCAACTTTTACACCGCTTTCCCTGCTCTTCTCGGGTCTTTGAAGCATCGTTGTGCCAACCTCCGTGGCAGGACAAACTCAAGGAATTGGAAAAGGCGCAAACAAGCAGCAACATATCGCCAGGCAAATGATAGCGGCCCTCCCGACTACCAGACAAAAAATTCACTAGTCTCCTGCCCCTTTAACATTCAACAGTATTCAATCTAGCATGCTACGTGATCGTGAAACCCCGCCTCGTCTCCAGCTCCTGCCTAGTTTACCACTTCTGGCGAATGAAAGCGCAAGAGTTCTCCTGTGCCATTGGTCCCCACATGTGTCATGTAACTCAATAAAACAGCGTAGAACCCACCCCTTCGCTCTGGCCCAACCCCGTTCCACTGACAGTCAACTTCCTGCTCTAAGTTACCTTGAGCTGCAAGATAGGGGTCAGGGGAAAGAAAAGCGGTGCATTGAGTAGAGAGAAGTACAGGCAAAGACAAAATAAAGTTGTAAAAAGCACTCGCAGACTCGGTGCTGGTGCATCTGCCTGCCTCAACATGGTGTGTCCTCCAGCGGTGCTTGAGTCTCCTGCTGTCGGAAAGATGAGCGGCTACCGGGATGCTGTGTCTGACAACACTGATCTCTGCTTATTTACAATGTCAAACAATATGTCTACATACGGCCCGCCTCCTCTCTGTTGCCATTGGCCGAGGGCTCTATGGAGAAGGACTTGACTCTGCATACGATTGGCCGCAATGAGAACCGGGATGGGTGCTGCATGTTGCGTACACATGATTTAAAGTACAGAAGCATAACCACCGTTTCATCCGTGTGTAAAATCAGATAGAATCCCTCACATGGTCCTCGTCTTTTCATATATCCCATGCCATTATAAAATTCCGGTGCAGCCATTATGTAGACAAAAATATATCAAGTCTAAATAAAAGAGAAAAACACTTTTGTAGGGCAAATTTCTAAAATTGGTTACTAAAATGAATTATCGTTTACATGGTTATAACAAACCAGGGACTGAGCTCATAACTGAACAGTCAGCTGACTTAAGAGCAATGTGGAGTGTTTCATTATTAGTCTGTTTGGACTAAACTAAAGATAGGTGGAAGTCTGTAAACAAAGACTGTGTTGTGTTGTCTGTAAAAAAAAAAAAAAAAATTACGCCCACAGAAAATTGCACAATTAAAACGTCAGCAATGTCACACAATGCCCTTCTTGTTTACCTACCACGTTTAATGAGAATGGAACACACAATTTCATTGTGTAATAAAAATGTTGCTTCTTATGAACCAAAAAGACACACAGGACATAACTAAACTAATATAATATCTATGTTGCTCATGAAGGCGAGTGGCATGTTGGCATATAGGCAAAGGAACAGAAAATCTTCCCCATCAATGAAATATCTAGAGGGGGAGGGGGACCGGAAGGATGGAGAAGGACAGAGAGGAGAGTCATTACAGGATGGGAGGGAGACTCAAGAGAAACAAAGCTCAATGTTCCCTTTGCTATTTTTGATAGGAGCACAGGGACTAGAGCAGGGTTAACGAGTGTCCAGTTCATGATTGTAGTATTCCTGCGCAAAGTTAAACCAAGTGATGGCTGTATCAGTTTGTAGATTCCACATTGCCCACCGGGCGGTACACAATGCAATTTGGAGACGCTCTCTTGTCTGTGACCAGCGTCACTATTTTAAGATAAACACACGTTACTTGGATAAACAATACTACCTCAGTATCTACGACATGCAGAGCAGTTTTAACTGCATGATAAGAGTTTTTTTAAATATCGTTTAACATTCAAATGGATATTAACGCAGTATTCTGTTAGTGTTAAAGTACAACATTAAAACTTAATGCACGTGTTCTATGGAGAGCAATCGAAAGGGGCAAAGGATCCATTTGTTTCAATTCGCGAGTCATTTGATGAACAGAACACTAAAGTATAACATTTCCGATCTTTCGGTGCATTTATGGCTGGTGATGGACGGAATAAATAAGTCTTAATTTTGCACAGCATCGTCAGATAGTATTAAACGGTTGTGCAATTGTTACACTTTGCATCATGGTATGTACAGAGGCGGATGACAGTGAAACAGCCGCAATTCAGGCTCTCCCAAACTTTCTCACGAACGCCTGGTCAAATTATCACCCAGTGGGCCATACGTTCGCCATCAAATGAAAGTTTGTGAACCTTTCCAGAGCTAGGAAGGAGCGTCTAACCAATAAAGGCAAAGTTCGGATCTGTCCTTCAGACCAATCAAACCTCGGACTTCATTCCACCAATCAAGGTTTTAAGGGCTATGTTCGCTCTGCAACTAGCACCATTCGGGGCCCAATAGGATTCACTGTTTAAGCTAACATCCAACGCAGTCGAGCCAACATGGCGGAGATATCGGAGCAGTTTCCTAGCCGCCTATGAACCCTTCAGCGGGCCACCAATAAGCGCCGCTGAGAGCAGGGAGGGAAATGGCGCCTCTGTTCATCTTCCAAAACAATTGTCTATTGGTCAAGCCCACCAGATGAAGAGAGCGCAGACAAATGCACATACATGGTCCTAACTTACTCAATTCACATCCAAACATGAGTCATTTCACTTACTTTGTTTTAGATGTTCGAAGTCAAGCCCAGTTCTGCGTATTATTTATTTTATTTAGCTACCAGAAAATCAAGATGGCGACGACTCGGACCGGAAAACGTAGTACGTAAAAACGTGATGACGTAAAAGCGGCACTAGCGTCACTCACTACAGACCTTTATTTCTATTTAGTATATAGTTATATTTACAAATGAAATATATATATTTCAACCATCTTGTTTATGTAATGATTTCCCTATAATAAAAATATGAATGCAGAACCACGCGTTTAGTTTTTTTAACAAGCCTTTTTTTAATGGACTGATCTGCAGTAGCCTTCCACGTCAAGTCTTGTTTGCGCCGTGTTTACACGTACATTATCATATTACATTGTTGAAAAACAATGTTGCATGAGCAATAGATTTCCTTAAATTCATATCAATTTGACGGCTGTTTTATGATAATCAAGGTTTTAACACATTTTAATTGTGAACCAATACCAATTATCAGACCATTACAAAAACAAAACAATGTAAGCTCAACAAACTAGTGCTGTAGTCAACATTTTAGGCCAACTAAATGTGACCTGTTGCTTGATTAAGTCTACTAAAAGAAGGGAATGATCAAACTGTGCTCACAAATGTAATTAAACTATTCAACTCACGAGAATATTTATAGAAAAATGAAATACATGTTCAAACCAGACCAAACTCTGAGGTGAATACAAACATTCAGCTGTACAATTTCACAAACAAATGATTGAAAAGGTAATCAATTAACTAATAAAACACTTTGTCAACTACAGGATCATCGAGCTATTAATAGAACAAACATCTATTTTCTTGCAACAAGTTCAAGGAGAGTAGACGTGATTTTATCCAGGTTCCTTGAATACTGAGGGGGTCTACTAATCCTTGGCTCATGCTCCACAGAGAGACGAGATGCGGTTGAGGGATAATCAGAGAATTTATCGGCCAGCTCATAATCTTGAGGCCTCGAAGGCTCTTGGTACATCTTGGGAAATGGTGATGTCATGCTTGGTTGATCACTGGGCCACCTTTGCATCTCTAAAACAAAACAAAAAAGACATGTCACAGAAACAACAAACTTGATTTCTAACTTTTCATTGAGTTGGGATTTTAATGCAGCACTTCTTAAACAGGGGTAAGGGATCCTTGGGAGACTGAGCCATTGGTTGTATTTATCAAAATTCTAATATTTGATTATTACCTAACTGCTGCAATTCAAAAATGTGTCTAGATGGAAACTGATATGGCAGAACATAGTCTACTCTGACAATGTTCAAATCCAGGTTAAAGACTGTTCTGTTTGCCTGTGCATACAACTGAAGGATTTTATCTCCATTTTAATGCACTGTGGTTATTTATTTTTTAATTCCTTGTGTAATTTTAATGTTTTAATGGTTTTAATTTGTGTAATTTTAATGTCTTGATTGTGATTCTGGTGTTTGTTTTGTGTGATGATTTGTGCCACGGGTGATGTGGACCGTGAAGCGCTTTGTGTTGCCTTGTGTATGAAAGGCGCTCTACAAATAAACTTTAATTGATAGATTAATAAAATAGTCTCTTATTACATGACCTGAATATACCTCTTTGTACATGCAAAGCAGAGGTGCCCACTATGACAATCGCAGGGTGGTTCTCTTGGTATGGGATTCTTGTCATAAAATAAAGCAGTTTGACAAGCCATTCAAGAAAAAGTGTGCATAAAATCACTGATCTACATCTCAACGTGCTTTGAGAGCGCATCCGCAGTAAAGAAATGTGCAGCGTGAGGAACAGCTGAGATACTGTGCTGAAGCCTATTAGGCTCCCTGGCCTCTGGTAAATTGTATTATAAAATATATATTGTTTTCAACTCATGATCAGTTATCAAACAAAACTATTACCATCATGTCGGTTAAATGTCTTGAATGTAAATAATGAGCTACAACTAACATTTTTAGATAGCTTCTTATATATTCAAGCCACCTGTTAATGATTCCACAAGATTGTAGGGATGGGATGATACAATTTCCATGAGATGATAAAAATGTTAATTACTCCATTGTGAAATCAAGGTTCTCATCTTAAAATAAAAACCACAAATTAGAAGTTTTGTAAATCATCAGATCAGCTGCTGAGAGTTCAACAAAGACAACCAAAAAAAAATATATCTATAACTCTTGCAGAATCTTGAGAGATCTTGGAAGCGTAAGATCTCATCCCATCCCATTGATTAAAAAAAATATTGAACAGTAATTTTTTGTGATGTTTACCTTTATGTGCGTTTCTGTTTGAATATTGAACGTCTGGAAGACCAAAACGTTGATACTCATGGGCTCCTTCGCTCATTTCTTTGTGTTGTTCATATTGTTGGTACTCCAGGAAAGGTTCACTCCTGCCTTCATTTGGTTCAGTTCGCTGGTACACTTGAGAATCTCCACTAATGTTTTGATGTCCCAGCCTGGGGTCGTCATAAACATCTTCTGATCTTCTGATCTGCAGATCTCCTCTGCTCAAGTGGTCTTGAACACGTTTCTCAAAATCTCCAATGCTTTCTTGATATCTTTCATGTCTGGGATCACCATAAACATCTTCATTTTTTTCCCTCATACTAGGATTTCCTCGAGGAGGTTGCCCATAATGGTCTTGAAAATGTTGCTCTGAGGCTGGCCTCATGTTGTACTCTTTAATAATGACTCCTCTACTTTGGCCAGTTTGCTGTAAATGAAAAAGAAAACTTATTACACAGAAGTCTAAGTGATTAAAAAAGTTAAATGTTTTACTGTATATGCCAACTTCCAAGCCAAGTGAATTTACAGCAGCTGGTTCATTAATACACACTCAAATACATTCCCACGGCTTACATATATTTTTTGTATTTTATGGGGAAATCCAAGTTTAAGTCTGACAGGGAAAAACTCAGATCTAAATGTACTACATATAATCAGACAAACATTTGTGCAATTTGTTTTGGCAGTTTTAAAAAAGGTGAAATCAAGTTCGTTTGAACTTAAATCCTCTATACATCTACCCTCCACCTCCTTTATGTTGTTCAAGACACTTAAGATAATTTAAGAATGTCCGCTACATACAGTTCCATTCATTTGCGTTGTTTTGTGAATACAAACACATACCAACGCTTTCTCAGCTTTTCTGGCCTTAAATTCCATCAGCACACAGCGCAGTCGTTCCTTCAGAAAATGAGCCTCCTCTTCATTTTCAATTTCAATGTTTCTCTGCAGGAAACACAAGCTGTCAATTTCACTGCTGATGTACGATAATAATTTACAAATACAACATACCAGCATTTCAAATACATCTCCAGCACTTTCAGGAAACTCCTCCAATGATTCCCTTTGTTCATTTTCAGTCAAATGGCTCTAATAGGCACATATTGAAATTGTATAAGAAAAGACTAGAACAAGAATTCATAATACAGGAAAGCTTTTACAGTCAAAGCACAAATTTAACTCAGGGATTCTCTAACTTTTCAGTCGGGATTCCCACAAAACTTGAAAAGCATGAACCGTTATTGATTTATAATATTTTCATTTTCTCATTTTGATTTCTATTAACACTGATATTATCATTTGTATATGCAGTCCCAAACACTTAATGTTTTTTTGCTGGAATATTCAATACAAAAAAAGGCTTACTCTATTCATCTTTTGTCTTTTTAATTCCTGGATTTCTGTCCTTGCAGAACCTTTTGAAAACCTTTTTGGAAAGATAACAAAAATATATAACACAGAAATGTAACATATACTGGAGTGATTTGTTTGAAAACAATAACATAATTACATCTTATAAGCAGCTTGAATCTCGTCGGCTGTTGCATTCGAGAAGCGACTCTTTTTTCTTACAACTTGCTCTTCGGAACTGGGCCCTCCTTTGAGGAACCGCATGAATGGATCGGGAATGTCAGACATTTTACTGTTAAAGTCTCCAGACCGGGATGGACTTCCTCTGCTTGACCTAGGATTGGACAATGGTGCTTCTGGATGCTCATAGGGAATACTACCATGCCTATAATTTTGCACAAAGACATCATGTGGCCTTTTGCCATCAAAGTCACTCTGATTAGCTACTGGTCCAGATTCTCTTCCGGTTCTCCTCATATGTTCATGTGGAGAATTGCCATCATGAGACCATTGCTTGGACTTGGCCAGTTTCTCACGCCTGAGTTCTTCAGTATAAAACTCCTGCAGAGCATCTTTTTGACTATGGGGCTTTTGAAATAAATCTCTTTCACTATGACTGTATAGCCTTCGATCTTGATCTTGAGAACCTAGTACATCAGGGAAGTCTTTCTTGCGCTCATTGCCCTGTCTGTCACGCACAAAGTCAGACTTATCAGACCACTGTTTCCTTGGGCCTTTAGGATAGCCCTCGTCCCGTGTGCCCATGTCTGGACGGTAACTTGAACTTCGCCCATTGTTTGGTCCACCTACAGAAATAAAAAATATATTTAAAGCAGACATTTGAGGTCAATATCCAAACAAAAATCTATTTAGTGAATATCCAACCTTGAACGGACAATCTTGGAAAAGTGAGCCCTTTCTTGTTAGACAATGGCTGAAATTAAATGTTTTTTGTAAATAAAAAAGTGCAATACTCATTACAACCCTTTCAAAAGTTTTTTTTTTCCCCCAAACCGTTGGTTTTCCGGAACCGTCTTGTCTTTCTGCAATTTCTGCTTTGGCTCGCATTAATTTCCCGGCTAAATTGTGAGGTCGCTGAGGGTCCCAGTTGACCAAATCAGGTCGATTATTTTCCTACAACAATAAAAGGGCATAACTTCTGTCAGTTATTTTTTTAACATGAGCACTGACAATAGACATATTTTACCAGGTATTTTTGCCTGTGTTTACGTCCGATCACATGCTGAACAGCTTCTGTGAGAGGTGCATACACCTTGCAGAGTGTACAGTTGTATTTGATGAAAGAAGGGTCAGAACCTTCATCCTCTACTTCAAATAAATAGTCCAAACCTGCAGACAAAAATGCAGGTTTGATGCGAGTATTCAATGTTACATTATGCTTTTTAAAACTCATATAGAAAATCACTTACCAACAATGGGTTCATCAATTTTTAAGTATTCCAGGTATTGAATGAGGTCTTCAAAATAAGGCACAGGTTGTAGTCTACTGATCTTTCCTGTGTGTCAAAATTAGAACGTTAGAAAATTCACAAATTTTACAAAGTGATGAAAGTAATTTAATTCAAGTCAGAAGACAAGCACCTCGCTTGCAGTGAACATCTCACTTGCTGCGCAAACAAACATCGGAATTGTTGGAAGTGTGTGACCCAGTGGTTGAATGTTCGACACCGTATAAAGTACATCTCTTGATGTGAGACAAGTCTGCTTCTTCACCAGAAAATTTGATTTATAAAATTGATGCCCAAAAGTATTTGATAAATGCTGTTACCATGCTGGGCATCCATCTAGTGGAGTTAGGATAATTACACTAAGCCGTAACAGTGGACGCTAGGACGAAGGCAACAAGCATGTTGTTCAAAATCTGTGTGTGTGCATGTGTGTAAAGTGACAGTATCTAATACTGATTTTAAATTACACGTGTATTTCATCCGTGTCGCCAGGCGCAAATCATATTGGGCCTATTCTTATCAAGTTATTGCATGAGAAGGAAAGACAGCAGCAAGACTTTGTCAGCACATCAAAGCTATCAATCGGTTTGGCCAAAGATCCTGAAAGCTGATGCAGACTGTGTGCAGGAAGAAAATAACCCTTGCAGATTTTCTCTGACAAGCTCCTCTCCTGTGCATGTGCTCAGTGTCTGAGGTGCTCATTGAGTTTAAGAACAGGTCCCAATCTACACTCAGCACACATGCTGTTGTGTTACAGTGCATAGTCCAGGCTTTGTGCAGCAAGAAATGTTACATTCTGTTGAAGATCCTGGGAAAAACATTTCCAAATAGACCTTCCTGGTGCCGTATTTGAGCAGTTTGGAAGTTCTTCCGAAATTATGCATCTCCGGGCATCTAAAGTATGCAAGAGCATTGCACCCACATGTGTTCTACTTCACCTGCAAATGGGATGGCGACACAGTCTTATGTCGTCTGAGGAACAAAAAAATATTTCCTTTGAAGGGATTAGTTGTTGCCTTTTCATATTCTGCAAGTCTGGGGGAAGAATTTATAAACTTCCTAAAACCTTTTTTCCCCCCCCTTACTAAACACTGCCTGTTTGGGAGTGTACTAGCCTGGCCTTAGCCATCCGTACACTCCGCTCAATTATCATTTTCCTGCATGTATCGTCTGGGTCTGGTCCCTGCGTTTGCGATTACAATCAGTTGAATTCCATCCGACCATCGATCAGCGAGCACAGGAGGCGGGTGTTGTAGTTAGATGTGGGTGACGTCCACATCAAGAGTTTGCGCCGAACGGGCAGGCTGTGGTTTGGCAATGGCGAGGAATCCAATTGTAAAGTATTCCTGTTCTGGGTTTATGAAGAAATTGAAGCAGGAGCAAGAGGAATTTAACAGAAGTCATTGCTGGCAAAGATTTTGACGCTACACCCCACGGGCTCCGTTAGCGGCAAAGGAGATGGCCAGGCTAAATGCTAACGACTCACCTCAGGCGGATTACATATGTCACGGTAAACTCAAATCCAATTGTTTCAATCTACAAAAAGGAGTTAACATGTGGGAGGGGTTAACGGGGCTCAATGGAGCACCTCCAAACCTTAATACAAAATGTAATTTGTGCTATGGTGTGGTACGACCTGGCTAGGAGTGTACAACTAGAACAAAAAATAATACGGTGAAGCTCATTAGAAGCATTTTAACCCCCCTGTTGTAGAACCTATTTGAGCTGTGCGAGCCGCTTTGCTTGCCTTGACCCTCCGCAATCCCTTCCACCCCACAGGGCAGTGGGTAGTTACCCACAGTGTGGGGGCAACTGCCCACCTGGGCCAACAGAGCCAATGGCTCTCATCTGGTTGGTGTATCTAGTCCTTGATCCATGTCACTGGGACACATCTCCAGACCTTGGATGATTTTACTGCAGCAGCAGCTTGGTAGATTGGATTGAAAAACAATCCAAAAGTAGGTAGTTAGAAACCTTTTACTGACATCACGAGTAAAACAGATACACAAACCCTGACCAATCCTCTTGTGTCCTTAGACAGGACAGTTAGCCACCTTACCACATGTCTACATTGATGTAAAAAGTGCCCACAATCGGTAAAAGTATATTACCTACAGCAGTTAATTTACCCTATTTACTTACCTTTTTTTAGTAGTCACTTTTTATGCTTAATGAAAGCAACAGGACACTTTTAATTCTTAAATCGGACTTTAGAACCACCATAGATCTGGACAGCAACTTAAAGTATTGTCTTCATTGCTTGTTCAAACAACACTGTGTTGTTTGAGTCAGCAATGAAAAAAATATGTACACTTTCCTTTTTATGCAGGAAAGTTTTACATGATGAAGAGCTTGTATAACATTTATACACTAGTCTCTTCTTTCTAACCAAGGGAGTAAATCCCTACCATGGCATGCACTGAATTCCGCTTGCTTCTCTTCTGAACAAGATATAATTTTGATTTGCCAGACAATAAGACATCAATTCTTCTGTTATGTTAAAATGACTTACCCTCAGCAACCAACGTCTGCTCATTCTGCCAGGAATAAAAGAAGAATCAGCAAAAAACATTTTTTTAATTCTAATTTAACATGATATTTTGTTACATTAGTAATTTAATATTAATAATATTATTAGTTTAATGTTGTATGTAAAAAATAAAATTTAAAAAACTGTTGGGACTCTGTTCCAATGTCTTGTGAAGGCCTCGAATGTGATGTTAAGTTTATACCAAAAACTCAAACCAAAACATTAAAATAGTCCATCAGATTGAATGACAGCAACATCAGGATTGAGATTTCAGATCTCTGGGTAGATGGATCCTGCAGATCTTGAAGAGCATAAAAGGTAAACAAAAATAAGATTCAGAGGCATAAAACGAAGCAGATAAACTAAGCTTATGAAAGAAAATCCACATAAGCAGAATGTTTCCTTACCAAGACAAAGCTGTAACCAGAGTCCAGTCAAATATAGTCTTAGACTCGGGGACAAGCACACACCAAAGCAAAACTGGTGTACGATGGAAACAAAGCAAACAAACCATATTTGGACATTTCCAATGCTGATACTACAGTTCAACAACAAACGATCAAGGCCAGAAAACTCAGAATGATAAGTGACCAATGGTTCAATGGAATAAATCAGAAATGCAAATTGTATGAAAGTATTGCACACCACCTCCATTTTACGAATTGCGTTGCTGGAAAGATTCCAGGAAAAAAATATATGATGATTGCAATTCCCATAATAGCTTTAGAATTGTGAAAACAATTGAAGACCGGGTCCAAAAAGAAAGTTGCAGTATCAGTATCGAAGTTGCCACTTATTCCAAGCGCTAAAAGGGAAGCTTCTTCCTTGTATACAAATGTATACCGAGAGAGAGAGATTGAATGAACATGGTACTTTAATGCGTTTGCAGAATAAAAAGTATCAAAGTATGAGCAGGTTGTAAGGAGAAACTCATGTGAAGCAAAATTGTACACTGCCAGACCAAAAACATCAACATTTGGATTCAACCAAGAGAATGGGTATGAACATTAATTATTCTCAAAGAATGGAATCAGCAGGTGTCTAAAAACAGCACCAGATTATTCCATAACACTTCTTCATCCCTGGTGGAATAAGCATAACCCAAGATGACAATGTAATATATAGGGCGAACATAATGAAAGAGGTTGAAGGAACAGTCCTTCATTGATTCATGTTTGTAACGAGACAAGCTGCACAGGTAAGTCACAAAACTTCTGCACAATACTGGTGTTCATTCTTCAGAATGCTCCAGTAATCAGTGTTTATTAAAAGCTATTTACAATGTAGGACAATGGACAATGTAGGACCACCCGGTGTTATACGATGCACATATTCTGTACATTGATCCAGATGACCTGCAATGGCAACGCCACAAGCTGCCCTCGCCTGGCCACACTTGTTCCGTTAAACAGTGGTCGGCCCTCAGCAGTTCTGTGCTTATCCAGAATGCACCTAGTGCCAGTGCGCCTCTGTGTCCACTCGGAACTGGTTTACAACTTCCATGTATGCAGTGGCATCATATTCTCACACAAGCAAACATGTTATTGTTTGCATGCGAGCGAGCCTTACAAGCCAGACATTCCTAAAAAAATGTTTGCATTCACTAAGTCACTTCACGTTTTTCCTTTTCTGAGAAAGAGGTTTACACTTACGTTGCACAACCCGGTGTAATGTCCGCAACCATACAATACTTTTCTGATTGGTCTGGAGGCACATATTGCACAGCCCTATTTAGGCAGAAGCTCAAACCATATCCAACAACACTGGATGGGAATAAATTCCAAGATAAGTTTGATGATAAAAAAAAAATACTCAGTCAATAGATGTATCTTGCAACACTCATGTAGTTTTGTTGCTCTGCAAAGTCTGCAACAAACAAAGGCTTAAGCCTTTTCATGGTGCAGTTGTGCACCATAAACAGAGGAGTTGACAGGAAGCTTGGCAAATGCATTTCAAATTCTTCAAATTAAAGATGTCTTTAAAGAGTGAAAAAACAGTAGATTATGGGGTACCCAAGCCACTCCTCTGAAGGAGAAAACAGCCAACCAACCGTGTAAGATCCAGAATACATTAACTTTGTGTAGGGAAAAAAGGCTGGAACTGCATGGACAATGTAGGACCACACATATGACCTTGCAAAAGTAAAGTCAGCCTAAAGGAACTTAAGGAGTTTGAAGGAGTACTCTGGAGTAGACTCAAGAGAGTTGGACATCAACTTCCAGGCTTGATCTGATGAAAATCTTGACAGAACATGTCTGAAGTGGGGAAACAGTAAAAAGTTCCCGTCCAAGAGTTTTGATGTAAAGTGCAGGTGGAGAAGAGAATGATGCTTATTAGACCCATGTAGCAGAAGAGATTTTTTTCAAATAATGATTTAAGCAAGATGTCTGTGTTGTTGGCCTCTGATAGAAGAGTACTGAGAACCAATACCTCGTCCAACCCTGAACATGAAACAAAATTTAAATAATGGCTCTAACCCAGGCTATGGGTTTTTTTGCCTTTGCCAAAATTGACAGGCAACATAGTAAGAGAAACTACCCACCTAGGGTAGTTGGACAATATACAAAGTGGGGTAATGGTAAAAATCAAGGACCTTTCAGGGGATGGCCTTGAATAATAAGGATACGCATGAGTATGAAACGTAAAATGTTCGACAAAGTCATCATTTATACACACACACACACACACATTACCTTTAAATGTGCTTGAGAGGTCACGTGTAACTTGTACAGCGTTTCTCCCCTGATGGATTTGTCGCAAATCTGCAAAACATTCTTAAATTAAAAGATAAAACACAAACTTGACATTCTATATGCCTTTTTATTGATAATGAGTTATGAAATTGTATACACCCTCGTATACATCCATTTCCATATACCATGTATGGAAATTATGCGGATGTGCAAGAGAAGTTTTAAAAAACAAATACTTGGTCCGAGACTGACGAGAGCGTACACAAACGCAGCTAAAGGCGCTAGCACAAGACCGATGCTAATCATAGAATGTATGCTAATGCTAAGCGATTAAACTTACCTCGCAAGTTATATATTCGATATCAGTGCTTTCGTCGTACGGTGTTTCGAAGATGTCCATGCTTAAATATTAGAGTTTGGCAGAGCGATAAGCTTGCTAAATAAAACTAGAGTAACTGAATTAACTGTTAGCTTAAACAGCCGAACACCTCTCACACACGGTGTTTCAGGAAATCCAAGCGTTCAGGGGCTTTTACAAAGAACAGAAATGTGTATTCGTGTGTAGTGGTCAAAGCCAATTAAAACTAGGTCCAAACATGAATGTTTTTACCACTAATAATGTGAACCACACCTCGGGCGCACGCCAAAGAACGCTAGTATTTTCTTCTGCTTTCCGGCAGACCCATAGACTGTAATGGCAGACCGTGGTCATTGCTGCCCTCTCTCGGAAGGATGAAAAAAGTACAGGCTCCATACATAAGCTTCAAAAAACATTGTTCCAAGTGATGGTAATTTAGCACTGGACACTGTACAACTGTATTTTGGCTTTGATAGAATTGTTTTCATGTGCTGCACATGTGATGTGCTGAACAAGCAAAGTTCTACCTTTTAAAGCAGATGGCATGAGTGTCACTTTCACTAGTGAATAGTAGACCATGTAAGATACTGCATACAATTACAGAAGGTTAGACATTAAAATCAAACAAAGCTATTCAATCTTTATACATGATGCAAAAATACATTGTTTTCACACACTAAAAAGGCATACAGCGTAAGATGACCTCAACATAAAATACTGCAAAAGATGCATGAAATGACAACGTACAATATTACAGTACAGCAGTGTTATGACAGATGCGAAACAGGAAGAAGACAGATCTGCTCACCGTAAATATGTTTTTACATTTTCCTGTAACATTATTTTCAAAATATAAACTGAAGACAAATAATTCAGATTAAACCAAAAAACATTTCATATATGAAGGGAAGTTGTAATAGAGGTCTTAACAGCAGTAGGCGGGGAATCCCTCAAGGAAGCGTATTAATACGGGAGCGCAGCTCTTTCCGGACTTGGGAAACTTGTGCCAGTTTCCGTTTATAATCCTACAAAAAAAAAAAAAAAAACATTAAGCATTAGTGCTTTATAGCTTGAAACACCACTGACAATATAGCTGATTGGAACAATTAACAAAAAATGATTATAGTAAGGCATCAATGACAATGAAGTAACTTTATTTGTACAATTTGATAATACATTTAGCTCTATAGAAAATATTGTTTTCACATGTAGTTTTCTTTATAAATGTTGGGCAAATAAATTTTCAGGAGAACTTGGTGCTCTTATTTGACAATTCAAATAATTTTTAATATGCAGTAAACATCAGATGTAGTGTAGTAATAGGCAATAGTACATGGCACACTTTGCACCATATGTTCAAAATAATTTTTCCCACACAAGAGTGAAAGAGCCACACAATAAAACTGAGATTTAACCACTCACTGAATGGTCGTTTACACACCAAGTTTCAATAAAAAATATTCAAGGAAATGCGTAAAGAAAAAAACATTTCATATTTGCAGTCTCTTTATAGAAGTGATTAGTGAGATAACATGGGACAAGAACATTGTTTCTAACAGGCACAATACATTTAACAATATGTACGCACTTCTAGTTTCTGCTCATTCTGAGCAAGGCCATCTTTCTGACTTTGGAGAAAAGATGTTAGTGTGCGGGTAAGTTGCCGTCGATCATCAATCTCTGCTGCCAAACGGCCGCTGTAGTCTGCTAGCAACATGCAGGCTTCTTCAACCAAACGAGATAGTCTCTCCCCAGACTCTTTATCTGAAAAGACCAAAGCACGAGTGACGATAGCTCCACAGCAATAACCAGACAGAGTTGAATCTGAGGACATAATCACGCTTCAGTTCAAAAGTAGCAAAAACATTAGTGAAAACACCAAACATAATCATTCAAATCATTTCACCATTTAGGCCAGAGGCCAAAATTAATTTTCCGTTTGTGCCCTACCCTTTAAATAGAGAAAGAGTTGAGCTGGAAACTTGGCCCCATTAAATGAGAGGCCTGTGTTTAGTCAATTAATTTAATTTACAATGTGATTTGTGTGATGCATTTTGTTTACCATTTATATCAAAATTATTCTTTATTCCCCTGTTGTATTTTTAAAACGACAGCATAACCAGCAACAGACCTACACTGTGTAACCCATGACAACTCTATATTGGCCCTGTATTACAGTGAATGTAAAATGATGCTGTAGTTGGATCCATATCACTGTGCACCATGCTTTCCACAGAGGAAAGGCTGATAAAGGCTCTTTGCCAAAAAAGCACACTCTCCTAATTTCTTGTAGCTTTGTTGTTTGAGGTTGTCTGTAGAGTAGAAAGGACAGATTTGTATTCAAATGTATAAAGTAGCGGTAAAAGTAAAAAAGGAAACACCCTAGTACCAGTATTTATTTATGTTTGCATATTTGGGTTATACAGCTCTGTGAAAGGCCGCAATATGTGAAGGAGAGATATGTTCACCAGAGCTTCTGATCATAGAAACACTAGCAGGTTGCTCCCTCACAAAAAAAGACTAATTCTGAATTTATGAATGAATGGGTCAAATGTCAAAACATCTATTATCTTTTCTCACATGGTTTATGGTGCATTGAGGCTTAGTCAAGAATTGCACTTGGATTACAATGTTATTTTCTCATATGTTCATTTGGCAAAAAAGGTTGTACCTGTGATTCTATGAAGCAGGGATGTGTCCTGTACTTCAGCAGGAAGTGACGAGATGCGTTGCCGCAAAACTGAATCACTAGATGCTGCATTTTCTAACTCCTGTAGAGCTCGTATCAACTCTGCTGTCTAGAAATAGGAAAATCTGTAGATAGGTGACCACATTTGACAAGAGCAAAACAAAATATTTGTAACACCACAACAAGCAACTAGCCATCATCACGGTGGTATAGTTAAATTAACCATATTAACCATACACATTTCATTACTATAATCAAACCGCTTATACCTGCGGTGGCTCTGTGGGTGAGCTCTGAGAAGCAAAGTCATCTTCATCAGGGTAAATGTCCTCGTATGAGCGTTTCTTGGGCTTCTTTTCTTCATCTGATATGGGAGAAAGCCCAAGTGAGTCACACATGCATAGGTCTAAAGCACAAACCAACAAAAAAATGTAAACTCACCTAGAATCTGAGTCAGCTGATTGAGGAGGTCATTATCATATACAGCCCTTTCCTGCCAAATGGACAACACTCGACTGAGTTGTTTTTTACAGCCGTCTTCACCCTCCCTAGAAAAAAAAATATTGTAAACATTAGATTGTAGCTGCAGAAATTATCAAAATGTTCACATGCTTTACCTGTGCACATGTTTGAATGCATCAACAATGACAGGCGCAAAGTCCTGAGTGAATTCAGGTCCTTTCCTTTTGCTGTTTTGAATGACATCATTGGCCAGGTAAAGGAAAGTTAACTTTCGAGACACCTGGGCTATAAAACGTTTACAAGAATTAAACTCACATGCAGCATGGTGAAGCTAACACGTAGAAATCACAACAGTACATGTTAAGATTCAGTATTTAACATAAACATGTAGCAGCTTTGATAGTGCAGTGGCTAAGCTAAAGTGGGATGGAATCAGACTGTGTATGGAGCATTAGCAGGAGATGCTAAGGGTGGGTTTGTTCCGAGACCAAGGCTTCAATCGACGCTCATGCAATTCTTACCATTTTTAAGTTCGTTCAACCAAACACCGACAATAGTCTTCGAGTGTTTTCTGTGGTGAATAAGCCACAAGGACAATGTTTGCACACTTTGCTGAGAGTTGCTAAGCTCTGATAGTTTCTTCTGTAGAGCCGCTTCAGAGAAAGCGGACATGTCGACTCGTCTCAAGCGGTCTGGAGGGGGACGACTTCGAAGCTCCCAAAATAAAATATCCACAAACTATTCCCTATTCGTGAACACGAACATTCGTGCGTCATCCAGAGTAAGCGTATATTTTCCTGTGCAACACTATTTGTACGAATGCTATCAGTCTCGATAATATACAGGAGACGAGCAAAGCAACACATCCATGGTGCAGAGTCGCGGGGCTTGGACGACACATTTCCGCAACAAAACCGCGTCATCGGTGTGGCGTTCAAATCCAGTTGGAATAATCATGACCCACAAGCTGCACAACATCGTATTTATTGAACAGGCAGACTTCTGAACAGAACATTTAACAGTTACATATACACAACTGAGTTTTTTAAAAGCCTGACAATAAAATACAAATTTAAAAAACTGAAAAAAAGATTTGGAATGCAATAGGTAGCATTTTTATGTTTAATACATTATTTACACTGAGGTATGTTTGTGCAGTTTGACTCACCTTGAGGCTACATCCAAATTCAGCAAAAAAAAAACCTCCCTCCGTGTGCTTTAAAATTTATCTTTTATGACACACTTGACTAAACCTGGAGCTTCCATGTAAGTTGATACCTTTCAAAGATGCTGACGCTAATTTAGATGACGGTTTATAAAAGGTCAATAAAAATGAAAAGGAAAGGTAAGGTCGTAAAAGGAATTGGGTGTTATGAATTTGGATGCAACCATAGAACCACCCAAGAAGAACAACATATTGTAACTAAAATGGGTGTTAAATCAAGTAACTATTGTACTAAAAAGAATGTATCACTTGAAGGAGCTCAGGTCACAGATCTGTTTAAACTTATGTGACTCAAACAAAACTGAAAACTAAAATTAATTTGCAGTAAAAGGGATAATATTTGGCACCAACATTTTGAATACAACGTTCAACATGTGTTTGTATTCTTAACAAAACCTCAACAAAAAAGCTTCAACTGTAAAGACTGAATTTGTAGCTCTCCCAGGTAACAGATTTATGCAAATTAATTGTCCTATTTTTAAACCAAATGCTACTTTTTTTTTTTAGGCACAAAAAGTAGTAGGACTAAGTGCTGTTTTGTAGTAGAGTAATAGTTTAGCTGTATCATTGTTGTTTTAATCAATAGGCTAGACTACAGCTAGATCAGTAAACAATCAGTCAATTCCTAACAATTATCCCCCATTGAACCAATTTAGTTAGCTTAAATTGGAAATAATGTGAACGCATCTTGATAAACACTGAAAAGACACATGACATTTCAAATATTGGTATATTCAGTTTCCCATAAGAACACAATGGTAAAATATACGGTTAATATGGCGGCCCTTGACTGTAAGATAAATTTGACATTGGGTAATATAATGCATCTGATGATGCACTCTCTGCATTCACATTGGGGAAAGCAGCACCTGGATAAGGGGGAACACAGAAGGGGCTGTGATGCCCAGTCAGTGCCAAAGATTGTGACTGATATGTTCCACAACCAGAGCTGTTGACCTGATATGAAGTGTATTGGTTCTGGGCATTTCCACCATGATCCGCATAATAACTGGAGTATGATTGACTGTATTCAGGGACTGAAATGCTGTTATTATGGGAAAATGAATTAGCAACCAAAGGATTCTGCAGACTCATTCCCCATGCACCTTGGACAGGCTCAGGGTACAAATTCTGTTGAGGAAACCTTCCTGGGACCAAGTACTGAGGACATTGTTGGTGGTAAGTAGGTGCACAGCTTTCATTCCCTTTGGTTCCAACTGACCATAAAATGCTATGGGGCAAGTATTCACCGAGGGATTGGGTAGGAGTATGGGCATTATACAATGTAGCTGCATGCCATTCATGTGCATATCCATCTTTTAAGTCAATGTTTGTTTTGTTTGCATAATTCCGGTTCTCAAATGAATCAGTCGGTTCAAGCTCTTGCATGATGGGGTAATCCTCCGACTTCAGGAAATCAACTGATGAATTCAGTTGATTTTGTGAACCAAGAACAGTGTTTTTTGAGGTACTGTCAAAAGGCTCAGGTGGAGATTCCAAGGTAATATATGAAGGATCTGGAAAGATATTTGAATCTGGTGAAAGGCCTGGATCCAAATGGTCAGTGGTCAAAGTCAGGCTGTCTTTGCTGAATGAAGTCCTTTCGATAAGAAGAGAGCCCTGAGTAATGGGGAGTGTGACCTTAAAGACAGGGTTCTTTTGTTTAATCGTCTTCAGTCTCTTTTGTCCTTGTTGAAAATTTTCTTCCATTAAATCCTTTTGTTGCAAAAACTTGGTCAAGTCATGTCCTGCAATGAGATACAGTTAAAAATATGAGTAAGGTAATTGAGACACACAAGCTGTCAAGTAAAAAAAATATAACAAAGAGCTCACGTTTAACATCTTTGTAGGTCACTGGGAAAGAAGAATTGTTCCACCCAAGAGTTTTTACGCCTGAAACATAGTTTTTTTGCTTTTTTTCTCCACCATAGAACACCGTTAATACATATATTTTACACAGAAAAAGAAAGAAAAAACATGTGCTCACAACAGTAACATAGATATTTACTTACACCAGTGGTAACTCTTGGTCGTCATTTGAATACAGAGAGCTAGTGGTAATTGCACCACCTAAGAAGAGGAGGTAGTACCACATAAATTAGCATTGAATGGTGTATATAATTTTAAAAAATGTCCCTGTAATTAGTGCAAGGCAAGAGCATTATTAATACTAATGATAATCATTAATTAAAATGTTCTTTTAATCTTTTATCACCATTATTATTATTATTATGCAGGAGCTCAAATTCATCATGGGTGAGTCTAATCCACATTTGCATTCAGAAATTAACCTTTTAAACCACATTTCAGAATCAAGCCAAGCAACAATTAATCAATGCTAGTGCTTCCAGTTAAGATAAAGTAATTCATTCACATAATTTCATATTCTCAATTTGCTTTCCATACCAGCATAAATAATATTCTGGTAATACATACTTTTAATTTAAAGTCTGTCCCTTCTTCTTTATTCAAGTTTTCAGCCAATAAAAAGACCTGATGACTATCATTTAAGTCCACTCTATCCAACTGTTCTGGGTGAGATTCCATCTATTCAAAAACAAGAAGTGTTTATTTTGTACATATTATACATTTATGAAAATTCTGAAACACAAACCAGATAGTTTGTGATATGGGAAGAGCTGGTCAAATGATCAATAATGTCATATTTGTGGGCACGAACACGGCAGCAGTGACATAAAAAGCAATGCGTCTGACCATCTGGACCTTTACACTCGATCACCCTCACAAGACCTGGTGCAAACAAAACTCAGCAAAAGGTTCTGTCCTCACAGCAGATAATGATTTATTGTTGTAGTTACCCATTAGGGGAGATTGTCCACCGTAGTCATTGAGAATGCTACTGCTCTGGTCTACTAAAAGTCTTGATGAACTGGGATTAGCATTACTGTGCTGAGGAGAGTTTTGTAAATCCAAAGAGGCCGTTTCAGGCTTCTTCTGTGGACAATATAGAACTATTCTCTGTGATGGTGACCTAGACTGTTCATTTTTTTTGGATGGAATTGTTTCAAAGATTTCTGGATCCGTGTCCTTCATGGTATCTTTTAGAAAATCTAAGACATTTTCTGCTGTGGTGTTCAGAAAAAGAAAAAATAATTCAACAGTCAAAAAAAAAAGACCAAACTCCTGTGATGTATACAGCACACCTTAAGCTGGGGACACACAAATCTCGGTTTTTAGAATGTTGTGGCGGGTTCAGGCTGCACAACGAGTAGGAAGACGGCACCAAAAACATGTGACCGCTTTTAGGTAGCAGTTGAAACGGTCAGGTATGAAGGAAAAAAACTCTGGTCTTAAAAAAACAGAATGATTGTATACAGTTGTTAAAGCAGGTCCACTTTGACGCAGCAGGTCTGGTCTAAATTAACTGATAAATTGATAAGAGTGAGTGAGGTTTGGGTTGAATCTTTTTGAAGGTCACACTTAGAGATTGGAATGTTCAGTCGGGTCGCATCATAGCTACACTGTGACTGAAGTAACAAAGACTTATTTTTTAAACTAGTGACCCAACAGAGAAGGGGGTTCATTGCGTTGTGTGTTCCCAGCTTTAAAGGCTTGCATCACAACATTTGCATAATATTGTTGATGCATGATTAGAATCTGTTGATAAACGAAGGCTCAAACACAACACACAAAAGCACTGACCATTTATAGTCTGACTTTCCATCTGCAGATATGATGCTTTGTCAAACTCTACCACCTTAAAATAATTATATAAATGAAATGAGTGACAATGCAAGTATCAAAGACAATGTTTTAGAGTTTAACAAACCTGAACATTTCCTGGTCCTTCGTTTCCCTCAACTCTTTTGGCAATATCCATCATGGGCCAGGCCAACTTGGATAGACAAGAACCTTCTCCCAACTCTGAAAGCAGTTCAGGATGTTTTGTTTTCTATTGAAAGAAACAAAAAAGGTGTGGGGGGAAGAGGTCAAGACCAAATTGTATATTTTAAACTTTTCTTCCAAATGTTGACACCCACAATGTAGTTGTATCTATGGAGGCTCCCCATGATGTGATTCCGCATGTCTGCCTTATCCAGGCGACACACACACACCTCACAGATGAAGAAAGCATCTCGCTGGGCTGTACCTCCATTCACACATTCAATTATGCTACTCAGGCCTGAAGGAAGAGAAGAATACATTGACAAAGAACGATGGGCTGAATCACAAGGTAAAGGACCAGATCCAAACCTATAAAAGGCTGTAGTCTGTTTTTGTTGTTCAAATGTGCTTTCAGAGAGTTGTACAGCTCACTCTCATTAGACTTTCCTAAAAAGGTAAAAGAATCATGAATTTTAGACCATGTTATCTCTCTTGGCCAATAAAAGATATAGAGGCGACCTTGGTGTGCTACAGGCAACATCCTCTTTGCACATGAGCACCTCCTACACACGGATCAGAAAAAAATACAAAAATTAGACTCAAGGTCAGTGTCCAAACCCAGCCTTGTTACAATTAAAAGTAACCCACATGAAACTTTTAAATAACAAAACTGTAAAAAACATGGATAATGTTGAAATTAATGTTAATGTTCACTTATTTAGTTTTTGAGCTTATTTCATCAAATTAATTCTCTCTGTGAATTCTGATGTTGGGGACACAACACATTTATGAAATCTAGTCAGAAAATATATTTATTTGAGCTAAACAACAATGTGTTATAGTTACAATAGTTGGAATGCCATCTTTAATCATAGGTTATTCCCTTTTCAAGTAAGGGACAAAAGACTTAAAAGTCTAAAATTGGATTAGAAAGCATCTTCACTTTGTGTTTATGTATTGATTTAAGGTTGTTTTTGTTGCTGTGGCCAACTTGGCTACAATTCGCTTGAAAATGATATAAGTCCTCTCAATTGCACAATCCATGTTAAATAAGCAGGGCTGAACTTTTTCAGGAATAAAACGTAACCTTCACAGCTGCAGGTTGCAGATTTTGGAGAAAATGATATGAATCTATATAATAAACATAAAAGCTTGAAGCAACACATAAGATAAAAAAATAAAATGAAGTCATAATACTACAGTTCAGGGGTGAGGATCTACACTGGCTTTATGTAATTTCATCATTCGACTGAAAAGATAGCATGAACTCAAGGGCTTCCTGAAACCTTCGTTTTTTATCAAATTGTGTAGAGACGTCATAACATACTGTGCCAAGATATCATGTGGAAAAGAAGGAGAGGAGGTTGAGACTAGTCTTGTTGATATTAAAGTCAACGTGACCTGGAAGAACTGTACATGTGCGCCCTTTGAGTGCAGTCATTAACAGTTGTTTATCTTTTGACCTTTATGTAATCAGAAGTCTGACTGTGATTACAGAATCTATTTTTTGGCCGAGTCCTGGCCCCAGAAGGAAGCTTATGTGTGTATGTGTTATTAGTTGTTAAGCAAGGCCATGTCTGGAGGTGGAATCGAACCCAGGACCTTGCTGAGAAGCAAGAATGCCAGAGTGTGTGTAGAATCAAAAACTTTTTTTAATACGAAATGACTAATAACAACTGTTCAAGGCCTTGATGAATTGTTAAATACAAGATAAAAACAGTGTCTGCAGAGGAGGGTTTTATCCTGATGACATGTACACGTTGATCAACAGATAGATCACCACAGATGGTCATCAGAATAAAACCCTGATAACTGAGAATGAAGCATACAAAAGATACAGTCATCCATAAATTGTGAAACTGTCTGCTTTCAACTTCTTATTTTAAACATCATCCAATACATAGATTATATAAGGATAATCCGCCAGGTGGCAGTGCTGCAGCGTGTGCAGGACATGGATCTAGGTGTAGAACACTGAAACAGTGGGAAATCAAAATTTTCCAAAGAGCTGTTTTTATCTGTGGAAAAAGTCTTAATTTTAATTATTTGACATCAAATTAATGAAGTTAGCTACCAGTAATAATAAAGTACTTGAAGACGTCCAAAATAAATTGTATATTCCTTCGTCCAAAAGTTATCTGGAGTAATGAAGATGACTTCTGTCAGAAGTTCAACATATTGGACTGTCTTTCTGCATGATCAATGATCGTCTCTCTCCGTGTCTTAGATCGTGTCCAGTCTGAGTTCATCACAGCCTTTTAAAGCCACAGATGGGCTCACACGTGGGCTGTAAGTGACGGTTAACTACCGTTAGCTTAACGTGGTCAACACGGCGATAAAGACACTGTCATTTCTTACCCGATGGATGGCGTCTTCTGTTGTAATATCAAATAAATAGTTTCGTAAAACTCAGTAGTTCTCTATGAAGTCAGTGGTGTCCAGCCTGCACCGCCCTCAGAGTAGATCATGAATCTATCCAGTGTTTCTCTGCGTGTGCTTAAAGAGCTCCTCCCACACGCTTCCTGCCTCCAGAGGAGCTGCAGAGGAGCTGGGGCCGGGGTCAGGGCCGGGGTCAGGGCCCGGGCAGGGGTCAGCCCCCCACAAAGACACAACTTCACATTCTATGCATATTCTCTCTCATACAGTCTATGGTTATACTCTCTTATACTGTGTATGGACTTACCTTATACAGCTGGGTGCCTAACTTTCTAACCCAATAATGGAACAGTTTCTCTCTCAAGAAATCTTGATTCAATCAATAGTTTTCACACATGTGTTCTATCAGCTTTTGTAGTCTATGGATTTACTCTTATACAGTCTATGGATACACTGTCTATTAAACAGACTTTAGATAGTGTATGATCGACGACAATGCTCCTCAGTCTCACACACATTATCTGTTTAAAGCTGTGGTACCCGACTTTCTAATCAAAAATGGAAGTTACTTTTGTTGTTTCTTCTTCTCAGCAGAAGATGGGGTTTCCCACACAAACCAGTGTAGTGTTGGAGAAGGAATGCACTCTGAGTTATGTATTAAAGAAAGAGTTTAATGGCATAATCAGAACACATCAAGTCAAATTCAGGCTTAGCGCTTTCAGCCTGGGTCATGGTGTTGGAAAATTTATGTAATATAATTTCCTGCTTCAGTTATTATGGTAAAGTGTTGTTATTATTCAAATGTGTTACTGTTGTAAAGGTGGTGTGCCAGAGGAAGTGTGACTCAGAGACACAGGAAGTCGTGAGGCACACTCTCTGTCCCATGGATGTACTGTATTATATTAACGCTCTGTCCACACACCCTCCACCTGCTATAAAGAACCGGAAACTGGTTCTGCAAGAGCAAAAGTTCAATGCTTGCATGCACACTGTGGTGTGCAGCTTCACTCATGGAAATGTTTTAACTGACTGTTGTGACAATGTTGATCCGCCCCTTTTACGCATACTCAATAAAAGCTGTGGGACGGAAAGGGCGGGTGGGAGACTGCTCAACCAAGCAACAGTAGCGGCTTGGGTGTGAAGGCTCTCACACGTTCTACGTCATGGTGCTACGTCCCTTAGGACTTCGCTAGTGGGATATCACTCGTGACCCCCAGGTCACACGCCAGAGAGATCAAAATAATTTGCTCCAATCACCAGCCACCTTCCTCTATAAAGGCCCCTGCACACAGCCGCACCCCCTCTTTCACTCTGGCGCCGTTTGAGATCTACCACAGTACTTACTTCATTCTGGGATGTCTTCCTTGTTCGTCCGAGTTCCCTTTGCCCTCCGGCGTCGGACGTCATCGCTGGATCCAGACGGTGGAGGACTTCACCTCTGTGGGCGCCACCACTCGAGGGAGGAGGAGGATACAACCCACGTTGTGCCCGCGGATGGACCCGTTCGTCCATTACGCGACACGTGAGTGGCCTAAGCCCCTAGCAGCCAAGAGGCCTACTCTGGGGCACGACATGTACTGCAGCGGGCAGGACTGGTCCTGGACCGGTGATCGAGGATTCAGTCCGCATGGCCCTGCAGCCCTCCGCATCCGTGTGGCCCGGCACCAGACCTCTCCTTCCCCCCGAGCGGGACAGGATGTCTTGGCGATGCCGGATAGATGTTATGCCAATGCGGCACAGGTCCTCGCATTGGCTAACAACATGGCATTCATCACGGGGGCCCTGAATAGGTCGGTCTCCTCTGGCCAGGCGCTCAGTGGAGACCTCCTGTCACAGGCGAGGACCACCTCGGCGGCGATTCTGCGCATGTGCCAGACGCTAGCCGTGGACGGTGGCCGCTCCATGGCTGCAGCCCAAGTCGGGGCCAGGCACCTTTGGCTTGGGCTGGCTAATATCAGGGAGGCGGAGAAGAGGCAGCTGCTGGACCTGCCCATCTCTCAGACGTCCCTCTTCGGCCCGGACATGCAGGCCCTGGTGGCGAGACTGGAGTCTGCAGCCAACGACTCGGCTAGGCTAGCCCCGCACCTAGCACCGAGGCGCGAGGCCCACCAACCATCACGGAGCCGGGACAGAGGCAGACAGCGTTCGCCCGGGAGGCATCCTGACCCGTATCCGCGCTCTGTTGTCCATCGTCCCCCCTCGACGAGGCCCCCGGGTCCAGACAGACCCACGGGTGGCTCGCGGGAGCAACGCACCCACCGCCGACCTCCCTAAGAGGAGGTCGGGGTGGAAAGTTTTCCTTCAATAAAGGCCGACCGGCATTTCCTCATTACTCGTTTCTAGAGTCTCATTTGGGGGTATGTAACATGTCAAATAATCTTGTGAATTCTGATTGTGTTACTTCTCGAGCACATAACGTTGCTTCGCTAGGCCTGCAGCCCCCAGAGCAGGGTTTGCAGTGCGCTACGCGAGCTACGAGCTCCGGTTCTCTGGTTCTTGCTATGCCCTCCCAGAGAGGTCAGGCGGAGGGATCTGGTGAGTAGTGGTGTGTGTGCTTCGGCCGAACGCGTGTTAGCATCTCTTGTGCTACTAGGCTAACACGGGGTTTCCCACTCCAGGGGCTCGCCCCCCCCCTCTATGAGGCAAGAGCCAGGGGGGGGCACAGCAGCCGAGTCACGTGGGATGAGCAGTCCCGTACTTATGACGTCGGGCCTGCAGGACACGTGACCGCCCCCTGCGCTCACGGTGTGACGCAGGGGGCCCCCCGGCCCTTTCGTCAACCCCCCTTCCCTGCGAGGAACACCAGGAGAGGGCGGGGCCGTGACGTCTCGTGTTCCAGCTCCCGTTCCGCCCCTCAAAGACTTCTACAGCATCTGGAGGGAGCAAGGTTTGCTGACAGATCTATGGCTGGAGAAAACATTGCGCAGGGGTTACGCACTGCAATTCTCCCGAAAGCCACCACCATTCCGAGGCATACGGGCAGCACGCTCTCAGGTACGGGGATCATTAGAGGCACTGCAAGCGGAGGTCTCCTCCCTGCTGAGTTGAGGCGCAGCAGTGGAGGTAGACCCGCAGGACGCCACCAGGGGGCTGTACTCCCCTTACTTCTTAGTGCCAAAGAAGTCAGGCGGGGTGCGTCCCATTTTGGATCCGCGCGTTTTGAACGAGTGCATTTCCAAACGGCAGTTTCGGATGCTGCCCACAAAGCAGCTCCTCGAGTGTGTCAGGCAGGGAGATTGGATGTCCTCCATAGACCTGACAGACGCTTACTTCCACGTGCCAATAGTGCCGGAACACAGGAGGTTTCTGCGCTTCGCAGTGGGAGAGAGGAATTACGAGTACTGCCGTCTCCCCTTCGGCTACGCACTCGCGCCTCGCACTTTTTCCAAGTGCGTGGAGGCAGCACTGGAGGCGCTCAGACGTGCAGGGGTACGAATTTTAACCTACATAGACGACTGGTTAATTCTGGCCTCATCCAGGGAAGTGGCCGTGAGTCATATGCACTGGGTCCTGTCCCACATACAGCGTCTGGGCTTTGTGGTGAACAGGGAGAAAAGCAAGCTGCAGCCCGCTCAGCGCATGATTTATCTCGGCCTGCAGCTAGACTCTGTGACATTCCGTGCTGCATTGTCCGTGGACAGACGGGTGAACATTTCCCGTCTGGCCAGGGAGGTTCTGGCGGGCCCCAGAGTCCCCGCTCGGCGCCTCAGGTCCCTGCTGGGAATGATGGCGGCGGCTCATGCTGTGGTGCGGCTAGGCCTTCTCCACATGAGGAATTTTCAGAGGTGGTTCTCACGCCTCAGGCTTCACCCCTCCCGGGACGGGGGGAGGCTGATCTGGGTTCCCCAAGTGGCAGCATCGGACATCAGGTTCTGGCTCACTCCGGGTCTATTGCGGGACGGAGTGACTCTGGCCTGCGCCGTGTCTCACGTGGAGGTGTTCACGGACGCGTCACTCGAAGGATGGGGCGGGGTCCTCGGCCAGAGCTCTGTAGGAGGCTGCTGGTCGGACTCAGCCCGTCACATCAACCTGCTGGAGATGGAGGCAGTGCACAGGGTACTGCTGCACTTTGCTCCTCAGCTGCAGGGGAGACACGTGATGGTGCGCTCAGACAACACCACAGTGGTCTCCTATCTGAACAGGCAGGGGGGCACCAGGTTCCCCGCTCTCTATTGCATGGCGACGGTGACGCTGCTGTGGGCGGCGCTTCACCTCCTGTCTCTCAGGGCGCGCCACGTGTCGCCTTAAGGGCCGCGGACGAGCCGCCCCTAGGCGTGGACGCTCTGGCCCATTACCCCTGGCCAGAGGGCCTGCTGTACGCTTTCCCACCAGTGCGTCTCCTGCCGGTCCTACTGTGGAGGATCGAACAGGAGAGGAGGTCGGTGATCCTGGTGGCTCCGGACAGTCCGCATGCCCGGTGGTTCCCCTTCCTGAGGGGCATGGCGGTGATGGAGCCCTGGGCCCTTCCGGACGAGCCGGGGGCTCTAGTCCAGGGGGGGGGGAGCCCTGTTTTCACGCCCGATAATCGGCCGCAGGCTCTGGGTTTGGAGGCTGAGAGGCGGAACCTCGTAGACCTGGGTCTTCCCCCTGCGGTGGTGGAGACCATTCAGGGGGCGAGGGCGCCGTCCACTGTGAGGGCCTACGCCACGAGGTGGAGGCTCTTCAGCGACTGGTGCGGTTCTCGTTCCTGGGATCCCAGGCGTTGCCCGCTGGAGGGGGTCCTGGGACTCCTACAGGAGCTTTTTGACAAAGGGAGGGCTGTCGCCACCTTGGCGGTGTTCGCGGCAGCCATTACCTCGGGTCACGATGGATTCGGGGGGTTCACAGCCCGTTCTCATCCGTTGGTTAAACGTTTTCTGCGGGGGGCGCGCAGGAGGAGGCCCCCGCTCCAGAGAACGCCCTCGCTTTGGGACCTCAGGGTGGTCCTTAGGGGGCCGTCGGGTCCGCCTTTTGAACCGCCGGCGGAGGCGAGTCCCGAGTGTGTCGCTTTTAAGACGGCTCTCTTGCTGCCGTTGGCGTCTGCTAAGAGGGCGGGCGACTTGTGTGCGCTCTCTGTCCATGCGTCTTGCCTGTCCTTTGGAGAGGGCGACGGCATGGTGGAATTGTGGCCCAATCCGACCTTTCTTCCCAAGGTCATCACGTTGGCCTTTAGGTCGACAGTCATCAGGATTAGGGCTTTCTATCCGCCACCGCATGCCTCCCCCGAGGAGGAGCGGCGGCACCTTCTGTGTCCTGTCAGAATGCTGAGGCATTACCTGGCCATGACGTCGTCATTCAGGTTAGGTGGTCAGCTGTTTGTGTGTCTGGGCCCCAAGAACAGGGGCACCCCGCTGTCGGCTCAGCGGCTGGCGCACTGGGTCGCCACGGCTGTGCGGCGGGCGTATCAGACGCTGGGTCTGGCCCCCCCGGTGGGCTTCAGGTCGCATTCCACGCGTGGGGTGGCGGCCTCTACGGCCCTCCTCAGGGGGGCGTCGGTCGAGGACGTCTGCCGTGCGGCTTCTTGGGCATCCTCCTCTTCTTTCGTCCGGTCTTATCTTTTGGATGTGTCGGACCGGTCGGTGGCCCATTCCGTGCTGAGTGCAGCGGACTGAGTTAGACTGTTAGGTCCCTCGTCTGAGGGGGCCTTCGGTTGACTTTCTGCCCTGGTTCAGGAGCTCTTGGGAGAGGCATCCTACAGGTGCGGTACTTATATGTGTGTTTGGTCGGTCAGGTAGTCCACGTCAGGAGCTCTTGGGAGAGGCGTCCTGGGACTACGGGTGACCTACGGTCTGTGTTACGTGGGGGTATCCTTGGTAGGAGTGGCCCTGTAACACGCATTTGTTTCTTCTGCCCTGAGTCCTCTCACTGTGTGAGGGTCTTGCTCGGGCGGAGCTCCAATCACCCTTCGCTGGCCTGCTGGGAGTACATGTTCCTATGGCCTCCGCGTTGTGTCCCACTAGCGAAGTCCTAAGGGACGTAGCACCATGACGTAGAATTAATAGTTACCTAATGTAACTTATGTTATACGAATAGGTGCGTAGTCCCTTAGCTACGAGCCCATCAGGCCAGCCCGGCTTGGCAGAGTTCAAGAGGGGGTGCGGCTGTGTGCAGGGGCCTTTATAGAGGAGGGTGGCTGGTGATTGGAGCAAATTATTTTGATCTCTCTGGCGTGTGACCTGGGGGTCACGAGTGATATCCCACTAGCGAAGTCCTAAGGGACGACGTACCTATTCGTAGAACTTAAGTTACATTAGGTAACTATTAATTTCCCCCGTGTTCACGTAAAACTGCAGACCAGTGTCTCGATCTTTTGTTCGAGTTTTAGAGTTAACCTTGCAAGGTGAAGTGGCCCTGTACTGAGTACTTTATAGTTGGATTTCTTTCGAGTCTGTTGGTTATCATACACTCTTGTGTGGATATATTCCCTGACACATGGTATGAGGATGAGGATGGTAAGAATGACAAAGAACACATTAAGCACAGAGCTCTTATAGATGCACTAGAGCAGGATGTCATAAATACTTGTCATTCAATAATCTTGTAGACTAGTCCTGGTTAACTCCGTATCTCTGAGTCTGTCCTCCCTGAGGATCTCACTACATGTGGTTTTACTGCAAATGGCAAATAAATTGAATCTACAGGCTATTATTGTCCTTCCAGATGTCATAAGACACACTTATAACCGAACATGCATCCACAGGACATACATGTGCAGTCTAATGACAGACACTGCCGAGATGCAGATGGGGGTCCTATTGTCTCCAACGTCACATTGGCCTTATGATTGTCCCAAACACAATTGTACACACATATGAAGATACATACATATATTTATGTAGAATTAAAGAATATTAATAATAGCAGACACAACACTTTGTCAAAACAGCTTGATTCTATAGTTTTCATATTGTTTTGATTGTAAATGTTTTGCCTGTCACATTCTATCAGTTTTTTTTTAGACAGAAAAGAAGCTCTGACCAAAGTGTGAAAGTGACCCTAAGCCTTTTTACTATGATGTCCAGTAGCAGCAAAAATGAAAATAAAATTGATCATTCTAAAACGTAATAGTAATAATCAGCAACAGCCCTTTAGGTCACAGCATTAAGATGAAAGACGATAAACCAAATTTATTTTTATTTAGCTTAATAATTAATACTTCACCATTCACGTCTGAAAGATTTTAAAATACTTTTTCCCCAATAGTTTTTATTTTTTTCTTGGCAACATGGTATTTAGGACAGACTGTAAACAGAATGGCCAATGCGATAAACTCCACATAAATTCCCCCTATGTATATGTAAATCGATCCCTCATGCCCTGCCCAAGAACTAGGGGTAAATGGACTTGGTAGTCAGTTTTCAAGACTCGTTCACAATAACAAATCATTCCAGAGATAATTTAAGATTACTTATTTTATTGACTAAACAAAATAAAAATAAATAAAAACCGGTCCCTTTCCATAAAAGGTAATTGTACACTTTTATTGTATAATCACCAACAAAGGAGGAAAAAAATGACGTACAATACATAAAATATATGCAAAGAAATAATAAAAAATATAAATATAAACTTTTCAATTTTGATATTCAACCCATTCCTACTGCCTGTAGAGAGATGACTGAGACTCCATGGAACCAGGAGAATAAGACTGTGTGTGGAAGTAATTCTGCATCAAAAATCTATTGTAGTTTTGCAAACTGTTGTAGTTGAATGTGTAACATTGATGACCGAAAGTGTTTAATTGAACTACATTACCTGTCCCAGCCTCACCAGCATTCAAACATGCAGCATAAGTCTGGCCCTCAGACCGACTTATACCAGAGGCTCCAGCATTTTGTGTAGATGTGTAATATTGTTGTGCCTGCAGCTGGTGGAAAAGTTGACTTGGATGGGCAGAGTTGGAAAGATAAGCATGTTGTGCTGGCATATTGAGAAAATGGCTATAATCTCTTGTAGCTCCCGCTTCACCTTCACTTGGGAACCCCTGAGTGATTTGAACATTTGGATTTAAAACAGGAATTGGTCTGTCATCCCTATCTCCTAAAAATTGCACGGCAGTCTGTGGTATGGCTGGGACGAGAGAATAAATGGGCATCTGCAGAGTCTGGTCTTGGGTCTGCTGTGTGGTAGTTGGCAATGGTGGCTCTTCCTCTACTTGGCTTTGTTGAGCCTTAACCGGTGTATGCTGGATTTTAACAGTCTCAGTGCTCAAAGATTCATGTTGCATATGATCCGGTGTGAGACATTGCATTGGAACTTTCTGCGTTTCCAATGTCATCTGCAGCTCAAGCGTTTGCTGTGAATTCTGTGAGGTTCCAGCACCTGTGGTTTCGTCTATAGGCTGGTCGTCCTTGTGTGCTTCCTGGAACCTCGTCTGGAAAGATTCCATTGAATCTTGAGAACTCAAGACATACATTTTCAAATCTTGAATCATACTTTCTTCATTTTGTGCTTGCTCTTTTGCATTAGACTCACTTTCCATATTAATCCTTTGTTTGCCTTGTTCATTAGAAATTAGAAGCTTTGAGTAATTTCTTGACATCACTGAGAGTTTATCTGGACTAGCCATAGGCTCAGTCAGGTCCTCTTTGGGACTCACTTCAGTATCAGTATTTGACATAGGACCCACGTCACATCTTTTGGACCCTGGCGGTTTATGTAATTCAACACTGGATTCTGAGGATATAGATCCACGCGGCTCCTGTGATGGAACAGAAGGATAGTTTTGTTTGATTAAATCGAGTAGCATTTGGAACATGTCTGGTTGGTAATGAGGACTTTGTGCGTCATTGTCATTGGTGTTAGAAGGTGCCACAACAGAAGATTCAGATGAGCCTGTATGATCACCCTCTATTGATTTGGTAAAATAATCATTTAGAGTTTCATTGCTTGTGTTTTTCTGAATTGTTAGAGCTGGTTGTGATTGCTCTGAGAAATGTGTTGGAAATTGAGAGACAGGTGGTTCAGAGATTTCTTTAGGCATTATGGAGACAATCTGAGTTGATATAAAGGGGATGTCAGCCTCACAGGGCGTTTGGTGCTCATCATTTGGAGGTGCAGACAGGTGTGGGGTAGAAACAGAACTGCATAACATGTCTGGTTGTTTTGCTGGAGCAGGTCTTTGAGCTGGGCAGGTTTCTGGTGAGGTAACAAGAGAAGTAGTGACGGTCGACTCAGCCGGACTGGGGCACGTTTCAGCGATCGGAGCAGAACTATTCCCATACAAACTTGGTGAAGCAGAATCTGGATTAACTATCCTATTATCTTTAAGTGTAGAGAATGTATTTTGAGGATCTGTGAAAAAAATAAAAAAAATAAAATAAAGTCACACGAAAAGCAGAAGTAGTACATTTTCAAATACGTCTAATCGAACTACAGTTAGTTTTTGAAGGTAAATGTTAGTCTACCTTTTGGTGTAAATAAGAAGCAGCTCGCTTTGTTTCGTTTCTGTTATTCTGTGAAAGGACATGATTTTGTGATACAGTAAAATCATTTTGACCGCAATATCACTTATTAGAACACCTCTACATCTATATGTACATGTATATTCAAGAATTACATCACAGGTAGATTTAGTCCTTTCTTTAGTTCTTACTGAATCCATGTAGGTGATTCCAATGTCAGTTTATTTATTGTACAGGTGAAACTGGAAAATTTAGAATATTGTTCATAGGTTTTCTGTAATTCAACGTAAACGTATGATCAAATGAACAGATGATCATATAGAATGATATGAATGATTATGGCTTACAGGCCATTTCCATAATAGGAGCCTTGCATGTTTTTTCCCACAGCACTTGTACTTAAATATTAGAAGGAGGGCAGGATTTGAGAGAATCACTCTCACACCAGCCCAGGGACCATGAGAACAAACACATACATCTGACTTTAGCTGCTGTACATCAGTCCTCTGGCCTGTACTGTCCTCTACACTTGTCCATAGACTACACAGGGAGTGGTGTGTATACATGTGTGTGACACAAGCCTTCTCTGCAGAGGAGAGGCGTGCATCTCTCACTGCGCTTGCGGTGCGCATCAGCTGTGAGTCTAAAAACATAGATTATCAGTCAAGCTGCATATGGAGAAGGATGCTATTCACCTGCTGTCTGTTTCATAACGGACTCGTGGGCTGCATCATGCTTGGAAGCGGCCACAGTCCTGCGTTGGTGGCCTTGGTCCTCGCTCTATAGCCTGAGTCCTGGATCTATAGCTGTCCGTCCGTGAGAGCAGATCTCTCTCTCATTGTGGGCATCCCTGACTTTTTCTCACTGAGAGGGTCTAAGGACCCATCACTGTGATGATTCGGGACATTTATGGACATTTGTTATCTGCCCCTTATGGACCAATGGCTTCTATGTGTTTGTTATAATTGCATTTCCTGTGTTCGAACCCTTTGATTCTCTGATCTGTGCTGGCGAATCGAAAACTTTATAAAGTCCATGAGACAACTGCTTCTGTCATTGTTTTTGTTTTTTTTATATACAGTGGGGAGAACAAGTATTTGATACACTGCTGATTTTTCAGATTTTCCCACTTGCAAAGCATGTAGAAGTCTGTAATTTCTATCATAGGTACTCTTCAACTGTGAGTGATGGAATATAAAACAAAAATCCAGAAAATCACAATAGATGATTTTTGAATAATTAATTTCCATTTTATTGCATGAAATAAGTATTTGATACATCAGAAAAACAGAACTTAATATTTGGTGCTGAAACCTTTGTTTGCATTTACAGAGATCAGACGTTTCCTGTAGTTCTTTGACCAGGTTTGCACACACTGCAGTAGGGATTTTGGCCCACTCCTCCAAACAGATCCCCTCTAGAGCCTTCAGGCTTCGAGGCTGTCGCTGGGCCACACAGACTTTAAGCTCCCTCCAAAGATTTTCAATTGGATTCAGGTCTGGAGACTGGCTAGGCCACTCCAGGACCTTGAGATGTTTCTTACGGAGCCACTCCTTGGTTGCCCTGGCTGTGTGTTTTGGGTCGTTGTCATGCTGAAAGACCCAGCCACGACCCATCTTCAGTGCTCTTACTGAGGGGAGGAGGTTGTTGGCCAAGATCTCACGATACATGGCCCCATTCATCCTTCCCTCAACACGGTGCAGTCGCCCTGTCCCCTTTGCAGAAAAGCATCCCCAAAGAATAATGTTTCCACCGCCATGCTTCACGGTTGGGATGGTGTTCTTGGGGTTGTACTCATCATTCTTCTTCTTCCAAACACGACGAGTGGAGTTTAAACCAAAAAGTTCTATTTTTGTCTCATCAGACCACATGACCTTCTCCCATTCCTCCTCTGGATCATCCAGATGGTCATTGGCAAATTTCAGACGGGCCTGGACATGCTTTGGCTTGAGCAAGGGCACCTTGCGTGTACTGCAGGATTTTAATCCTTGACGGCGTAGTGCGTTACTGATGGTTTTCTTTGAGACTGTGGTCCCAGCTCTATTCAGGTCATTGACCAGGTCCTGCCGTGTAGTCCTGGGCTCATTTCTCACCTTTCTCATGATCATTGATGCCCCACGAGGTGAGATCTTGCATGGCGCCCCAGGCCGAGGGAGATTGACCGTTGTCTTAAATTTCTTCCATTTTCTAATAATTGCACCAACAGTTGTTCCCTTCTCACCAAGCTGCTTGCCTATTGTCCTGTAGCCCATTCCAGCATTGTGCAGGTCTACAATTTTATCTCTGACCTCCTTACACAGCTCTCTGGTCTTGGCCATAGTGGATTTTGGAGTCTGACTTATTGAGAGTGTGAACAGGTGTCTTTTATACAGATAACAAGTTCAAACAGGTGCCATTAATACAGGTAATGAGTGGAGAACAGGGGGGCTTCTTAAAGAAGAAGTAGCAGGTCTGTGAGAGCCAAACTTCTTACTGGTTGGTAGATGATCAAATACTTATTTCATGCAATAAAATACAAATTAATTATTTACAAATCATCTACTGTGATTTTCTGGATTTTTGTTTTATATTCCATCACTCACAGTTGAAGAGTACCTATGATAGAAATTACAGACTTCTACTTGCTTTGCAAGTGGATAAACCTGAAAAATCAGCAGTGTATCAAATACTTGTTCTCCCCACTGTATAGCCCTCAAAGAATTGCAACAAATTCAGAGAGTTTCACCTGTGTGTGTTAAATGAACACACAAAATCATGTGCATTATTTTAGTTGGAGAGGAAACTGGAATACCCAGAGGACGCTTAAGAAAACATGCAAACTGCAACAGAAAGGTGGATCTTGGTTCTACTGTTCATTTGACCAAGTGGCACAAAATGTATATGAATGAATTGTACTCACCATGTTCCACAATCCGTAAAAGGGATGTAGTTTCCATTTCTTGCTTAATTCTTTGAACCACATACAATGCTGAGTAAAAGTTTAGAGGTTAACTAGTATACCTTTTTTGTACAAGTATAGAATTCGCAACAAAATATCTACCATCCGAAAAAGGCGCTGTTCGGACCCACTCAAAGCACTCTTCCCTCAAAAGAACTATCTATAAAAACACAAGTCAGCACATTAGAACTGAATTAACAGACAGAAAATAATAAAAAAATGTACCTGGACATCCATTAACTCTTCCCTGCCTAAAACCCAGTCTGAAATATTATTTATGAGTTCAACCATCATCTCTGGTAGGAGGTCGTCCTCTTTCCAGAACATAAACCTTTCATACTCCCGCATCTGATGGAAACACAGAAGTTATAATTGACTTGAATCGAGGCCAGCCTTGAGGTTAAAAAGTAAATATACTTTCACTCACAAGAAAGTTTGATTTGTGTTGAAAATTGTCCAAGTGCTCAGTGATTTTTCCGACCACGATAGTTTCACAGCAGCATTCACACAGGTAGAAAGTAGGAGCCCTGGGAGGTACCATCCTCCAATCCCTGCATTCCCAAAGAAAACGAAGACCTGAAAGTGATAATTTTATAAACTTGTGCAAATTTCCAAGTGGAGCACGTTATGAAAAGCATGATTCCTCACCAACAACTGGCCTGTTCATTACTGCTAGAATACGGGACAAGAGGCTCGGTTCATCAGACGTTGAACCTATGCAATACGTACATTAAAAGCAGAACATGCATGTAGGGATGTTTATAATTATGTTTGCCTTTTTTTGGTACCTTTTATAATTCTTGGGGCCACTTTAGACATTGGTTTCTGGACAGGGGGGCTCGTGGTTGTCCTGGGTATTTTTATTAGATGCTCTGCAGTGATCTGCTCCTGTGGATTGGTTGGATTATCTTCATTTCCTGTAATATAAAATCCATAAACAGTACATTTAACGTTGATGCATGACAAATGGGGAATTTAAATGACTAAAAAAAAATTAAAAAACGATCTCTCAAAGTTGACATAAAAAGGGACACAATAAATTTACCGCGGTCAAGGTTTGTGACGTCAGTTAGGCTAGCTGATAAACTGTCACATGGACTTGCAGAGGCCTTTGCCGTCAGTCGTCGTTCAGATGGTTTCTTCAAGCCTTTATTGATCAGATGTTGTACTTTCTCTATTGCTAAAAGGAAACATTGGAGACCATTCACAACAAATTCTCAACAAAGTTTACGAAAATTGAGCGTGCGTTTAACCAAAGACCATTCAGTGTCCCAAAGCTTGAAACACAAATCCCGACTTTAGAACCATTCAATACAAATTACAATGTGAATAATTATAAGAAGGGACTCCACTCTAATCTGTTTCCAATGTCCTGATGAGTTTTTAAATTACCCTTGGCAGGCGGAAGATTTTTGAGCTCTCGGTACAGATCCAGGGGAATTTCAAGATCCTAAAAACAAAAAGAGTTACACGATATTCCAATAGTTAAGTCAATACAGAAAAATGAACTCTTACCTTGCATGCAAATCTCCCTTTAGCTTTCTCCTCCTCAGCACATTGGGCCACCATATCACCGAGTGTGCCCTCATTTAGCTGGGCATTCCACGAGGGATATTTAGCTTTCTGAAATTATAGAAGAGCTGGTGAATCTCTCTAGTAGCACTAATCTAAAAGAGACAAAAAGTTGAATTCATATATCTGGCTTGACTGGTTTTTTTTCCGCACAACCAATGATAATGAATGGAAAATGATCAGACTCTGCTTAGGTATTATTAGATTCCATACAGGTGTTGAAGATCAGCTATAGTGCAGAAAGTACAGGGCACCTATTGGACGCATCAAACCCTGCAGATTGATGCGTCCAATAGAGACGGGGAAACTAAAGTGAATACACTACTTGGCCCCAACAGGAATGTCCCAGTGAACAGCTGCAAATGATCACACAGGAGTAAAAGAGTCGCCAATATTCACTCAACATACAACATCAATTATGGGCATTTATCAACACTTTTGGAGATTGGTCAACTCACTACAAACTGTTGTGATTTAGGGCTATACAAGAATAAACTTGAATTGAATAGATACAAGAGATGACTGCAAACATCAAAAACAGAAAATAAAATAAAGGGCTAGGGTTAGAAAAATTAAAATATGATAAAAGAAAGATGTAGGATATTTTGAATATGAAGTATCTGCTCTGTTTTACATGAAATTACCTTGGACTAAATTGAACACATCTGGCAAGAGGCCCATGTTTAGGCTTTGTAGGGGCTCTAGACTCTGCAGGCCTGATATGGGAGAGGCAACTTTTTCCATTCATTATCAATGGTTGTGCGGGGAAGCTTTGATCTTCATACTAAAAGATACCAGGTCTCTGCATAGAAAAGGTCCTCAATTCATCAATTTTTTAGAATTATCGAACACATTTAACTGAACTTCCCGGAAACAAATATTAACAGTCTATATTGGACAACCGATAATACCCACCACACAATTCATTTGATGGGACTTGCTGGTTAGATGATTGGTTTTGTCAATAATCTCCAAACATGCAAAACAATAGGTGTGTGAGCTTTCATTGCATTTCACTCTAAGCATCTGATCATAACCTGAAAAATAAAGAGTTGAGACGATAGTGAGCAGTGAATGATGACATTTTTGAAATGAGCATATCAATACATACCAATTTTAGTGACTTTTTCAGAAACTTCTGTTGTTGGAGGACGTGGACTTAAGTTGGGTGAACTAGGTGAGAATGAGCCTGAGCCAACTTTTTTCATTTCTGCTACTGCTTTCAAATTTAACTTTAATTTATTTCCTGTTGACTTGGTGCGCTTGTCAGATGCATTGGTCGTAGATTTCGCAGGGGCAGCTGATGGAATTGAGCAGACGATTTGGGAAGTTATTTTTTTGACCACAGATGTATTGCTGCCAGAGAGAGCAACTACTGAGACAGTGTCACTGGGCAACATGGAGTCTGCCTTTTGTTGGACCGATTGATTAGGAGCATCTTTGGCAGAATTTGAATCAATAGCAAGAGTTATTGGGGGAATATAGTTTACTTGGGTCGAGTTGTCTATAACGGATACAACAGTTGTTTGAGTATTCGGAAGGATACCAACACTCCTGTCACATGGTGAGGTTTTCTCGTTTGCTGTACTATCACATGAAGAGGAAGCGGCCAGGCATGTCGTCACAGGAGTTCTGGTCACATTTTGGTTGGCAGATTGGGAGGTCATGAACTTACAAGTAGATGTAGAGTTTGATTTTGGTGTGGCAGTAATGATGGAACTGGCAGAAGGAACATTGTTGTTATCTATATCTTCAACTGAAGCAGCAGTAGTTTTAGATTCATTTTCAAAAACTGTGCCTCTGGCTATAAACTTACAAACAAGTTTATTTGGTTTGAATGTTTTATCTTCAATTTTAAGGCTGGAGTCAATTGGTGTATTTTGAGATCCAGGTTTGGCTTCACTACTGCTCAAATCACTTGAGGAAACGCGTATTTGAGTAGTTTCTGTAAGTGTCAAATTCAAGGAAATGGGAGGCGTGTTGGGTTTCTCAAGGAAATTGGACAGGGTCGTTGTCATTTCTTGATGTAATTTGGAGTCTGTTTCGATTTCTGATGACACGTTGATCTTCAAAGGACCCGAACAAGACTCTGGGTTGCTCACAATCTTCACATTCTAAAAAAAGAGAGGGTACAAATTTAACACTTTGAATATTAATTGAACACTAGTTTTAGCAGTATACAAAACCAAAAACTTCTGGGACCAAAATACACCTGATTATGCACCTGAAAATAACCAAGTAATACAGTTTGCCTTTTTTTAGGTTGAGATTGATGTATCAAGCTAGGAAGATAGCATATCATTTTTTGGCTTATTACAAAAATCAATTAAATGTTCCGTTTCAACTCCTCTCACAGAGCCTAAAACAATTATGCTTTATGATTACTAAATGAATACTTCACTATAAAATCATTGATGAATGAAAGATTAGATGTCCTGATACTATCAAATATTATGACAACCACAAAAATAATATTTACAGCTCTGATTGGGAGCTTCCAAGTAATTAAGAAGTTGCTAAAACTAAACGACTGATGAAAGAACCAGCATTACAGAAACACTTTTTACCTCCAGAAATCTAAAATTAATAACGCCATCTAAGGTTAATACAAATACAAGAAACTGAGATCTATAAAGCACAAGCAGAAATCTGTTTATATTTTTACTAGTGTGATAGAAAACAAAAGCGAAAGAATGTTCGCTTTCAGTCATGTGACCTTTGCTATCCGCAATGTCGGAGTCCCTCCGTTTATCCAAAAAAAGCAGAGTTAGCTACAGATGAAGAGACCAAATTCACGATGTTGGCCGCAGACATGTTACGTACCCCCAAGTGAGACTCAGACAAAGAGTACTGATTAAATGGCGGCCGGCTTTTATTAGCAAACCCTCTGCCACCCCGGCCTCCTCTACTGTAGGGAGCCCGGCGGTGGCCACGTTGTTCCCTCGGGCCCCCCGTGGGCCTGTCCGGACCCGGGGGTCTCGCCGAAGGGGGACGATGGATGGTGGAGCGTGGGTGGGGAGCGGAGCGCCTCCTGGGCGAGCGCTCCCTGCCTCTGTCCAGGCTCCGTGCAGCCTGGTGGGCCTCGCCGAGTCCTTAGCCGCAGACTCCAGTCTGTCCACCAGGACCCTCATGTCCGGGCCGAAGAGGGACGTCTGGGACACGGGCAGGTCCAGCAGCTGCCTCTTCTCCGCCTCCCTGACGTCTGCCAGCCCAAGCCAGAGGTGCCTGGCCCCGACTTGGGCTGCAGCCATGGTGCGGCCACCATCCACGGCAAAAGCCTGGCTCATGCGCAGGAGAGCCGCGGAGGTGGTCCTCGCCTCTGTCAGGAGGTCTCCGCTGAGCGCCTGGCCAGCGGAGAGCGACCTATCCAGGGCCCCCGTGATAAAGGCCATATTGTTAGCCAACGCGACGACCTGTGCCGCGTTGGCATAACACCTGTCCAGCATAGCCAAGGACATCCTGTCCCGCTCGGAGGGAAGGAGAGGTCTGGCGCCGGGCCACACGGATGCGGAGGGCAGCAGAGCCATGCGGACCGAGTCCTCGATGTCCGGGACACCACTGGACCAGGACCAGTCCTGCATGCTGCAGTACATGCCGTACCCCAGAGCAGGCCTCTTGGCTGCTAGGGGCTTTGGCCACTCACGTGTCGCGTAATGGACGATCGGGTCCATCCGCGGGCACAACGTGGGTTGCTTCCTCCTCCTCCCTCGAGTGGTGGCGCCCACCGAGGTGAAGTCCTCTACCGCCTGGTCCGGCTGCGGGGGTAGAGGGGCGTTCATGATGGCCGCCGCGGAGGTGTAGAGACGGGGCATGTGGTCCAGGGGGAACCGGTCCGGCTCCCGGTTCTGCGACACCGCCTCGTCCAGGGTGAGGAGAGAGCCGTCCTCCGAACCCTCTCCCACGTCGCAGCCTCCCCATTCCGCAGGCACGGGAGGAAGGTCGAGTGGGGCCCTGTCAATCTCAGACTCCACGTCCTGAGAGGAGTCCGGACGGGGCGCTGTAGCACCGGAGAACGCACGCCTGCGTTCGCTCTCCTCCCTGGGGAGAGCGAGACACGAGGTGCAGCTAGCGCTCACCGCCGCATGGCCCGAGCCCAGGCACATGAAGCAGCTGGAATGCTGGTCCGTGCGCTGGAGCCTGACCCGACACACCGAGCAACGACGACGTCCGACGCCGGAGGGCGAAGGGGAAATCGGACGAACATTCGAAGTAGACATCTCAGCAGACATGAAGGTAGATCTCAAAGGCGCCAGAGTGAAAGAGGGGGCTCGGTCCTTATGCAGGGGCTTTTATAGAAGAGGGTCGCTAGTGATTGGAGCATTTATTATTTTTTTGATCTCTCTGGCCTGTGACCTGGGGGTCACGTGATATCCCACACTAGCGAAGTCCGCTAAGGGACGTAGCACCATGACGTAGAACTTAAGTTCATAGGTAACTATTAATTCACAAACATGTCGGGAACTCGTGAAAATGTAATTTGTCTCCGTGTTGAGCCATGATGCACTGAGACCTCTGGTCAGAACCGGTGTCAGCGGTTATACCATGTAGATGAATGTTTGAGCCATTTCACAAAGCAATACTACTTTTTTGTTTTCCTTTCGAGTTTTCTGTCCGTTAATCGAAATATTAGCTAGAGCCACAATTGAAGGAACCAGAGATGGCACCAACATTAGCTGATGTTTAGCTAAGTTTATGATAACAATTGTTCAAACATGCAGCATTTGAGAACACCAAACTGTGGTCATATTATTAACCATGTTATTATTCAGACACTCTCACTGATCACAATATTCAGCAACAACTGCGACAAGTCCATGGACACAACACTGAAAACACTGAACTAGACGAGTTTAACTGGACACAACAGAACGTCACTAAAGCTCTGTATAATGATAGACTGTATATATAATGACACATTACACTGTATATATAACGCTAATGACACATTACACTGGCTGTGCAAACATGGATCGTAAATTAGCTCACGTTGGCAGTTGATTTGAGACTCCAAGAATCGAGTATAATGTACTCAGTCCAGTCTGTTTGATAAACCGTTTCCAACTGGCACCAGAGACGTGTGGTTCTGGAGGGCAGGTCATTGTCTTGATAACACCAGAAGCATGAGTAGAAGTGGGAGACAGAACTCTGTTGTCACAACTCCACTCGTGAGCGAGGAACTGCACTTCCAACACCGGAAGAGAACCCTCCCCCAGCGATTTGTCCTATTCATTCTTCGGGGGCTGACTAAATGTATTTATTGAAACATGCCCTTTACATTTACAAATGACAACAAACGTCTAAATGTATGCCCTGGTTTTTGTTAAATCTTTTTTGTATTGTATATAATGATTGTTATTTGTATTTTGAGGCACTTATTTTGTTTGTATTATGTTATATCTAAAACATGAAAAATTGGGGGATGAATTCAAAAATAAGGCTGGGCCGACAATAATGAAGTAGTTGGCTAAACAGAAAACTTTTTATTCAAACTGAATGTTTGGGTTGAACTAATATATATCCTGGATAGGATCTAAAGGTAAAGAAGGACTTTTGTTAATATAGATCCATACAGGCCCACGTTTCGGGCAAAGCTCTTTCACACACAGGGCTGGCGTCTCCACAAGAATCACCTTTAACCAGTCTCTTGAGGTAGTCTTTTTGCTGGGGAGTGTTCAGTGTGAACACTACAAACAAAATATAGTAATTTATACAGCAAAAATGCCAAAACAGTTTTTTAGCCCATTGATGTGGGTCTGGTGAAGAAGGTTATAAAACTACACACATTACAGCACAAGCCGCATAACAAGAGTGAAGCTCTTACCATCAGAGTTTGGGCTTTAGTCTCTCATTCATGAAGTTGTCCTCGTGAAAAATATGTAAGATATGTATAATACTTCACAATGCAATTCCGCTGGCTGAGAATTTAAAATGTAACCCTAATAAGACACAGTACCATAACACGTTTCCCTGTAAGAAGCCGACACAGGTCCAAACATGCCACCTTACACTATTGTTCTGGGTCAAAAAACATGCCTACAGTTTGTAAACGCCTCATGCTTTGCATCTGCACCGTTTTCATTCAGGACTGGGGCCTTTATAGTAAGGAATAAACAAGTCACAATCAGTTCAGAGTCAGACATTAGATTGTAAAGGAGCCATCTGGTGATAATGGAAAAGCCTTGGGTAGCTTGGACTCAAGCTGATCACAATGTCCTAGCAGGTCACAAAGCAGTGATTGTTACATCCCGGCACATGCATTTAACTAGCTCTTGAGTGAGCCCCATGAGTGACCATTAAGCAATTAGTATAAAGTCACAAGCTTGGATACTGATAACAAAAATGCGGTGTAGATATGAAGTTTTCGATGGACACTGAATAGACATGTCACCCACCTGTTGGTCCGTCTTATTATTTGCCTGCAGCGCCTCGTGATTCTTCAAAATCTTCTTTGCTGTATAAAATGTATGGGCTTCTTAACAAATGAGTTACATGTGCAGATCACCTGATGTTTTACACAATGACCCTTACCTTCTTTATACCCTGAGGTTGAAGTAAGTTTTTTGAATTCTTCTGGAGTCAATTCCAAAGTCTACTCCAAACATACAGATAAAAGAACTCATTCAGTTAGATGAAAAATAAAATGTAAAAAAAAAAATAGTCTACTAATAATGATGTCATACCCGAGCTTCTCCATATCCCTCTCTCTTTTCCCAGTCATCTGCCATTCTAAACAAAGCCATTCTCCAGGTTGGGGTTTGAGTAGGTGGCTTTTCCCCAACCATCTGCAGTCAAAAGATCCGTATAAATTACTGCTTTGGCAACAATATGAAAACTCTGAGCAAGTACTCACGTTCAGGTAGTTCACATAATGCCAGGATTCACAGAGATGTTTGGCAATGTGCTGCTCCTTGAATACTAGTTGGCAGCACTCACACACGTAGATTGGAGCAAGGTCTTGACAAATGCATTCAACAACTGCACTTAAGCCTATAAGAAATATTTCATATAAAAATATGGTTTTGTTAGTAAATAACAAAAAAATTAAGAAATTTACCAATTATAGGGGGACGATTTTCCTCTTGAACATGCAACCATAATATATTTCTGCAACATGATGCTGTAACAGAGACGTTTATTTAATTTGATCAATATTTATATGAGGTAATCAGTCATTGAGAGAATGCATTTAAAATATATTTGAATCACATGTCTATTATAACATTCTGTTACATGGTCCAGGGAACCGTGCTCTGTATACCAACAGAAAAACGTAATTATTATCTGCTAATTTTTATACAATAGATTTCTTACAGTGCAACACTCCATATAATTACATAATAATTTCATTTATTTTAAACAGCATTCAGTACCAGAGTCTGCAACAGCGTCACTTGAGCTCCTGTCTCCTGTTGCAGTTTGGAGGCTCAGGGTTTCCTCTGGGCTTCCTTTAAGGTCCACACTCTCAGTTTCAGAGACTATCGCGTTAGAATCACATTGCTGTCTTTCCATTGAAGGAACTTCTTCAGTTGGACATGATGCAGGTGGTTTACACACCGGTTCTCCGGGCATTTCTTTTTTTGTTTGAATGCAAGTTGTTTGGTCAACGGACGGTCCACTACCAGACCATTTTTCACTGCACTTTTCTGAAGGGGGCTGAGTGATCTCCATAACGTTTTCTTCAGACTTCAAAACGCAATCTTCTTTTTTCGTTTGCCTGGGAACTACAAATAAAAAAACCTTTAACATCAGTCTAAATGGAGATCAAAGCGTTTCACACTCTCAGTGTTTACCTGATAGGAAGATTTCTGACAGTAGTATTATAAAATGTATATTATCATTTCAATTAATATTTAATGCATTATCTTTAAACTAACTGTGTTGTCAAGGTTCACTGTGATTAAGGTGACTGTAAAGGTGAATGCATGTTAATAGGTCACTGGGTTACTTTCTATCCGTTGTATTTAATGTTTGCATTGTTAATTGTTAATTGTTGATATAAGTTTGGGTTGTGAAGTGAATTTGCAAAGTGCAATTTTGGGTTGTCAGCGGGAGATAACACTGGAAACCTTTTTAGGCTATAATGTTTGCCATATGGTATCTTTGGAGTGACAATAATGTGACCATGATGTGCTTTTGTCTAAATAAATAGGCCTGTAACACAATGGAGTTCAGTGCACGCACAGTTACAGCATCCAAAATCAGAGATGTGCCGTGACCATTCAGGCGCTCCTTGCGCTGCTAGTATAAATTAATCCTTGTCTGATTTGTGTGGTTTTGTCCAGGAGAAACTGTAGTTGAATATCATCTTTAACAATTTAAATTGATTGATCAAAACACATCTGACCCCAAGGATATCAATTAGTGTCAAAATCCAGTTTTACTAGAGAATCACATTTCTTTGTAAAGTACAATTCTTGAAAATGTATGCAATGCAATGCACATAAACAGGTTAGGCCCTGTTGTCCAGTTGTGTCGCGTTGTTCCTATTCTCTCCCATACAAACACGGTGACTGACACTTTGATGCAGCATAAGCACAATATTTACATTCTTTTGTCTAAAACCCAATTAATACTTTAATTTGACAATATATTAAGTATTATGTTCAAAACTGAGAGAATTATTCCCATTAACATGTTACTTTTGAAATGCTTTGAAACCTTTTCTTGTCTTACCCAATTTCCTTTGGGGCTGTATAGCCGGCATTAGGGGTCCTTTTCCAGTTTGTCTCACTGCATCGGTCAGTAAGCGTACCTCTAATAAGAACAAATGTGTTGGGTTTACATTTACGTTTATTTTATGTAATTATGTCAAGGCTTACTTCTGCTGTAGGCTGATACTTCAAGAATCTCAAACTCAACTTCCTACAACATCAAACATAGTTGAGATATAAACCCAATAAACATTTGGGTGATAATATTATGCACCTGTTCTTTAGAGATGGGGTGAATGAGTGCAGCTTGTTTGGCCATGTCCAACACCTCTTCATTGGTGGTATGTGAATCCAAAGATCCTGGATGGAATCGGCCCTTTAAACAAACAAAAGATGTTGATGCATTTTTCATAACTGACTCGGACTATAGCTCTAAAAAGCGTAGCTTTTAAACTGTCCTTTTACACAATTTGTCCTCAGGAGAATTGATTGATTGATTTATTAGGCACATACACCGCACAAATGGACATACTATTCCCCTTTGCTCCCTTTTATAATGGGTATGCAGAGTTTGTGAATTAGTTTTTTTTTTTTTTATAATAATATATTGTTTCAAAGCTTATCATATATATTGAATGCACTTACCAGAAAAGACTCCACATGTTCATTACTAAAGACATGTCCAGCATATCCATCTGAGGTGAGTGTTCTTTCACAGAGGAGACACAGAATCTTATATCCGTTTGTTGACTTTCCATATTTGACCAAAAAGTTCCTCCCTGCAATAAATCAAACATACATCATTGTAATATAATAAATAATACTAATAATAATAAATGTTCTTTTACTCCCAGTTTACCCAGAAATGGGAATCTGTCAGTCTCCTGGTTCAACATCTCGCACTGCGTCACTGCACAAACACCAAGTAATCAAAAATCTTAGTCTGACAAACTATTGATAATTATTTACAACTAAGTTATTTTTTATTCACCATCATTCACCGTAAGCTTCAATCGATCCATTACTAGAAATGTTTAAGACAATGAATCACAAGATACTTTTTTGACAACTGTAACACCATTACATTTAACATGAAGTAAAAGGTCTAAAACAGCCACAAGTCAAACTTCAAAAGTAACGTTGCAGTAAATGTACCTTGTGAAAATGTATGAGACAAATCCCCTGGGAAAAGATTTGATGGGACATCTAATACCTAAAGAAAATGCGATTTGAAACAATCAGTAATATACTTATTTTGAATGTATCTAAAAACTTTAAATAAATACCCTTATAATGCGTTGCTCTGTCCCTGCTTCTTCCTCCACAGAACATGCTTGTAATTTGATGTATTTCAGATCCAGGTCAGTTTTCCAGGCAAATGGAAGTCTCCACGGATTCTTAACCATCTGATCAACAAGTTAAGTTTGAGTTTTGAAAATATGACGCCTTAGTTAACAGCATTTACTCGCGCTCTCACCAGTGACTGGACAATGTGTCTTGGAGAGTTCATGTGCAGATTCAAAGTGTCACTTAAAAAAACCACGTCACAGGCAAAGCACATGTGAACAGGCTTCTGGTCAAGTTGGCTGATAATGGTCACAACCAGGGACTTTCCTATTCAAAACAGATTAATAATTTATACAAATATTATTGACATTATTTCCGTCTTACCAACACAAGAATGATAATTCTCTGTTAAATCTTGCAATAGTGGAAGTTGTGGTCTGCTTTGGAGAGCTGCAGAACACAGAGTGAAAGATTATTAGATGAAGATGAATCACAGATATACTTGATATAGATGCACGTACTTGATTTGTCAATAGCTGTAAAAGGGAAAAAAATCAAAAAAAAAATTTCAGTGCATTTTTAATTTACATAATACAATATTTGTTTTACCTTGTCCAAAGTTTTTTCTAATATTCTGTTGACAAAGAAAATTATTAGTTATGTGATGAAACAATTCACTTTTACTTCGGGAAGACCTACCTCCAGGTGTTCAGACATCCTGAGATGGTTGAAAAAACGTGTAAACGTGTCAAACCTCTGATTGCAGTTCTGTAGAACATGTAGAACTTTAGCTAAAAGCAAAAAATATCTCAAACTATTTTAGATTTTGCATTGGGTTGTTGCACCTGACAGTGGAGACTGTGTGGCTGTGGAGACGTGCTGGGTTCACCCCCACTCGAGGCGGCGTCTCCTGAGGTACATAGTCCAAAAATTTGCAATTAGTTCAGCCATTTAGTCATCAAGTAAGTTTGTTTTTTATATTGGAGTATACATGTAATTTGCAGATAAAATGTCAAGCAATAAAGTAGACTGATGTTTATACAATATTAGATCAGGGTCACTAGGTTCCACATTAGTAATGAAACAAACTGGGATTGCATTCTTCCTCAACTTTGGAAAGTTTATCAATTCCAGAAGAAGAGAAATAGTTTTGCCAATGTATTGTAAAATTTAAAAATATTTTACAAACCATACATTGGCAAAACTCTTGACATAATTTCTACTCACCAAGTTTTCTTCTAGGCTTGACCCTCGGTAACCTATTCTTCATTATGGTTTCCATTTGACACAGAGCTATAAAATCCAAATTGAGATAATTATATCGATATAACCCATGTTCAGTTAAAACATACCCACCATCTTTGAAGCTAGGATATACCACTGCACTTATCTGACGGGGATTTAAATACACTCGCTGAAAAACAGTAATTATTAAATGAGTACATACAGTTTGAAAAAAATAATAATAATAATGATTTCAGTCACCTGAATTTTTGTGTGGCCCTCATGTTTCTTCAACTGCATGGCTAATTCTGTCAAAGTACAGTCATTTCTGTAACACTCTTTTTCTTTCAAAGTCGGGTCCACGTCACTCTGCAAAAGCAAAAGATATTGAGCAATTTTTTTTGCAATTTTAATAACTGTGCCTCAAATCAACACATTTCTTACAAAGTAGTTGTAGAGGTGGTCAAAGCTCAGCAGGTGCCTGATGATCATGCTGCTGTCGAGTTGGAGACAACACAGAGTGCAGAGGAAGATGTTGGTCTCAAGCAGCGGCGACACACACACAGCCTCCACTATGTACTGCAAGCCTGCCACACAACAATCACATGTGTTCATTTAAAGCTCCAGGGGACAAAAACTTTCAATGCATTCTTCTCTACAAACCAACAAGAGGATGCTTCCTGTTTGGATTATCTTTATAAGTTTGTATCTTCACTCTTTCTGGGACGCGTTCTGTGCAGTTAATAAAATATTGTTTGTTATGACAAATGCAGTTATTTCACAAACTTTTTCATACTGGAGTATTAAACATACCGTTGAACATTTTTGCAAGACCTTTATAAGTATGAAGCCAAATCCTCACTATAAGACATTACAATATTCAAAATTCTTAATTTAAGAATAAATACAAACATACCATCAGAAGAATGTGAAACGATATTTAACAGACCTTTGCGATACGACTGACATGATACCATGTAACGATTTAGAATCTTCTCAGGCAAATGCAACACCTATATTAAAAAAACACACCAAACATTAACCTGGCAAAATTGTACAGTTGAAAATAAAGTGCAACAATTAGTTTAAAAGCAAAGGACAAATATGACTAATAATCTAAGTCATTATTCTTCATTAGACTCAAGTGTTCATTTTCCAAATTAAACCTGTGACAAACTACATCAAAAAACTAAAACATCACTCCCTAAATACTCAGCTGTGTTCACACCTGTACAAACTCTTGAAAACATATGTATATAAATGCGTAAATAGAGCATCTTGAGACCGACCTGTAACTCCCCAACTCCCTTTTTCTCTTGTTCCTTCTTAAAGTCGTCCAGCATTAGTGGCTCGTCCGACATATTCAAAGCATCAGGGTTAGTAAAAGCCTAAAAGACACAGAATTCCATTAGTACAAGTCCAAAATGATGTCAAGTGCACACTCTGTTGTACGCACAAGTTTAAAATGAATAATTAATCTAGAAAAATCTATTGTTCTGTGCAATGTGAGTGATTTATTGTGTAATTTATCCAAATATAAATAAATCTGTGTTATGCTTTAAAATGAGGTTGACCTTGTTATGGTAGAATCAACCAGACCAGGGCAATATCTACTAAAGCGCTCAATTAAATGATCATTGAGCTGAGGAGTCAGATCGACACACGCAGATTTGTACAGTACAAATACCCACAACAAGCCAACTATTTTAGTTTTCACCTGCACTTTAGCACATAGATATATTATAGGTAAGTATATCTCTCAGGGTGCTTGCACTTCTTCCAAATTAGAATTCCAGACTTTTTACAGACTTTTTAAAAACTGAATTTTTTTTCCCAAGACCTTAAGTTTACTTCGAAACCATGCAACGATCCATTTCTGTTGACCACTAGGCTAGCTATGTGTCAATAGACCTAAGCAGGGACATCACGAAAATGTGCCAGACTAGGCTAAGCAAGCGTTGATTGGATATCATTCATTAGGCTAATACAGTACGTGACCAGTTAGTAAAATTTTAGTTTATAGCCTACCTTCCTATTTCTCATTTCACAATGCCTTTGAGCTTACTGTAAAATTCTACCATACTTTTTTTTCCCAAACTTTATTAGACTTTCACACAAAATTCAAGAATTTTCAAGGTCTGGAAAACAGTGTTTCAAAATTCCATACTTATAAGTATAAGTATTCCGTAAGTAAGTAATCTTTATTTATATACAGCCTTTCACAGACCAGAGTCACAAAGCGGTTTACAATTGTTATTTTTGGGCATTTGTCTCTCACTCCACACAGAGATGGGAGCGGGGTCGCCGAACGTCTATATTAAGACTTTCAAGACTTGTGCAAGCACCCCGTCTCTCTGTATTTCACACAAACCACTGCATCTTTAAAAATACAAATATCCATGAATATGCTTGACCCACCGATGTTCTATACTTACAAAGTAGTTGTGGTAATGGTTGCTGTCAAAAACATGATTCACAATAGAATCTATTGTTTCTACTTGTTCACAGAGATGGCAAAGGTAGAAACTGGTTTTAGTTTCTGAACAGAAACACAAAGTCATCTGGGACAAACCTGAAAATAATTAACATTTAGCCACAATTATGTTTAAAAGGGACTCTCAAAAATCTGCTAAAAACAAACAAACCCAGAATTGGCTTGTCAGGTTTGAAATCATAATCTTTATAGAAAATCCATGGAGTAAATTCTAAAAGAAAACACAGTACAGATGAACAATGAGGCATGTAATGAAGCTTTGAAATAAAGACGTGATCTTACTTCGCTTTGCCCGGAAAGAAGATTCTAAAGACAAAAAAACAGCAAATCATGAAACTCTTGAATAACAAAACATTACATTGCTACACAATAAAAAAACAATCACCCCTGTAAAATTGCACGAATTCCTGAAATACAAAATAAATATAGGTTAAACCACAATAAAAAACATTCAGTCATTCTCCCAGAGCTCACCCTCGCATGTTCATAAGAATCCAGGTGCTGCTTGAAGATAGAAACTTTGCTGAAACGTTCGCTGCAGATCTGTAACACAGAAACCAGAAAGACTGCAAATGTTATTCAGATTATTAATATCAATCAACAGGTGTTTGTTTGTGATTTGACATTATGATTTCTTAAAAAGATAAAACTATAAATTCAAGAATTGCTTAAAACTTTTAAGCCAATCAATAGTAAATATGAATAAAAAATGTTCCAACAGAAAATGTAATGACATCTGAGCTCTAAAGACAGAGGCAAACATACATGCGTGGGAGATGTACCCCACTAGTCATCTTATAGTTATATATATATAAATAATTAATATAGTTAATCTTAATGGTTTCAAACTAAACCTAACTCCAACTAACTCCCCCCTTTTATCCACAAATGAGACATGTATAATTTATGTCTGTGGTATTCAAAGATTGTAAAAAAGGAAAGATATGTAATGCAGTTTGCAGCTCTTGATGTGGTGACCTTTTTTTGTAGAAAAGGGTGTAAAATGGGTTTACCAATGCATTTGTACAGTTTTATAGGCTACTCCTTTTGCTGTATTTTGGGTGCAGCGTCACAGGGACAAACTGTACAGCGGTGAAGGTGAGATCTTTTAAACATCATGTTGTGGAACCTTTTCAATAAACAATCTGGGGTCAGATTGTGCGTGGAGTAAAAACAGCATGAAGGGCTAAAACTGTTTAAACAATTAGCCAATTAGGAAACTGTGCAGCTTGAATGTGGAGGCTGTAATTTATGATATTGGCTGATAAAGTTGCGTTAATCTTGATAAATGTGATAAAACGTGGTTCAAAGAAAAGAATGTACTTAGTTGTTCTATGTTGAATAACAGAAACGGTTGGGGGGATTAAAAAAGTACTTATACACTCATTTACAATTATGTATGTTATAATATATATTGTTTTATCTACTATTTGATTGTTCCAATGTGTTTGTGTGCCGACAACGAACCATTTTTTGAAAATTTCTCCAGTGTGAGATCAAAGAAGTCTATCTTATCTTATGTTATCTTTAGACAAGGGGGACTCAGTGAGCTCACACATACTGAGGACTTTCTACTTCTGGGTGGATCATCAAGACAAATGGTCCTCCCAACTGTCAATCATTCTGGTGATACGTGCTCTCAAAGAAGACCAGAGAGCTTTGTTCAAAAAGTGGAGAGGGAGGTTCTTTCCAAAAATTTGGGGAAATCCTCCAATATACCATTAAATAAAGGGCTACATTCATTAATTAGAAAGTATACATAGAGCATGCTCGTCCCATAACATAGTGAAGTGTCCATTGCCAGTGATCTATTCCAAAGAATGCCAACAACAGCTGCCAGAGTCTAGTCCCGTTATAGTGAACCTACTCTGCACTACAAGAGTCCAGTCTGATGTGATGCTCCTTGTTTTCACTGGTTCTAGGATGTAAATCGGCGACCGTTTAACCGGTGGTTGACCGTCACAGCGTTAACCGGTCAAAGCTGTCGGTTAAAAAAGAGAAAACGGGGAGAGGGGAGGTCTCTTAATAACGCTATTTTAAGTCCTATTTGCACAGTGTGACGAGCGGGTCTGTATCTAGCTGTGTGCGCCCATGTATTATAAACTCCGGGACGACTCTCACGCCGCACGAGCCTCATATGCACACACGCATGCGCACACACACACACTTTCCCCCTCTCCATACGTAACATCCACACGCATCATCTCTCCCCTCTGTTACCGTCAAAGTTGCACACTGGCGCGGGTCAGAACTACATTGGAGCTTACATTTACACACACACATACATACACACAAACATACCGGTCTGTCGCGCTCCTCTGTGTCACGGAGCCCAAAGGATTCGCGCAAATACACGGCTCCAGTCCAGTGGCGGAGCCAGACTTTTAAACAGAGGGTGGCCAGGGGGTGGCAAGGGTTTTTTTGAGGGGTCCACATTTATACTATTCCGAAATTTTATTTCGCACAAAAACTGGCTAAACGATACATTTTAATCTTAATCTTGTCATTATTTTTAATATAAAGTGAACTGAGAGCACACTTGGAAACTACAAAGCAAAAAAGTGTATTTAAACAGTAGTCTGAACAAAAAAGTGCAAAATAACATCATTCAAACATTGCATTACATTTTTCTTTTAACAAATTTAGCAAATTCCTACGGTTCTGGTGTAAAGCAGCAAAGATGTTGACAAACTCATCCATATTCCTGAGCCTCCTTTACCCTACACTGAGGATACCAAGACGACTCAATCATCTGCCATAGTTCTGAGATGGTTTTTAATAAGTTTTAGGACAGAGAAACTTATTTCACAAGACGCAGTACTGACAGGTATTAAAAAGATCTTTGCAAGCCTCAAAAGCTCATGAGACACTTTCCAAACGTTCCAAAAGGACAAGGAAGTCCAATAGGGACTCTCTAATCCATTTTTTCCTCCCAAGAAGCCGCCTAGTTTGAAGTACTTCATGCTTAAGGTCCTCTATATATCTGACTCAAAGGTTCTGCCAAATGAAAACAGGGGCTCTTCTTTCAAAAAAATTTTGGGGTCAAGCGACTGCACATCATCCATAATCTTAGCTATTTTGTTTCTTTTTTTGTGTGTGAAAAAAACGCCTTCTGCCAATAGACAATCCTGCACCTGTCTGCGACACCCTCTCATTCTCTGAAACTCAATGATATAAGCTATATTTTAATACAACACAACAAATTCCTCATCATCTCAAAACATACTGCCTCCGAGTCTGACCTTCAGGTTTCATCATCCTGATCTACAGGACTTTTCCTAACAAAAAAAGGCCTGTAGGCAATGTTTCCTCCTTTTCTTTTCATGTTTACACTAAAGGAAAGAGGGCGATGATACGATGGGCAATTAATAATGGAAAATACACACACACACACGCGCACAGGCACGCAGACCCACACTGGCACACACAGGCACACACACACGCAGACACACACTAAAAGTTCTACAAACTGAACAAGTAATGCGCTGCAGTACGTGTGTCTATACTTTGTGTCAAATGTAAACGGTTGGCTCTGCATCGCTAACTTACCTCTTTGTTTTCATCACGACTTGGGCACATGTCCAACAACCCAAAGCATTAGCATACAGCACCGGCTCCACACGGAGTCAGGGTGCGTTCACAGACGGGGGAAACCGTGGGAATTTTTAGCTTTTGGCGGAAAAAGTGCGGAAGATTCTCAAGATTAACATTATTACATTGCCGTCTTCCGAGGGGGGCACTGGGGGTGGCAAGGGTATTTTTAGAGGTGGCAGTGGCCACCCTGGCTACCCCTCTGGCTCCGCCACTGCTCCAGTCAAACCACATGGAACATGTTTGTGTTTATGGTCCTCGGGATCAGCTCCACACACATCACTTGTATTTAAACTTTTGTGAAGACCTGTGAGACGCGTCACTCGCTGCTCTGACCATGTGAACGAGCCGTCGTTTGCTGCTAGAAAGTTTTGGTATTAACCCGCAGCACAGCAGAATGGTAAGATTAAAACAGCAGTTCTCTGTACGCAAAGGTGCCGGAGCTGTTGCGGGTTTGGGCGCCGCTGTCTCGGCTCTGATCCAGTAGAACGCAGAGCTGCACTTATGAAAAGTACGCGGCTCGAAATGGCTGTTATTTCAAAGAACGTGGACTATTTTAAACTACGCGGTTAACCGGTTTCAACCGGTTAATGAGGCTCGGTGGTCGGTCATGAAAATTCATAGTTTTTACATCCCTCTATGTCCTTGTCACTCTATTCATCACAGGTCAATCTATTACCAGGGTTTCCAGAGTATGTAGAGTATGTATGTGAGGCTTCCAAACTTTATTTTGAGATCAATAAAGTTTGTCTTATCTTATCTTTTGTGTCGTGGTGCACCCAGTCAAGCCCACCCAGCAACGGTGTTTTTGCACATACTCTGAAACTAGTTACAACACAGCAAAACGCAGAGTAGGAAAGTAAACAACCTTAAACATGACTGACTCATTTGTAATCTAACAACACTAGCTTGACGTCAGGTTTTCACAGAGGAGGTGTGCAGATGTCTCTTACCAGACAGATAAACTTTGCTTTATCCATGGTTCGTGTGAAATCAGTTGCTACTTCAGACCCAAAAGCACATGAAGGATGATGCAGCTTTAAAGTTTCACAAAACAAACAAAAACAAAGCCGACAGCTCCAGTCCAAAGCACATGGCGCGTTTTCGTATCAACTGCGTGTGGGCTCCGAGCTGCAGGACCATAGACTCTGCTCCAGAACTACACAGGCAGACAAAGCTCCGCCCACCGCGTACATGCTCCGCCCCTTTCTGTCAACGTGATTTGTGTGAGTGGTGTGCGTGCGGTGTGTGTGCGGTGTGTGTGTGCGGCGCAGACGACATGCAGAGATGCAGGAGAGAGGCCAGTGTTTGGAGTCTGCGCTTAAAAGAAAAGGGAGTTACTTGGAGGGGGTTGGTATTCCGGTGGGGACTGCTTTGTGGCAATCCCGTCAGTCCCTTGCAGCTGTTGCTTTCTCAAATCCCAAATGCAACAATAAACATATTCGACAAACATTCCAAAACACAAAAAGCACTCAACCCAGAGGAAAATGTCTTTGGAACTCCACCTTCTGCAATATAAACTGGCATAAAACATGGCTATTACCCTTTCAATTCCCCATCCATAACAAAATACAAGAAACTCATCTCAAAATCTTACATAATATTTACCCCACAAACTCTGAGATATCAAAATTCATGAACATAGATCCAAACTTCTCCTTTTGCAACACAGTACTAGAGCTTATTTAACACGTATTCAACTCAAGTCCACTCATCATACTTTTCTGGCAAGCCAAAAGTCAATTTCAATCCCAAAAACTAAACACCTCCATAAATATTTGTGACAGAAACATTATCACCCATTTTTCCCACCAAAATAATAACAGTGAAATAATTACCAACAACAATATTATTTGGCAAACACCACATACATAGAAGCAAATACAACAAAAACCAAACCATTGTGAGTATTAGATAGCAATATGGCCTACGTGCAGGACTCTACAAGGACTCTGATTATTTTGACTATGATGTGACTGTCTCTGTGTGACACGTACGTCTTTCGATGTGTGACGTGACAATGACTATATAAACTGTGTACTGACTTTATTCTGTCTGAGAGAAAGAAACAATTGAAACCACTGGAACTTGAGAGAAACTTAAATAAACTTCCAGAGTTTGGCGCACCACGATCCGTCTCTGTCTGCTTCATCCCTGACACCATCCGTACAAGCAGTCAACACCGAAATCAACTACATTAAATCTATAACCCTCATAAATAGCAAAAAAACCAACTCCAGTCAAATTATTCGAAATCTCAATACACCAACCATAAAAACCAACCTTTAACACCCCTATAATCTAATTTTCAATATCTACTGTCTCTCTCTTTCATAAATCAGTCAATGAAGTCATAAAATCAAAATAATACCATATATCTTATCATACCCAATATGAATGTCTTTGTGCCTGTATATATTGTAAATATCTTTGTTTTGTCTTCGTCATTGTATGTACGTGTATCGCTGTCGGTGAATATTGCACACTTGTTTGCACTCGTGTGAAATGTGCTGTTCTGCTGTTGCACTAATGTTGTATGATTACGAGCCACCTGCATCTGAAGTCCCGAAAAAGTCTTTGAAACACAACCAAGTTTAGTTTTTGTTGAAATAAGAACGATGAAATAAATCATTTTAAGGGTGTCTCTTTTGCTTTAATGACCAATTAGAAAATTCCAGAAAGATGAGGATTCTATGTGATTTGATTTATGATGGAAACGGGGCGCAACGACCAAGACATCACCTGTCAAGTGTAATGTTTGAAGAAGATGCAGATACATTTATGTCAAAGCTTATTATCTCTTAGATCTATCCGCTCTAGTCCAAAGTAAAATGCTTAATGCTTCATTAGCATTTTTCAAAAATTCAGCATTCCTCCAGTGGTTTTTCACCTGATCCGCTAGGTTTGGACCATGAATCCTCTCCGCTCCGGTCTGGACCAGTGCAAAACTTTGCACACTGTACTGAAGCAACATCTCAGGCAGAAAAAAGCAATAAAAATAAAAATTGTAAAGCACAAAACAACAACTGTTAATCAGAGCTACTAAGGACTTGCTGCCGTTACCTAGCGCATCTAGAGCAGGAGGGACTGAAATTGAATTATTGTCGTTAGTTGAAAAGAGAAGGGTTGTTATTGTAACAGGAGCAGGATCGTACTAATTGTCTAATGAATCAGAAGGTTTGTTTCCAGTAATGTATCTGTCCTTGTAGTTACAGTATAAAGGAGAGTACTGGGGCTGGCCTTTGGACTCTCTCTCCGACCGTTCTATTTGTAGTATTGCTTGCAAAATCTTCAATACAACTTCTGAATCAGGTTTTTGTCCGTCATTTACATTAATACTTTACATTGGGTTCTCTCTGGTTGAACAAAAGGACGAGATAAAGGGAAGAAGCTGACAGAATTACTGCACTTACAAATGATAAATATTATGTGGAATATATTGAGATTGCACAAAAACAACAGGATACATGAATATGTTATGTTTTAATCAAATTGTTAAGGCCACTGCTATAAAATTTTTTCAAGTTATTCAAAAAACATGAAAATAGTTTTGTTTTAATTGCACATAAACTGACACACACACTTACACTTCTCTCTCTGCTCAAGCACACATTCAAATTCACAAAGTCCTGAATAATTTTTATGGCAAATACACTTAAAACATCTACAGCTCTTGAAGAAAAAAATACAGCAAACGGTGCCAACCCAAGAGTTAAAAAATCTATAAAAGTAACAGTCTTTTTGTCAGAGTGGTAACATAAAGATCTCCCCATACACACCTCCTCAGAAAGCTGTCCGAGTGCAGGGCAAAAATAACATAGCCCTGGTAAAAATATGTTGTGTGCCATTTTAAAACACAATAAAAGAAAAAGAGGTAACAATTATTCACAACATCATAAGGTGACATCAATAAATTCGTCCATGAAAAAAGAAATCCTAACTTTTTTTTGGTTCTGATCAGTGTTCCAACCATTATCCCGTAACGCGATACAAAATAGTGAAGATGTGATCATAGCTCGTCATGTGGGGCCTCGTCTGCTTTCAGTCTGAACTCGTCCTCTGTGATCTTTCCGTCCGAGTTGCGGTCCTGGTTGTTGAACATGTTGTCGATGATACGGTACGCGTCAAAACCTGGAGCCAGACGTCCTTTTCCCTCGGTCACCTGACGCATGATGTAATCCGTAAACTGGGAAATACACAAGGCACAGGTTTAGGACTCGTTTGAATTGATTCCTCGTCGTTATCATCAACCTTTGTAATAATAATCTTTACTATATCTGCTTTTTGTCTTTTAGAAAGTCTTTATTTGTCCGTAATAGTGCATTTTGTCAGTAGTAGTGCATGATTACTGTAAATAAAATGCTAAAACCATAATGTGGAGAATAAAGAAAAATCTGCTCAGTTATGTAGCTGCCAAGTGTCTTATTTACAGACGATAGTGACGTTTCGGGTTAAGGCCCTATCACGGTTATGACGGTTTCCGCATACACACACATGGTGAAGGGACTCTCAGTTTGTTCATGTCTGACTGACCGCCTGAGCAGCTTTTATGTATAGACTTTATTAGATTTGACACAATGCATTATTACTCACACCAATAACTTATTTTATACGTTATGCTTTCTTTTCAAGCTGAACACTAATAGCAGCTGTTTGAAAACATTATTGACTAAGTCTAAACTAAACCAAAATAATGTGATTTGCTTTTTCATTGACAAAGATAGACATATACTGTGAAGAAACTAGTCACATTTCAACAACATAATCTCTTTAATACATGTTGTCAGCACTAGTTCAAACTACAGTTTATCTGGACATTCGCACACACACAGACATGTTACAGACTACAGTCTGGGTCTCGGCAGATGTAAAAGCAAAAGCCAAAGAATGGGGGAAGAGCGTCGTTGATTGGTCAAATCACAGGAAGAAGAGCCTTCCTCAATTGCCTAATCAAAAGCAGATGTCTTCGGCTTCCTGCTTATTTAAACTAGTCTTTCACTCATTGGGGATGGGTAGAATGCTGCCATCCCATCACACACGTAGGTTAACCCAAAGCTGTCTAAACTTTGAATATATTCTTATTCACCTTAATGAAAATCCAACAACTCTACTATCAGATACATACATGTAAAGTACATTTGTTAGTTTGTGATGAAAAATACCTCAGAAGATTCCACTTGTTCATTTTTATCCTTGTCCATCTCGGAGAATAGATCTGGGGACACGTCATCGTTCCAGATGAACATGTATCCCTCCGGAAGACCCTCCTCGAAATCAACCAGCTCCACGTCAAACACCAGCACCGCACTGCCGGGAACCTCATCCGCTGAGAACAGTACAACCGCATTTAATCATGGATGTATTTATTTTAATATTCTGACAATCACCACACTTTGGTCAAAAGATTTACTATAAAAAGGGACACACAAGTCAGTGTAGTTAGATGAGCTTCAGCCTTGACGCCTTTAGATAATTAAACCTAAAACGAAACAAAATATTACAAGGATACTGTACTGGTTCAATAATAATAATAATAAATCATCGGTTTTATATAGCGCTTTTTTGGACACTCAAAGAGGCTTTACATGTCATTATTCTTTCACTGCATACACGGTGGTGATAAGCTACTACTGTACCCACAGCTGCCCTGGGGCACACTGACAGAAGCGAGGCAACCAGTACAATAATGGAATAGTCTCAAAACACACTATATCTTTACTCCATAGAGAGAGCTAATTTATAAGAGAGTCACCATCCTAAGCTAAGTAGTTTGATTTCTATAAATACATTTAGATATATTTGAAAGAAAGATTGATCTACTCCATCATAATGTATTGCTAGATTAGATCAAACACGATAGCACTACATGTGTCAGTACAACCAGATTTACCACAGTAGTTGTCAGGCTGAGCTTGCCAAACTTGTAAAGCAATAAAAAGCACTTGATGTGTTTTAACAAATCCAGACTTACTGACGCCTCGCTCGCCGTATCCCAGATGAGGAGGAATAACAAGATGTCTCTTTTCTCCCGTGCACATTCCTAACAGCCCCTCCTCCATCCCTGGGACAACCTGATTAGCTCCAAGGACAACATTGTAGGTTTTTCCATAGTTATACCTGCAAAGAGATTTAAATGTGGTTATTTTATGTTTTTGCAAATGCATTTCTGCTGTTGGCAATAATCAATGTGTATGTTCAGAAACGCCAACATAATCTAATAGTGTGGTTGATGAGTAACTGCTTTGGCCTGAGAGGAAATGAACTATTATGTAATTGCATGTGGTAATTGTCTTATCAATCTTGTATATTGTTTCCTTGAGTAACAATGATCTATGTGTGGTGTATGTAATGGACTCAAACGGAATTTTTCCTTTTGAATACTTCATCCAGCCCGAACATTTTCAATTCCTGACGAGATTCAATCAAACCTCCTCATTGTTTTTTATGGCCTTAAAAAGATTAAAATCATACAGAAAAAAGTCCAATATGATTCACATACACACACACACACACATCAGATTCATACGAGGCTATATGGGCAAAGTGTCTTGCCTAAGGACACAATAATTGCCCCACCTGCCACCTGGTATTCCCATTACAGTACTAACCAAGCCTTGCTCTGCTTAGCCTTTGAGATAGACAGAGATCAGACTTTCACATTTTTCAAAGTGTTTCGTTCAGCACTTTGAGTTGCCTTGTGTATGATAAACTTGCCGTGCCATGCCGTGCCATGCCATCACACCAAGCATTTTGTGAATATACAGCGCAAAGCAGCAACTAACCACAATAACAGGAAGTCTCCACAGATCGTTTGCATGCATTTGTATCGAGCTGTAAACAGAAACTTACGTGGAGTCAATGGAGGAACCGTCCAATAAAGTGGCATTGTAGTGGTACTTAACAAAATCCCCTTTCTTGGTTTGTCCACCACACTCCTCCGGCTTATATGTGACAGAGACATCGGTGTTGTCTGAGGGGTTGTGGAAGTCAATGATGTGAATGTCGAAAACCAGCACTGCAGACCCAGGGATCTTAGAACCTGTGCAAAAATACAAATGATGTTGTGACATTGTGGTGGATATTGTATACTTCGATGAATGGATTCGAGAGGAACAGCTCGTCTTGGTGTGATTTATTGGAAAGGTGATGAAGAGCAAGCAATATTTTATACTTTATGTGGGGTCAGAAAGGCGCGATACGGTCAAAATCACCTCTTCCTGCCTCGTAATAATAATAATAATACATTTTATTCATAATGCACCTTACATTCCCAGGAAACCTCAGAGTGCTACAGATCATTTCAGTCATACAAATGATCCCACTGCTGTGATAAGATTTCGGGAAAGTACTTTATATCTTTCAGGACAGGAATGCCTGTGAAACAACAGCCTTCCTAAACAACATTCAATCTGTAACAACTTGGATGTTTAGCTTACGTGCAGTTAGACTATTTTCAATCTGTGAAAATAGGTAAATTGGTTTAGAATAACGGACATAACTCACACAGATAGGGGGTAGAGAGATTTACAAAGAGGGCAGCACTATTAGGGAACATAAAGCTTGACGTTTGAACCAGGAGACCAGGTGAAACAACATATGACAAGTAACTGAGAAAACAAATACCTAGTACCTGTGACAGATTTAGGCCTGGGACAAGCTGGAACAAGTTAATATTAGGTCATAGTAATAATAAGACTGATTCAAGGAACGCTCAAGTTTGCTATAAAAAGAGTGGCCCATCTCAGTGTAGCCGGATGAACACAGCCTCACTTTTTTTTAAATCAACAAATGTGCTTTGCTTAGAACTCTTCCACTAAAAAGGTTATATGGTCTGGTTAGATTCTGGTGCAAATCCACTCTGACAACTTGATACAACGGGAAAAACAGCACAAACTGACAGCAGCTGATCAAGATTACAAGTCCTTCAGTTCAACCGCTCTTTCAGAAAACAAGTCACTGTTATATACCAGGGGCCGCACGCGCTCCCTGTTAACTGAAGTATTTAAACACAAAAAAGTTTACACACTTAAGTGGTACACAGGTTTATTCCGAAACACTTGACTCAGGATTTTAGGACTATAAAGCTTAATTATGGAGTAATAATAATACACATTCACTGTACTGGTTCATTAAAAAGGAATATCCCCAATTAGACTAGCGTTTAATACCTAGTTAGTTTAGCTCTACAGAGAGTATTCAATTATAATGAAATCACCTTTTCTACACTGAATAGTGTTATTAGTTTTATTTGAATGATACATATTTTTTAATCAAAATAAGCGTGATAGTGTTGATAAAACATGATGGTATCACATCACTAGTGAAGTTAATAGGAGAGAAAAGGTGCAGAAAATTGGCATGTGAGGGGAGTGAGAGGAGGAAGAGAAGGTTAGTTTGTTATAATTGCAACACATAATTCAGATTAACCAAAAGGGAGTTGTGGTTCATACCATTGTCAAGGACAATGGTATGAATCACATTCATGTTGCCAATGAAGTCAAATAACAATTTTGCCATCACAGCATCCCTTCTCATTCCTTAAAACAGTCCTCAGTCCTGGCGATAACATTTATGTACTAACAAAATCATGAAGTGGGAAAATTGTACTCCTGATGTTCTTAGCAGATCAGGTTAATTATTCAGATGAGATCCTACAACTACTAAATATGAAAATATATACTGCACTGTATACTAGCCACACCATCCCAATTTTGTCCACATATAGGATGCACTTGAATATAAGCCACAGGTTTTCATGATGTAATGTAGCAGATAGACGACTGTTTTAACGGCTCACAACTTTATTTAATGATTAGGTGTTAGCTTAACTGTTATCTTCCATGCCTGATGGTGGATATTTTGAGCAGAGCCTAGACTTGGCAGTGAAAACGAAACTTTTATTCGAACTCAGTAAGTTTCGTTTCCATTCTGTAAGGCTCATGTAGTTAAGTTTTGTTTCTGCTTCTGAACTAAAGACCCATGATAAGCCTATGTCATTTTTAGCAGTTCGACATGATCTGGGAGAAAAGAGTGATGGAGGTAACTGTCATTTATACTGTTTGCAGAATAAAGAGAATTATCCCAGAGAAACAGGGCTATCATTATTAATAGTGTTTGAAAATAATATGTTCATTACGGTACTAGGACCTGTTTTCACTGGTCTTGGGAGTAAAAATAATTATATTAAATCTTTGTGTTTGATTAAAAAGGTGCTTTCTCTCTCATGGCTCCCACATGGGAGTCTGGTTAGTCTATTTTGTCCTCAAGCTACAACAATTTGATGTAGTCAAAATAATACGTCCATACACTCTAACAACAAAACCCGTACCAGTGCCTTCCTCTCCATAGGCCAGATGTGGGGGGATTGTGATGGTCCGCTTTTCTCCCACACAGACACCAATGAGACCCTCATCCATACCAGCAATCACATAACCACGGCCCACATATGTGTCATAGGTGCGATTACGTGAGTAGCTGTAAAAAAAAAAAACACATTCATTACATGTCACATAGTTACAAACAGACCATCCAAAATTATGTTTTGTATGGTTGGATGGTTGATTCATTTTATGGATGTAAAATGTCCACAAAATCATTGTTTTAATTGTTTTTCCTTCAAGAAGCAAAGCTGAGGCTGTTTTTGGATTGTTTTGACTAACACATATGTAACAGTGAGCATAACAAGGAGCAAAGTGAACAGCCCATGAACAAATGCCAAGTATGGAGTTTCAGTTCTCCAAAAACAACAAGTAGAACACTAGTGCAATACTACCACGTAGTGGTGGCTTTAGGTATGATTCATATGACACATGACTTTGAGTGAACAAAGTTCAAGTGTTGGAAAAGTAATTTAAATTGCAACGTACAGTTCTATAATGAGAACTGTGAATACATGTCATTCATCTTTAAATAAGTTAATACTGCAACTTCAGAATGTCCACTGAATGTAATTTTATCTACTTATTACCCTGCCCTATATGTACAGTATATAACTTTTAAACATGTATATATATATATATATATATATATATTTTTTTTTTTTTGGCAGCTACTTATTTTGTACATTTTGTGTGCTCCCTGTGTGCTCTTACTACTGTCCTGTATGTACGCTGCAACATTGAAATTTTCCAACTGTGGGACGAATAAAAGAACTCTTATCTTGCCTTGAGTCAAAGAATGTTCCATCGAGAAGGCTGCCGTTGTAGTGGTAACGTACAAAGTCACCAGCAACGGTCTTTCTAGTACAGGATTCCGGCACCTGTTGATTGGTCACTGCGATCCCATCTCTGGGGTTGTGAAGGTCAAGCAAAACCACATCAAATACAAGAGAGGCCTGTCCTGGGATGTCACTGCCTGAAAAATATCAAATGAAAATATTAAAAATGTAAGTCATATAAAATGTTAACGCTAGTTTTTTCTTTGTCATCCATCTAAATGTAGAAAGTCCCATCAGTGTAGTCCTACTCTGCCCTCTTTAGACTGAAGTATAGCATTACACTGCATGTACAAGGCTCATTTGAGTATACTATAATGCAGATAAAAGTTTACCATCTCCGTTCTCTCCATAGCCAAGGGAGGGTGGCATTGTAATGAATCGTTTTTCCCCAACACACATTCCCAAAAGTCCCTGGTCCATGCCTGCTATCAGCCAGCCAATCCCCACATAGGTGTCATATGTGCGCATCCGAGTATGACTGCGATAACAAACAAAAACATTTCAACCAACAGAATCTATCATGTTATTTCGAATTGGTTGCAATAGAAACCTGGAATCAAATAGAGTCCCGTCCAAAAGCGTTCCATTGTAGTGGTAGCGCACAAAGTCAGACACCTCCACTTTTCGGGTGCAAGTGGACGGTGTGTGGTAAGTCTTGATTTGAACTCCGTCTTCAGGGTTCCACACATCCAACAGCAGGACATCAAAATGAAGAATGGAGTCAGGTGGGATAATGTCACCTGTGGGTGAAAAAAAATACTTTTCAAACAACATCATTCATCTATTCATTCATATTTATTGTAGCTTAGCTGGTATTGTTTTCATAAGTGACCAAAATCACACATTTCTAAGGTCTCGGATTCCCCTGGGTAAGCTGAAAGAAGTGTGCATGGAAAGGAAGCTTGGGCATCTACTGTATGTTCAGAGTGCTGGACCCTCTGTATGTATGGATGGTTACTTTACCAACCATGTCATTGTTTTAAAAGACAAGACATTTTCGGAGTCTGGAAACTGTCTGCACCTTACACTGTAACTATGTCCCCCTCCCTCTGGTACAGCCACTGAAGACATCCAAGTGCCGCACTATCGGACAATAATAACTATTATACCTGGGGGGGAAAAGGTATAAACAGAAATTAAGATTTGTGTTTGGCAACTGCCCTGCATTTTAAAAGATTATTCTGCAATTATAGATAATGAACGTGTAGTACATGTGAGATTAGTCGATCAGTACTGACCATATCCCTGCTTGCCATAGGCCAGGTGAGGAGGGATCTTCACCAGTCTTCTCTCGTTCACACACATCCCCACCAGAGCTTTATCCATCCCTTCAATCAGCTGCTTCTTTCCAACAAACACGTTGTAGGTGCTGCCTCGATCATAGCTTTACAGAAAAACATCAAAGTGAACACATGCACATACAAACAAAAACAGATAAGCCTCTTAAAATAGTGTTTGTTGGCAAATGAGGCAAAAATATTTTATTTTATCCAGTAATTGATATGTAATTATTGTGAGAGGCCTAAAAACTGATGCATTAAGTATCTTCATCATATGATATACTGTATTTGATATATTATTGATTTTTTTTTTTTTCATATGAGTGCATATACATGATCACTGATAACTTTTATTGTGATAATTCTAAACAAACAATAAATAAGTGAAAAGTTGAAATCCCAACAAAGTAAATCAAAATGTCACAAACTTAATTCATTTGTGTTCTACTGTGTGGGGTAAGGTGAGGTGATAGGAGGCTCCTATTGGCTACATCCCATAGTTTGATCTTGCCTGCGTGGCTTCCAGGGACATCCTCTGCATGGGCACTTGGAACCAATACTCATAGCAACTCCACTAAACATGAATGAGTTGAAAAGGGAGAGAAAACAAGAGTACGAACCTGGAGTCAAACTTGGTGCTATCGGGGAACATGCCATTGTAGTGATATCTGACATAATCCCCCACTTTGACTGCGCGCACGCACTGCTCTGGCACGAACTTTTTCTCAATGAAGATGTCGTCTAGCGGGACGTGTGGAGCGTTACAGGAGGCGAATGCCACCAGGAAAGCCAGGCAGATCGCCCATTGCACGCAGTGGAGCATTTTGTCCAAGATTACTGAATTTCAATCACGAGTTGGTTTACAAGATGTGCGTCGCGTCCCGGTGTAGCTGCCTTCTTCCACTCCTTCAGTTTAGTCCTGCCCAAAGTCCCCGGGCTGGGACGAACCATGGGACGAGCACGCGTCAAGTTACACTGATAAAGACTACTTCCTGTTCAGATTTAGACTTTTACTAAAATAATATAACATAATAATATAAAATAAAATACTATATATAACCGGATTAAAAGACAATAATATACAATATATATAACTGGCCTTTCTCGTCAAATTCAGTGCCAACAATTAAATAAGTGAGTAATTCTATCTATGCTAAATGTGACATGTAAATTTCTCCAGTGTGAGATCAATAAAGTCTATCTTTTACATCTTATCTTAACTTGTCTTATTACTTTACATATAGGTTTATTATTAAAGAACTGATTCTGAAATATTGACTTTACAATCTCACACAAAGTGCGTTGGTGTCTTGAAATAAAGTGATTTTCCCTTTTCTTTAAGAGGTGGGCCTCCTTTAAAAAACTACATCAATAAATCACCTGTCATCTTTATTAAAAAAACAATTGTATAAAGATGTTTCAACTCTACTTGCATGTACATAAATATATGCCACGAAAACATGTTTAGAGTAGTTGCCACGAGAAGTTCTATTTTATTCTGAAGTTCTGCATTATTTTTCCTGTCACACGAACTGAAACTTGACACTCCAACCGTGTTCAATGAGAGAGTTGGGGGCACCACGTCTCGCTCCTGCGCAGTGCGGCCTCCGTGATCTGTCAACGTGGTAGTGTAGTGTGGGTTCCCAAGCAGCAGCCCACACTGTACACGCCCCCTTTTATTATTTCATTGGGAGAAGTTACAAGTGTGCAGTTTTAATGTAGAGAGAAGACTAAACGTGCATGATCTGGATGGAAGGAGAGGGTTTTGGAAGAGTGTTTTTTTCAAGCCTGAGAGCCTAATTGCCTAAGGGCCCCAAAAGTTTCTACGTGGCAAAGGCAAGGGGGTGGGGCACATTTCTCACCAGGGGGGTAATCTGTGATCTGAAAGGGGCCTGAGCGTTTACGACAGTGTCAAAAGCGTAATAAGTCATTCGTAGGCAGTAGGCTGTTTTCTCCGCCTTACTTTATTTGCCTTCAGAGCTAGGTTTGGCCTAGGTTTGAAATGCGTGTGCGAACATTCCAGGCATAAACTGATTTAAACTGCTTGTGTGATTTATTTTGTGGGAGGGGCCGTCGAAACCGCTACTTGTGCCTGTTGCTGCCCGGGGGAGGGGAGCCGCTGTCCGGATACGTGATGGAACTCGAGGCGGTCCCACAAACTCACGCCTGAAGCTTCTCCACTCGTTTCAACCCGTTCCCTCTGAGAAGCCAGCTCCAAACATGGCATCCTCAGGTTCTTTACAGATTCCAACTGTACTTCTATTGACGTGTTTTATTGCAGGAGTCCATTCTCAGTACGAAAAATACAGCTTTAGGAGTTTCCCTCGCCAAGAGTTGATGCCTTTGGAGTCCGCATACAAGTACGCCCTGGACCAGTACACGGGGGAGAAGTGGAAGGAGACTGTGGACTATATAGAGGTTTCCCTGAGGCTGTACCGACTGCTGCGGGACAGTGAGGCCTTCTGCAACCTCAACTGCAGCTCTGTCAGACTGGACGACGAGGAGAAGTTTGCGGAATTTCCAGAACTTCGTTCTTTCGGCAACGTCATGAAACGAGCGCAGTGTTTGAAGCGATGCAAGCAAGGCCTGCCTGCGTTTAGACAAACCATGCCCAGCCGAGAAACCATGGAGGAGTTTGAAAGAAGGGAGCCGTACAGATACCTGCAGTACGCGTACTTTAAAGTAAGTAAAGCATGATGCTGAGTGAGTCTGACCACGAACCAAAGGGCTTCATATGCGTTACGTTATTACAGTTTATACTGATTTAGAAATGCACTAATTTAGCAAAAACACAGCTTTTGTTTCTAGATGGCTTCTGCTCTTGACAGAGTAGGTTTCCAAAACTTTCAGCGTGAATTGTGACGTGCGTAATGACGCAATACGTGCCACGGTGCACAGGCGTTTGATCCCTCATGTTTGATGGTTGTCTTTAAATACAATTTGAAAAATAGGGTTTTGTTTACAGACTCAACAGTTACAACACATGTCTCCTGAATGCCTTAATGTACTATGTTGGGTTGTCTCATCACAGCTCACTCAATCAATATATATTTATATCCTGCCCCTCAAGGTGTTCCCCAACCTTCAAGGTGTTCCCCAGGCCTTGGCCTCGAGCCAAGGCACATCTTTCTTCCAAAACAAACCATCTGCTGAAACGGATACAAAAATAGTCTCTGCCGCCTTTATTAAGCATGCAAAGAATGACTTTGCATTCAGTCTTTCTCGTTAAAGTGTATTATATATAGACAATCAACAAGTACTGTATAATAACAAACATTATTTTATAGGGAGACAGTGGCTCAGTCTTTAGAGCATTGGCCTTTGAGCCAGAAGGTCGTTGGTTTGAGCCCACCTCAAGACTTTTCGTTGTGTCCTTGGCAAGACACTTAACCTCTGGGAACACCTGATCCCACAGTGGGGCGGCTGCGGCTGTGAAGTGCCAAACTGCCGGTGTGTCCTTCGGCAAGACACTTCACCCCCATTGCCTTGATTGAGTCTGGTGTGTGTGTGTGAATGATTGGTGGTGGTCGGAGGGGCTGATGGCACATACTGGTTGTCTCGCTTCTGTCAGTGTGCCCCAGGGCAGCTGTGGCTACAGTTGTAGTTTATATTGTGATCCAAATGAACAAGATAAATATGATCTGACGAAGGCTAAGGCCGAAACGTTAATAAATACTAGATCTTTTGGACATCTATCCGAGTGTGCTGTGTATTTTCCACATTTAATTTCTGCTCCAGCACATGCACCTCATGAGAAGAACTTGGTGTGCGTTTTTGTTTTTCTAGTTACAGTTGTAGTTTATCACCACTTATAATGAATAATGACATTTAAAGCGTTGTTAAGTGTCCAGAAAAGTGCTATATAAAACCGATGCATTATTATTATTATTATTATTTTGACCAATTAGGTGATATTGGATCACTTCCAAAGGCTCACCAAACAACATCTCAAGGCACACCAAAGTGCCCTGACACTCTGCTTTACACAGAAAACATTTGTGAATGTATGATTTCTTTGTGGTGTATTACAGTCAGATAACTTGGCCAAGGCAGTATCTGCTGCACACACCTTTCTTCTGAAGCATCCAGATGATGAGATGATGCTAAGAAACATGGCCTACTACAAGAGTCTGCCTGGAGCGGAGGAACATCTCAAAGACCTGGAGAGCCAATCCTATGAGGTTTTGACTTCTCTATTATATGCATTGCCATACTCCCTCTCCAAGTAACACTGAACAATATTTTGTAATGTTTTAGATGCTCTTTGTTCGAGCAGTGAGAGCTTACAATGGAGACAATTTCCGTACATCAGTCTCTGACATGGAGCTTGCACTTAGAGATTATTTCAAAGTCTATGATGAGTGCCTGGCTGCATCAGAGGGACCAAGAGATGTAAAAGAATTTAAAGATTTCTATCCATCGATAGCAGGTCAGTGACCATACTCTAGCTTTATACACAATTAAACCTGGACGTTGAGTGTTAGATAATACAATAATAATATATTTTTTTGACAGATCATTATATCGAGGTCCTGGAACGAAAAGACAAATGTGAAAATGATCTTACACCTGTTGTTGGTGGATTTGTTGTGGAAAAGTTTGTGGCCACAATGTATCACTATTTGCAGTTTGCCTATTACAAATGTAAGTGTCTCATTTCTCTTCTCTCTGTAAAACAAAAAACAACCTAATTGTTTTTCTTGTTTTTAGTGAAGGACTTGAAGAATGCTGTTCCATGTGCCACCAGCTACCTACTGTTTGACCCGAATGATGACGTTATGAAGAATAATGTTGAATATTACCGGTATCACAAAAAGCAATGGGACCTGACAGAGGAGGACTTCCTGCCGAGATCAGTAAGAAATATCGACAACTTTAACAGCAGCTACTGAGGTGTTCTTCCTGTCCACTCTATAAAGCTCTAGAGTTAATGGGCAGTAGTATTGATCTCCTCATAAAACTTGAATCATTAAATGGTAGTTAGTGTAATAGTTCTGTTACGTTCCCAAAGATCTTTGATTAATGGGACTACATTCAATGGTAGTTACTTACTGTTAGAGTTGGTGCTATAATAAACAAACGCAACTGTGCAAAATGATTAATAATGTAAACAAATCCCTTTTTTAACATAAAAGGTTTCTTTTGCCACATCAAAGTATATACTAACTGCTGTTCATCGTGATGTCTTGCTACCCTAAGAAACTTAATTAAGTAACTTTTCTGGTCCCTCATACATCTGCAATGACGTGGTGAGAATATATAAGAATCTTCTCGAAATGATGCAGTTTTTCGGTAGAGAATACACCAAGGTCGCAATCAGGCCCGTCCCAAGGAGGGTGCGAGGCCCTGTGCGAACTCGAAACGCGAGGCCCTGCCCTGACACTTTTTTCCCAGATCTGAGGAAAGTTTTTCCTGTTATAATCTTTGACATGAATTCAGCACCACCTCGCGCGGTGCTTGACGAGATCAGCACGCGTGTAACCGAGTGTCTTCGCTCCTATGCAGCGTTTGGCGCGCGCACGTACACACGCACACACACTCTACGTGCAATATTGGTCGCGGTCTTTTTAGCTGACATGTCTCTTTCGTCCTGTGGCAAAATGGTAGAGCAACTCAAAAGATTGAACCAAAAGGAGTCTTTTTCTTCTAATAGTTAGATTTTGGCAAAATGCGCCAAAATGGCTATGAGGCGGAGTCAATATTATTTTTTTTCTCATCAAATAACGTTTTTGCCATGCCTCCACACACTCTGACAACATACACTCCTCCTCCTCCACGCTGACAACAACAAAATACTCTTCACCTCCTCCTCCACACACTCTGACCACAACAAAAACACTCCAGCTAGCTAAAGCTAGACATACAGTGTGTTTGCTAATGCTTTTAAAAATATGTTTTTGATGTGGATATTCGGACTAAACATTGGCAATAGCAGCGCTCACACACCTGTCACACCGCTGATCCTCCTCCTCCTCCTCTGCTCACACAAAGGGGTCTGCTCCTCTGCTCACACCTGTCTCACTGCTCCTCCTCCGCGAGTATCCATCTCTCCTACACTGCGATCATTCCCGTTACTTTCTTTGTATCTCACTCAGACACTGCTAAAGTTATCTGACAGTTTTTTCGGAGGACCCGTTGCATACATAGCTGCCCGCGCGCCTGCCTGTTTACAAATCGCTTTTGGTGAAAATTTGACTTTACTTGTAAAAATGTTCTTTTGATCAAACGAAATCAAAGAGGTCCAGAGAAAGGGGTTTAGGGTTCCAAATTTGGAGTGCAGTCTGCCCTTTGGGGACCCTTGAACTAGTGTATTTATAAAATAAAATAAAAGGAAGGAAGATTGCGAGGCCCCTGTGTGGTGCGAGGCCCTGTGCGATGGCACAGGTCGCACAGCCCTTAGGACGGGCCTGGTCGCAATTTGAATTCCTTAAGTGTTTGCCATAGCCTGGTCCCCACAGAGGTGTATTGGTTTTGCATACAAAAAGACATTTGACTTATTTTAGATAACTATGTATTTCTTATATTCAGGAGGCAGTGCGATATCACAATCAGACATCTTTGCAGCATCAGATGTTGGGCTTTGCCAGACAGCGCCTGATGAGCGATGACGAGGTTTGAGTTTATGTGTCTATGATGATGACCTTTCATGTTTTAAATCCGAGAATAGTTGCTTATGTTCTGTTTATTGGAGGCCATTTCACATTTTACTAACCCTAACCCATGTTTTAAATGCTTTAGAATATAACGGATTTAAGTGTTGTGTAATTATAATAAAATTGTGTTTCCAAAAATCACAAAATGTGAAAAAATTATACCAGTGTGACATCAAGCAAGAACAGGAACATCTAAAAACAACTTTTTCGTCAAAGGGGTACTAACCCGGCTTGTCCCAGATTATAAAACTCATTTGACTGGATTCAGCTTTAGCTGTGGTAGAGCTGAATGTTTGCCATTTACACCAGTTATATTAGCGCCATATATAGGATTTTTGACACATTCAAAAACAAATGTCAGTGTATTTACAAATAAAGTTAACAGCTGAATTCTAGAGGTGTTGAGGAACAACGAGGTCCAACAATGTACAGTATGTCTGTATTGGCTGAGCTCAAGTTGAAGTGCTTGATGAAATTGTGTTTATGATCTTAAAGACTACTCTGGGTAAGCAAGGCACAGGGCCACAATTGGTCCACAGGCCATAGTTTGGACATGCTGTCCCGCTGAGTTTGTAATGACCTCTGGATCCCATGTGTCTTAATGACAGAGCAAGGCCTTGTACTTCCAAACTGAACACTAACAGCAGACAGCCACGTGGGGGCAGCATGACACCTACACAGAAAATACTGTAGCTCCAGGGAAATATAAAAGATCATAACAGTACATGCAAGTTGTGGTTACCTAGAATTACTGACGAAAAATACACATACGTCATATCAAGGAAGTTTCTATGTGTGTTTACAGGGGGAAGTAGTGGAGTTCATCGACGAGATTCTGGATGAGGACGTATAAAACCAAAGAACTGCACACGTTCAACTGCATCTATTTATTATGTTTGTTAGAAGAACCAGCATGTAAATCATAAATCACCTCAACGAGCCAGCGCCTGTGTAAAGAATTACAGTCATTTTGTGTGTTTTTGTACAATAAAAATACAAAAATACAAAAATGTAAAAATGTGTCGTATTGAGTTTTATAGCCCAATAATGATGACTATAAGTGGACTACGTTGAGCTGATCTGCGCAAGAAACTTGGGGAAACACTCAGTTGTTTGAACATTGAGAGTCTGTGCAGTTTGTCACACATCGATGCTAAAATACGGCAAAGGGGAGCACTTTCACCCTCTCAAATATCCTGTCTGCTCCATTTACTTTATTGCTTGTTTGCTGTCTATTTCCACCTGCCATTTTTACACACAAAAATTTGGTTTAATCCACACACATTATTTGTCAAAATATAAAAGCAAATATTAGTGTTTATAAATATTACACATTAATTCAACACATATCTTTAAACCTTTATTGTTGTATGGGTGAGTTTGTCCAGACACGTATATAAATATATATAGTTAACCATAACAGATTCCTTAACAATCTTCTACTTTGTACTATTATTGTTTTATTTGTATAAATTATAATACCAAAGAATGACCATAATGTGTACAAAAAGTTCTAGTTTAATGCGGAAAAATAATGTAGTGAATGGCAAAAATGCACTAAATCTGTTGTCCGAGCTTCTGATGAAAAAGAAAGTCAAATTAAATAGACTACTATGTTAAACCACGCACTTCCCTTACACATTTTATGCCTATACAAAATATACATAAGCATCACATAACTACTATTTACACACTTTTTCATTATTAGCAAATGATTTACATTATTGAAGCAGTCATTCCTAATAAAAGTACTCACTTCAAATTCTATGTTACTCATTGAAACTTGTCTCACCTACTTTGTAGCATCTACTGTAGTGACTGCAATTCGGGCGAGATGCTCAGTGATAAAATCTGACCCTAAATGCGTTGACCTAAAGCCTGCATCACATCTTTATAAAAGATGCACAAGGACCCAGCACGACCTCCTCTTCTATTTTCAAGACTGATAAAAACAGCTCTAAACCTTTACATCTGGTTCATGTGATGCTTTAATGTGTTTGGTTCCAGCGAGGTAGTCCTGACTCCTGACCAAACATCATTTAGGATCTGCAAAAGAGGCTTACCCTGTGACATTTTTAAATGGTTAAAATGTTGGAAGAATCTGAAACCTCTTTATGTTGCAGGAGATGTCCTATATATACATATTTGTTATTTTCTTTCTACAATCAAATACTCATCTCATTCTTTCCAAGAAGTAACAATAAATGTATAAATGAAGAGTTTGATTAACTTCTCAACCATAGACACCTTTTAGATCCTTCATAAGGGAGCTGGTTCTCACATGCATAATTACATTATTCAACGTATGTGACTGTGGCTTGAGCCCGATTATTCTTGATACTTTCTTTAGAACACCAGTCACTTTGATTGATTCAACAACATTTATAAAAGGACTACTATCAGAAGTGTCTTTGAATATTCCTATCCATTCAAAATGAGTCCATGTCTCGTCACGGTGCTTAGACCTTCTGCTGCATCTCTATCTGTTGTCCATGTCTCTTCTGACTTTGCCCTTTCCCGTTCATTTCATACACTGAACTTTTCTGCAGTTGCCGTCGGTAACACCACACTCCCATGATCACTACCGCAGCCACAACACACACTGCTATAATAATGGCTGCCACCGTCGGACCTCTGCGTGACAAACTGGGAGGTCTAGGCGGGCAGTTGTCATCCGCACACACTGCCTCCCCTTTCTCCCCCTCCACCTCACCCTTCTCACCCGTTTGCCCCGGGTGGTTGTCGATGGTGTGCTCTTTTATACTTCCGGGCCCAGCCAGAATATCCACATCATTCAGGGGTGGTACAGGGCCCTGATCAAGGTAAGGGTGCTCTGTGAGGTCTCCAAACCAGGTGTTGGTGGGTGCGGCCTGTTGCGTGTCGTAGTCACTTGGATCAGAGTTTGAATGAGAGTCCGAGGGTTCTGGGCGGGCAGCAGCTGTTGCACCATCTTTTTCCAGTTCATTCAAGCTTGTCTCTGTATTTGGAATCCCGGTATTAAGAAAAGCATCTATTTCATTTGGGTTCTCCGTCATCTGAAGGTCTTGCTCTTTCCCTGTTGTGGCGTCGTCTTGCCCAACTTCTTTTTGCATAATTGGATATCCGTCTAACCATGTGTCATCAGTTGTTGCTTTTGCTCCTGTGGCCTTTCGGGACACGTTCTGTTTTCCACTATCTATTGTAAAAATGACATGTTGCCGGCTGTTGTCCTCATAGCTATCGTTGTCATCTGGGTTATAGGGTTCTTCTGTATCATCATAGTTGTCATGACTTGTGTGCTCCTTGGACACATCTGTCTGTCCATCTCTGTGATCCTCAAAGCTTTCGTCGTAAGTCTGCTCCGGATCCTGGTGCTCGCTGCTGTCGTAGCGGCTGGGGATTCTGTCCTCGTCATGCTCTCCCATGTCGTAGTGATCATCATGGTGGTGAGAGTCATCGTAGCCGTCATGACTTGAAATGTCCACGTTGTGCTGCGTGGGGATAAAAATAGTCACATGGTCGTCTTTCTCTTGGTGGCTGTCCAGGGAGTCGTGCTCGTGGCTTTGGCTGTCGTTACGGTTGTCCAAATGGCTGTCAAATGTTTCAACTGGATCAACTGATTGCTGTTGGTCCTGTTCCCTGCTTTCTTGCTCCTTGCTCTCATTTGACTGGACACCTGTGGAGCTCTGAGTGGCTGAGTTCATGGAGACTGGATGTCCGTCATGAAAGGCCTCTGATGGAAACCAGAACATGTGCTTTTGAGAGAGTAGTGACACAGGGGAGTGTGTCGTTGGTATTTCTTCAGTCCTAACCACTTCTGTCATCTCCTGGCTCCAGTTTTGATTCACCATGATATCGCCATCATCACCTTCTTCAGCATGTTCCCCTCCTAAAGGAGCTTCGAGCAGTTTCTTACTCAAGTCAGTGGGCATTGCAGGTTCGTCTAATGCTGCTTGTTCATGTTGGCTTTCGGCCTCATCAACATCAAAGGTTATCTCAGAGTGTTCCAGAAATGTCTTCTCATTCTGAAACATTGCATCCTGCACCTCCTGATAGACCTGGCTTTGAGCCTCCTCTGGACCCTTTGGCTGCTTGTAAGAGTCCATGAACTTGTCCTCGTAGTCAACATGGCTCTCCCCATCATCTGTCAAAATAAAGCAACATTCTTAAATATGAATTATGTTCTAAACTTGTAGCTACACCCAAAGGATTAATAACTACACATTTCAGTTATTGTGTCTGTCTAAAAACAACAAACAGTGAAACGGTCCTCTGAAGTAAAAATATGTTGGATAAATATGTAGATCACCCTTATTGTGCCATCCTTGTGGCAACAAGTAAAAATTGAAGACAGTTTATTTTCCTGTACAGAACACTTCTCTGTGAACTGGGACACAAAGTGGCATGTCGCACTCAAGTGCCACAGCAGCCATTTGAACCCTGCTCACAACTGAGACAGTGTTTCTCCAAGATCCAAGTACGTAATAACACAAGCTGTGAACGGGCACAGTGGTGAGTGACTATGTTGACCTCAGCGTGTTCCTGTTCAGGCTGGGTCAAGGTTCACAGTTTTGAAGTTCAGGAAGACAAGGAGACACATTGTCATTGAGCTCTCATACTGTAAACATTATATTTACCTTTTACACAAAGTTGAACCAGACCATACCACTCTCCACAGCTGTCACACAACAGACTGAAGGCATTGTTTTCTTCAGGCATAACATAACCAGGCATGCAGGAGTACAGCAGTTCATCTCCCAATTCAAAGCCGGTGTGGCCCTGGAGGTGAGCGTGAGGAAAGGAGGGGGGATCACCACACGGTTTACCTGATAAAAAGTATGTGCATGAGAATCAGTTGTTACCATTATTCTAAGGCCTTGGGATATCCGGAGGTCGTTTTTTCAGTTCTCACACTGTTTCCTTAGCCACAACTTAACACTAGTCATAATCCTAAACCCAAACGTTTTCACAGAACAATAGCTCCAACCATATACATAATTAAGCAAAATATCACTGTACATTAATTACAAGATATGAGAAATCTATGACAAAAATACATGTTGGATGTGTAAATTCCTTTATAGTATTTGCTGTAACTTTGGTTGTAACTCACCTTTATCTTTGATACAAAAGGCCTTTGTGATGTCCTCCGTCACATTGTCAGTTCTTACATCTACAGCTTTAAGTGTACTGCCCTCCATTTTACACACTGTTTTTCTGCAACAGACAAAGTTGCCATTCTTAGCATTATATACCAAAAAAAACTCACAGGAAATGCCTTTTTCTTACAGACTAATGTGAAACGCTATGCTATGCTCTTTTTGGTAGCAAGTGAGTGTAAACGTACGCCTAAATACATACTTCCTGTTCAGTCTCCCACCATGAGATTATAAATATTATTCCAGCATGACATCACAGTACAGGAACCCCAAACATGGTCCAGACCAGCTGCAGTATCACCTTTTGTGGCCCTGATTATCGCCCCCTGGCATAACAAAGTAAATGTTCCCATGTGAAAGTATACAAGTCAATGTTAAAAGAGCTGCTATTCTGCTTACATTTAGACGTTTCTTTATAATTAGTCCTACTCCCACGCAGTTAAAGTACAGTGTGTTCCCATGTGGGCTGGCTCTAATCAAATTCATTAGGAAGTTAAAAGGTGTAATAAATAAGTCATTCAAATTAAGATGTATTTTAATACTAACAGCAATAGTTGTAGCTACAGTCATATAAATGATAGCTCATGGTCAATCACTGCATCAGAAAGAGTAAGTCGCAGAGAATTTGATGGCAGTGTCACTGTGAGAAGTTTATGAGTCATGGAGCATGTATGTGCCATGGCCCGTGCTCACTTCAGCATGAGCTTATAAGGAAAAAAAATCTAAGCCAAACTGAGGCAAATGAAACCATTAGGAAAAATACAAAGATAACATTCAATTGCATGTAGCCAATCACTCTTTTCAGATTTAACAGAAGCCTGACATAACTAGTGTGTGTGCAAATGACAGGAGCCTGAGGACATCATTGTGTTTGGTTGCCTGGGCAGCTGACAGGTAAGAGGAAAATGTGAAGATACAAGAGTCAATCTGAGAGGCCCCTGTTATTATGAAGCAAACTTCGAAATGATGTCAGAGAAAGTCCTGTCTATGCTCATCCACTCCTCCCCACCTTGAACATTCAATTAATTTAGCTAATGCAGAAACAGGCAGACATGGCTGACTTAAGAAATGAAAATCAAAATGCTTGAAATAATAATGAGTCATGAGTACAGATTTACATGGACAGTAAATATCTGTAAAACATGAAGGGGCTGACAAACAACAAAGCAAATTATAATATTTTTGAAAGACATCTCAGAATATTATTATATATAATTTTCTACTTTCGGGAAAACATATTCACATTTTCACATTCTAATTTTTTGAGTGTGTATAGGGTTCACTTGTTCAGCAGGTTAACTTAATCTTTTACTCAGGGGTTATCCTGAAACTATTACAGCTTTCTTTTGAGAGTGCACTGGACCAATAAGACTTGAGCACACCTATCAACCTGTCAATCATGTTACACAGTATACCTGGCCTGGAAATGTTTGACTGTCGGAGGCGTGTGCCGTGTTGCTGTGGAGATGAGAGGGGTAAATGGAGGTAGTTGTCGACATGACACTCTGGTTCTGAATTCCCTCCTGCTCCATCACTGAACAGAGGAGTCATTCTCTTTTCTCTTTCCCTACATCTTACATCTTCCTGTCTGCTTAATGGTCCTGCATGGACAATGTAGGTCATGCTGTAGTCGATGGAAAACGACTTTTGCCTGTGTATTTATTGTAATGCTTGTCCAAGTTCATGCTTAATTCAAGCTTCAATTTTGGGATTTCAAAGAGGTGAAAGAATGAACATTACACTCAACGTGGTAAAACTAATTTTGTTTGTTTGTTATTCTTACCCCACTGTGCCCCCATATAGCCACCCATGGGTGCATGTTGAGAAAAAACAGTCAACCACAGCCTGTTTGAGGTCTTCTGCTGAGGCAAGTCTGGCGTATTGTGAAGCACAAGCTCTCTCAGCATCTCTGTGTCCTCCTTGACCAGTGGAGTTACTCAACTCCAGCACAAACACACGACCTAGGACAAAAAGATGAGATCAACAGTTTGTCAGAAAAAGACCCAAATGAAACGAAACCCATGAAATGTGCTGATTTATCACAAATGCTGTGACAACAATTTTGTCTGAATACATTTTAGTACAGACCCATAAACATAGAACTAAATTGGCTAAAAGTGATTAAATTTAAGGAATCAGAAAATGTAATAAAAAGCATCTCTTTTGCACTAGAGCAGTTGTGAGTTGTTATACATTACATTATTTATTTATTTAATGGCAATATATCTAATCATGTTTACAAACAAAATGCTAACCACTACTGTATATGACCTTAATAAAATGTGAATAAAGTTTGTTTAGTCTCGTTTGCAACTCTCACGAGCTTCATTGAAATTCCCATCAGACCAAAGAGATCAAGGCGCCAGAAGCAGCAGAAGCATCACCATCAAGTCCGTGCTTCAGGTTCTTATGGACATGTTTGAACATTTGCTTATGAAATCACTTACCGTCTGTAATAGCTGGAGCAAACTGAAGGCAAGTGATGCATCCAAAGAGCAACAAAACCACGGTTTGGCAACAACGCATCTTTTTTCACACCAGTAAGTAAAACAAAAAGCCACACTTTTAGATTATATGTTGTTCTCTTGGTAATAATTATATACTTCAATAAATTTGGAGTTAAAAAAAAACAACTATTCCCGTTGCAGGAGAAGTTGGAAGTGCGGATTTGGGGGCAGTTTATCTCCCAAATAGTCTGCTCTGCCTCTCCTCCAGCAGATCGAGCAGCGGTGTGAAAAGTTGCAGGTCCGCGTGAGTAAATACGTCACCGGTGAAACGCTCGAGGGTGGGCACGCGGGTGGGCACGCGGGTGGGCACGCGGGTGGGCACGCGGGGCACTGATGAACTTTAGACTGCACTTCATTAGCAGATGGACGATCCACAAACAATGCCGAGGTGCACTTGGACTATAAGGCACTGTCAGCCTCCCTCTTGATTTTTATTTATTTATTTAATTATTTATTGTATTATTAGTTTATACGTTTATATATGTTGAAGGAAGACATGTGTTCAGAAAAATAGAGAGAAAGTGAATGTGCTGTTTGTGCTGTAAGTGAAGATAACCCAGGACACCCACACTCGAGCCTAATCCAGAGCTGTAAAATGTTGTCACTTATCACAGTGTGCACATGTGGCATCATGTCAACTGCAGCATTTGCATCTGTTTAGGCAAGGCCACGTTCAAGGGGCAGCAGTTCTTATGGAAAAACGTGTACTGTATAGGAAAACATAAAGACAAAGATTGCACCTCCCTCTGACATCTATAATACTTTACAATGTGTTTATTTACTCCTAAACCAAATCATAATATTGGGTGAACAAAAGAGATTGACTCTATTGAAAAGTGTTTGGTGTAGATTTTATTTTTTTAAATGTTGTATTAAAATTATGTAACGTTCAATTTTCAAACAGACAATGCCCCGGACTTTTTTGATATTTCAACATTTAGCTTGCCCTTTACAACAATAGCAATTGCGTTTATACTTCTGACTTTTTGATGATGGCAAAATAATCATGATAAATGATCAGAATACATTTCAATTTTGAATCACACTTGTCAAAAACGATCATGTAAACTTCTGGATGCTAGCGTTTCTTAAACAAAAAGTAATTATAATTGTATTTGTTATTGGAAAGTAGGATCAATACCTTCGCAAAGATTTTTACATTGTTGCCGAGCATACAATGTAATAATATTGCATACATGATATATTTATAAGAACTTCAGTCTTACACGCAACTGTTTATCAATCCGTTTCTCATTTAACAACATAGAGTGTAAAATGTCAACATGGTTATTCATTTTACACCCCACATGTGAAAAGGGCTGAGAGCAGAGATAAGGTGCCCTGACTCATGGAGAAGCTATTTCTGGAAAAAAAAAGGTTGTAACTGCACTAGACAAATGCTGATTCACACCTGGTGCTTCTTGGAAATCAGTGTGAGAATTCTGTTTTATGCAGGTGCCTGGCGTTTGGGGATGGACTCACCGGAGAAATCACACAAACATGCAACCCTACACAACTTCCTGTGCGTGGTGACAAACTGCAGAGGTAAACACACGCACACTGAGCCGCTATGACCTGAGACTTGTCAGAGTCTAACAGACCCAGAGCAGATATTATTATTGGGCTCGTTCCCACTGGTCTTCTGGATTTGGTTCATAACAAAAGCAAATAAACGCTCCTTATTACTCCAACAAGGTTAATTTGGTCTTCTGATAGATTCTTTCAAGACCAGAGTGGTTTTTTTGTGTGGACCTAACAGTTTATTGTTTTTCTTTTGACTCTGACATAGGGAAGCATACCCCCAGATCTATAAACCAGAATGAGGGGGCTTTAGCACTCTCTCACACCTGGGATTCAGTCCTGCAGATGGAGCTATCGTGATGCCCCTGGTGGTGGGACGACAGTGCTATGAAAACAACTGAACAGCTGACAAGACACTTCTCAGGAACATTGCAGTATTGAGAGAGGTGATCTATTTTCATTACTTTTTGTAAAGTCAGAAGTAAATGCATACAAAGATGTAGGAACGCCCAAATGATGACGCATTACCTTGGAAGCTTTGAATATGAGCTGACAACATTTGAGTTAATGAGAGGCACAGCTGTATATGAAGCCTAGCGTACATCGACAGAGAAACTGGAGACAACTAGTTGCAAGGCGGCTTTTGGCAACTGAGAGGAGATGGTGGGCGATGATCAGTTGCTGAAATCGGTCGATGTGCGCGCTCTTACAACTGGAGATAAACAGTCGGTCTCCAGTTTCAGTCAGTTGCCCGTGTTCTACTTTTCGGCAACTAGTTGTCCTCAGTTTCGGAGATATGACCCGATGTGCGCGCTCCATGCGCCGCTCCAACAAAGTGTGTGTATTGCGTGTATTGCGAGCCCGCAACAGTTTATGTCAGAAAACACACTGTAGTTGACGGCCAGTTGCTGTCGATGTACGCACTGTTATTCCCGAGACTGGTCTGCTACTAGGAGTTGCCCGTTTTCGTCAGATTGTCGATGTGTGCGGGGCAGCAACTCATATGCGACGGATATAATTAATAGTTACCTAATGTAACTTAAGTTCTACAAATAGGTGCGTAGTCCCTTAGGACTTCGCTAGTGGGATATCACGTGACCCCCAGGTCACAGACGCCAGAGAGATCAAAATAATTTGCTCCAATCACCAGCCACCTTCCTCTATAAATGCCCCTGCACAAGGCCGCACCCCCTTTTTTAGATCAATAGGTGGCAGCAGATAGCTAAGTACTTTGAAATATAAGAATTGGATGCAAAACCCACAATCGCAGGAGCATTGTGGCGAGAAAGTAAGATTGGACGCGACCAACCAACGTAAGCGGCAGCGGGGAGATTTTGGCTCAGTAAAGTGATTGGGCCCGTTTTTTAATAGGAATTACGCCTTTTCTGAACACGGATTCACATCCTCTGCTCTGACCCGGGCAGCTGTGGCCCATTTGTCCTGACAGCCCACTTTGACAACAGCTCAGCGAACGCACATCTGCTAACATGGTGCCGCAGCGGACCCTAGTCGCCGTGGGACAGAACCATGGACGAACCATCTGCGCGGTCCTTGAATCGTGTTCAGGACCAGCTCCTGTGTCTCCCGAGTCTCTCTGTGTCTCTTGCCGAAGTGCAAAACTCAAACGGACTTTGAATCTCAGATACCTAATTTACCCCATGCTTGAAAATGCATGTTATTTGAGCAAAAAAGTAAAATGTTGTGAACAATCAAACAGAACACACGCAGGGCATTTTTTTAATCATTTTTTTTCAAACATTAGAGCCCTTGAGTCATTATTTGACTTTTGGGCTCGAGCGTGCGGAATTTGTATGTTTTCTTTCTGAAGGAAAGATGACATAGTCTGGGATCGCGTCTTTAATCAGCAGAAGACATGGTTTTTTTGTCGATGGTAGAGACGCACGATCAAAGCACACGATCAACGATACAATAGAATGCAAGTGTATTATACAGAGCGGAGGCATGAAGTCCTCCAGATCAGCAGCTGCCCACGGTGCCATGTAGCTTGCATTCAGATTGACAAAACAAGGGAAAGTAATGGCTTATGCACATTGATAGAATGATGAGTTTAACTCTTAACAAAAGTTGCCTTTAAAAGTGTTATGAAATCTCACATTTCCCCACAGTTAGTGCCACTTTATTCCCCAAACTCTTGTTAACTCATTTTATTGAGAACATACCTAAACCAGCTTAATGTAAGGCCTTGATTTAGCACTTAAAGCGGGCTATTGGGAAGTTTCACCACTTATAAACACTATACGATTATAATTTCTTCCACTTAATTCTCCAGCAATGCCTGGGTGTGTTGAATGGCCTGCATTTTCACTGCAATTGCCTCTATATGCTAAATACCATGTCTTTAATATGCTTTGAATTTGAGGATTCGGGACGAACACCCAGGGGCAGCGTAATGGAAATTGACGTCATGCGCGTTCACGCTAAGATGTAGCGCGCTAGCTGTAGCCGCGGCTAGCTGTACGCGTAAGCTGTAGCAGCATTAGTGAAGCTGCAGAACGAGAGGTGACTGTGGGGAGGATGGACTACAGCCGGAAGTACAACAAGAGACCGGCTTCAAGCAGCGCCGGAAACTCCAGCAAACCCCCAAACTAAAGCAAAGCAACATAGAGTTGTTTCTAGTGCGTCCAAAAGGGCGTGGAACTCGAGTCTGGACCGCAGTAGGCAACAAACGAGGGTAAACCATGGGGTAAACATTGGAGTTGTTTTTTTTTCGAGAGGTGGACAACTTTGAAAAAATGTGTTTATGCTTTCAAAGCAGCGGTGTCCGGCCTCGCAAGCTACATAGAGATATATATTCTTTGTTGCAACTATGTTTTTATTTGTGGGAAGTGCTCAGAAGCGAGACAATGATGGGTCCTTCTCAAAATACTATCTAGCAAGATCTCTGCGTGAAAACTAAAACCCTAGCTGGCAGTTTGTTTACTAAACAGGGCTTTTTTTTTTTTGTAGAACTAACCACCTACAGCTTCAGCAAGGCTCTCGTTGATTTAGCTAAAGAATGAGAGGGTTACGAATTGTTTCCGTTTAAATGTCGGCACATTGCAATCGCACTAGTAACTAGTTAGACGTAGGCGGTGTTGCCTTTCTAACATGTGCTGGGTTTATCTGTAAATTGCGGGGCGCGAGGCGGGCGACGGCCCGCACGGAGCCTACTCCATTGCAAATACTTGATATTGCCCATCGTTAGAACAGTAAACAGTGGCTCTATTGTTCTAGTTTTGAGAGGCACACTATCAAAGGGATCACTCAGTCCACACCCCACGGCCCATCAGCTAGGGATGCTGGGGCCCCATCCCCAAAGAATCTGATTGGTAAGTTTGCCAAATGCAACTTCTGTTTTCAGGTACCATCATCACCGTCAAACAAAAGTCTTTGTCCTTCAGGGAAGACTTTCATATCACAGGAGTTGAACCTCTGACAGCAAATAGGTTACGATCGTTGGAGACAAGGTAAACATGCATGCAATTTTATCATTTGATA